CCCAAAGATTGGATTGGATTGTTTACTATCCGGTCCCGGTCCAGTCTCAGTCCGGGATATACGGTCCGGTTTCCGGTTTTTCATCCGGTCCCGGTCCAAATAGCCACCCCTAGATATAACCTAGATTTATCTTGAACCTCGATGGTAACGATGCAGCTTTGGCGACGCTTTATTTCGTTGCTATATGTTTTTTGCGATGGATTTTCTGCCTTTTAGCGATGAATCGTTTGTCGCAAAAGGTATTATTTCTTGTAGTGTTTTTTATTTCTTGTAGTGTTGTTGTAAACCTATATCACCCTGGATTGGTAATTGGTTGGTTACTGGTTTAACCGGTAATCGATTAAATGTAAACCGAAACATAGCAATTTGCTTCCGACTACGGTACCGATGTACAACCATTTTATCGGATTGTCTGGTTGTCAGTTACCAATCTGATTACTTTCAAACGCGAGGAGCTTATTTGGTCCAAAAAGGAACTTCGTCGTAGACCAATGGCGAGCAACAATGCTCGTTTGCAGGTCCTGGCATGTCGCCTCTACCGGCTCGTCCCTCCCCTCCGCCTTGGATCTCGACACTCGCTTCGATTCCGGGCCAGAGTTCTAGAGACGAATCGATTCCATGACCACCATTTTATAGAGTTTGATAGATGGTTTACGATTCTTTCCTGGCCTTTGATTGATGGTTTACTATTCCCCTTTCCTTATTCGTTCGACAAGGACCCAGCCTTGATAGTCCTACTTCCATTTTCTTTGCAATTATGGTTTTCCTTTCTTTATTGCTCCAAAACAAACGACATATTTTATTCTTATCACATATTATTTTCTATCATGTAATTATTTGGTAATCAAGAAACTACTTCTCGTATAGTGCTAAGCTCGATTTGGAACTATGCTTGTCATAGTGTTTTTCGAATCTTCCTTCAAACTTGGAGGACGACATTTCTTAAGACACTTATCATTGCAAATCCATGCTCCATAGTTACAATGTCCCATGCACTTTCCAAAGCACTTCTCCACGGGATCAACTTTATACTGAAATGACGGAGAAATCATTAAGAACATGATTATGGCCACAATGAGAAAACTCCAAATCATGTTGGTCTTCATGTTGTGCATAGCTGATCTTCTTTCCCCCCGAGGCCTTAGGTGTGTATGAGTTCAAAATCTTTTTGAGGCTGTTGTGTTCATAATCACATTTGGATAGTCATTTTATAGAGTTTCACTTCACAAAAAAATATAATTTGTTTATTCCATAAATATGAAAAAAATCTAAACAATAACTCCCTTATTATTATTCAGATTCTATGTGCATTTAATTTGTATGGATTTTAGTGCAATTTACATCTATTGAGATTTAGTAAAATTTACTTTATCTCAATGCTATTAATGTTTCTTTTGACTACTCTATCATAACTTAAATGTAAGAGCGTTAGAAGGTAATAAATTTGTTGCTAAAGCACAAAGTCACATCCTCACCTGTCTGGTTCAAGGAGACCCAACCATGATTATTGAATGAGATATTCCAAATCTACTGTCGTTGAATATGTTACAATCAATTATACCATGCGTCATTAATCAAGGATATTTGAGATTTAAATGAAGTATTCAATACATGCATGTATTGTACATAATATTACATCGTGTTGGTTATAAAACCTTATACAATTTATGCATTGTTTTGTGACGACGTATCATATAATTCATTTTCAATGGTTAAATGAGACCTCTTTTCAAATGAAACCTTACACATTGCATTGTTTTGTGATTGAATGTGTCTTTCTCCTTTTAAATGATAATTAGTTTGTTACAGCGCCCAGGACAAAGCTGATAAAGACGGAAGCATACGTGACAGGTGTGGCTCGGTATATGACAGCATTTGCAGATTCACGAGCGTAGGATAAGGAGACTAAACCGAATGGTTTTCTATGACGATGCAATTATTGTCCTGGACGTATGAATAGCAATCATCAGAAATGAGATGTCGATGCTGCAAGGGCACCAGGAGTCTCTTTGCAGAAATTTGTGTAAGATTAGGTACGAACTTAGAGTATCATCTTGTTTTTGTACATAGTTGTTTTGTTCGTAGTAGGGTTATTCACAAAATAAATTTTGTGAAGGGTAGAAGATTAAAATTCTGAAAGTACAAGTCAATTATCATATTAGTGTTGTAGCCATTACTGAAACTTCTCCCTCATTCCATTTTGTTTTCTTTATTCTCTTTGGTATTCTCGTTTTATTTAGTTGGGAGTAGTACTCGATCATCGTCCGGCGGCAATGATAGAATTCTTGTATTCGTTCATGCCATCAATTAATTTTGTGCCCGCGATCTGCTATTCATCGTACAAGACCCGCCTCTCGCTTCACTAATTAATGGAAGGAAAGGAGAGCTTCGATCCATTATGATTTGGCCTGGAGTGATTTAAGTAAAGCAGAGAGCTTATAAGCATTATTCTGCGGATCAAAGAACGACGTATTTATTCCCTTTGCACTCTCATGAACATTCAAGTTCGTGGAGTTGATAACTATACTTGTCGACTAATATTTTTGAAATCCACGTGTTCTAAATTCATGAGTCAAATCCATCCAACGTTTCAAATCAGCCAATTATTGTACGTCAAATCTTGCCTTCGCTTAATTATTGTAGGTTTACTTTTGAAAAAAATGAATGTAATTAATACGAGTTTTTAGTTCCCAAAGATTATTAAATGCAACACAAACTTAATACCTTAAACACCTATAATTAATAGGGAGTGTTGTTTTTCCAACCACTTAAAAGGGTAGTTATGCTATCTCGCCGCCTTGATGCAATTGATTGCAATGCTAGTCAAAGTCAATAATCTCAGACGAAATATATCATTCAATTATGTTGGATCTTCTTAGACCAAATGGGTCAAGATTACTTTTGTACTCTTACTACAAAATTTATTACTCTAACGCTCCAACATTAAGTTATAATATAGAGTAGTCAAAAGAAACATTAATAGCATTAAGGGAAAGTAAACTTTACTATATCTTAGTGGATAGAAGTTACATTAATTAAAAATGGATAGAAATTGCACTAAAATCCATACAAATTAAATGCAAACAAAATCTGACTAATAATAAGGGAGTTATTGTGTAGATTTTCTTTTCATATCTATGGAATGAAGAAACTTTATAATTTCTTTTGTCGAGTGAAACTCTATAAATTGATAAGTAAAATGTGATTCTAAGCACAACGACCACAAAAAGGTTTAAACTAGCGATGCAAAATATGAAGACGAACATCATATGGAGGTTTCCCCTTGTGGTCGTAGTCTTGTTCTTATTGGTTACTATGGCATCTGATCAGCATCAAGCGATGGCAGATGATGAACCTGTCTACTCATGCTATCGACATTGCATGGGACATTGTAGCGAAGGACCAATTATATGCGATGATAAGTGTCTTAAGAAATGTCGTCCTCCAAGTCCGAAGAAAGATTCAGAAAATACCGTGACAGACATAGTTCCAAATCAAGATTAGGACTGAATAATGTGAGTAGGTTTCTTGTTATCAAATAACAACCTCATATGTAATGAGAATAAGATATTTTCTCTGTGTTCGACGAATAAAGAAGAGAGTTATTAGTTTTCATGCTACTTTTTACTATAATCGCCCTAACTTTCAAATTAAAAATACGTACTTAGTTTTTATTATGACGGAGGCGGCGGCGGGATAACATAAATGAATCATCTTTCTTTCTCGAAAAGGAATCCATTGGTGGTACTTCAGTTTACTGAAATTGTTCACATTTGGTCACTCTCCGTCCAACTCCGTTAACTTTTGCTTACATGGTGGCCAACTCTAAACTTGATCGTTAAATGTGTGACGTGGCAATTTAAAAATAATAATTTTAATAAAATGGTTATCATGCACCTTCATAAAAAAAACATCCTTCTATTTATTTGTCTTGTTGGCAAGGACATTTCTTAGATATATCATCACAAAAAAGCATCCTTCTTCCTTTGTTTATGTGTTTTTCTAATTAATAAATGGTTATCATGCACCTTAATAAAAAAACTGTAAGGAGATACTACAGGTTATTGTCAATACTCGAATCAAAGACTACGATTGTCAAAGTCAAAGTGGATTAATGAGTTTTATAGGAAATTATCATCATCAAGTTTAATTTAATGGTAATATTTAGTTTTAGTCTTTAGTTTGAGTTAATGTTTTTTTTTTATCTTGGTAGTCTCCAAATGCAAGCTTGCACACCTTATCTTGTAGTGTTAATTAGCCTATTTAGAACTCAAAGATGAATGAGAAATACATACACCTTTCCAAACGCACCTTTGATGGTTTTCACGTTATAAACTAAAATAAATTGAAATAGAGTGCGCCATATTGACGTGAAACGGTGTGATTCCGTACACACTTTTCATATATTTGTCTTTTCTAAACATAGAATTTAAAGAAAAAATATAAACTATGATAGTTTTGATTAATGGGTCAACGACGACTTATATCTTAGCGGTTTTGGTTAACCAGAAAACCAACAAGATAACGAAAACATTAGGTGAGAGGTGCAGGGTGTTTCGGTTTCGATTGAGAGTGTAGGGGTTTCAGTTTTTGATTTGTTCTAATCGGAACCAAACCCGTAAAATCTTTTTCGGTTTCGGTTTTTGGGTTGAGAACAACGATAGTTCAACTACACGTCTCTTAGTGATGGGTAATTACTCCCATGGCGTCTCTGCTAACCAACCTACTCCTGGCCTAATTACGTAAACACCTACTATATGAAAGCTGTAGCACATACGTGCATGCATGCATGCATCTCTTGTCTTGTTTCTTATTTCTCGTAGGAATCTTGTTTCGTGTAAATTCAAATTTTCAAAGTGCCGGTCCACAGCGGACATATGGCTGGCGTTCATGGGCTGGGCTGGCTTTAACGTCCAGGAGCCCACCCGAATTGAAATTGGGCCACAGTGGAAAAGCTCTAAAATATGTCGCTGGTCCAGTCCGAATGCTATTGGGAGAAGGGGAGAAAAGGCTTCGGCCTTTTCAAAAGTAGGAATACTAGGAAACGTTTCAGCCCACAGTTCCTTGCTGGGCCTACTACCAGAATCCAGAGTTTCGAGAAATTGAGAGGTGAAGACGAAGCCACCTCTATCCTTTCGAGTGGCCGTAGTTCCTCTGGCGTCCACCATCGGCGTCGCCGGCTTCTTCCTCTCCGGCCTGCATCCCTTGCAGTCCAATCCCACTTGACAGAAACGAAGAACAAGGAGAAGGAGGCACAAGAAGATTTCTATTCCTCCTTTCAAATTTTAGAGTAAAATAGTAAACTCAGCCATCGATATATAAACTGAGCTTCGGAGAAATTCACTTCCGGCTTCCATCTTTTGCTGCGGACGGCGTCGAGCTTCACTTCCCCGCTGCTGCTCCTACTCTTCTTTCATTTTGACTGGCCGGTCTTCTCAGCGGCGACCGCGAAGGGTAAAACCTGTTTTGGTGTGAAAATTTTGGAACTTTTTTCCTCTGTTTTCTTGGGTTTCATGCATGTAATTAGGCGTTTTAAGCCTCGTTATATCTGATTAAGCATTAGATTGCCTCTATCGATGGTGCAAATGGGGTTTTTGTTCAACCTTCAGGCTTGAATTGCTGCATCTATGCTTGGTTCCAATTGCAAGTGTCAAGTTGTTCTATTCTGCCACCGGGTTTTGGTTTGGTTTGTTGTTCTGAAAATCGGTGACTTGCTTATCTCTTAATCAATGATTTGCAGGGGCAGATAGAGAAATAGGTGGAGGGGGCTTTACTTTGTAAACATGGCTTTCACATTGTTCAGGAACGTCATCCAAGCTCAGCCTTTGTTTCTGTATCCATCTGCTTTGCTTAGAAGGAAGAATGGGGTTTTGTATTGCACAATGAAGGGGACCTCACAGTCACAAACTCAGACAGCCACGGAAGAAAGGCAGCAGCAGAAGAGTCCACAAAAAGTCAAAGTTCCTCCTCAGAAGCAGATGAGGGAAGTTAGTAAAATCGCGGCAGATTACGAGGCGGTCATTGGCATAGAAACCCATGTCCAGCTCTCTACATTAACCAAGGCTTTCTGTAGCTGCCCTTACAGTTATGGTGCCCAACCAAACACCTGTATCTGCCCAGTTTGTATGGGTCTTCCGGGCGCTTTACCAGTTCTGAATTCGAAAGTCATTGAGTGTGCGGTGAAACTAGCCCTTGCACTGAATTGCAAGCTATCTTTCAGTTCCAAATTTGACAGGAAACAGTACTTCTACCCAGACCTTCCAAAGGGCTACCAAATATCTCAGTTTGATATCCCGATTGCAACTGGTGGTTCAATCGATCTGGATCTTCCGCTTGAATTTGGTGGTGGTCATAGGAGGTTTGGTATCACAAGAATTCACATGGAAGAGGATGCTGGCAAGCTAATGCATTCAGGAAATGGGAGTTGCTCACTGGTATTTTTGTGTGTTTTGCCATGTTCTTTTGCATTTGTTTCCCAGCTTCTCAATGCTATCTGTTTGTGTTTGGTTCGTTGAATCTATGCATGTTTCTTGATAAATTTTGTTAATATTAACTGGTTATCGTTTTGGGGGATTGTTTCTTCATTGTTAGCACTATCTTCTTTACTCAGCAAATGAGCAACCACCCTTTGCAGGTTGATTTGAATAGAGCTGGAGTCCCATTGTTAGAGATCGTCTCAGAACCAGATATGAGAACTGGCATTGAAGCTTCTGAGTATGCTGCAGAACTTCAAAGGGTTGTTCGATACTTGGGAGTTGGTAATGGTAATATGCAAGAAGGTTCGTTGCGTTGTGACGTGAATGTCTCGGTTCGACCGATTGGACAGGCAGAATTTGGGACAAAGGTAGCTGTTTCTCTCGCAAGAATACTGTTTCTAGTCACATTTATTTATATAAGCTGATAGTTTTCATCCACTATGATATTAGGATTGAGCCAACTTATTCTTGTTAAAGATTGATGATTTCGTTTTGGCATTCTCAAAAGTTTGTGTTTGATGCATGTATTTGCTCCATGACTTTGCTTCACTTTTATTGGCAGGTTGAGATAAAAAACTTGAACTCCTTTTCGTCAATTAACAGAGCTATTGACTTCGAGATATCTAGGCAGGTCAATCTCCATAATCAAGGGCAACAAGACTCAATTGTACAGGAAACTCGTCTTTGGGAAGAAGGTGCACAGGTTGTATCTTTACTGTTGATTTCATTGTTAGATCAAGAAAGGAGGAAATAATTGGAGGGGTGGGAATGGTTTTCTTTGCAAATCCAACTGCAGCTGATCCAAAACTTTTTCTTGTTCAGAAAACAGTTACTATGAGGAAAAAGGAAGGGCTAGCTGATTACCGATATTTCCCTGAACCAGATCTTCCTGAAGTCATTCTTACAAAAGATTATGTGGATAGTGTTGGTAAATCCCTGCCTGAGCTTCCAGAAGCGAAACGTAGGAGGTACGAGGAGATGGGGTTGAGCATGCAAGATGTTCTTTTCCTTGCAAATGACATAACAGTACGTCCTGGTTTCAAATCGCTGAGTCTGGTTCCTTTCCAATTGCATGTTGTTTGTTTGCCTTGAACTCATATTATCCAAGATATTGTTTGTTCCACCCCCCCTCCGGGAATTAGGTGGCAGACTTTTTCGATGCGACAATTCAGAAGGGTGCTGATGTGAAGCTAGCTGCAAACTGGATCATGGGTGATATTGCGGCCTACATGAAAAATGAGAAGTTATCGATAATTGATATCAAACTTGTGCCCCATGAGCTGGCTGAGCTTATTGCTTCTATTAAAAGTGGGACTATTAGTGGGAAGATCGGAAAGGAGGTAAAACTTAAACTAGTCTTGGTTCACTCTCCAATGCTTTGATCAGTCTACCTGATGTCTTTTGTTTTACTTCCAAACCGTTTGCAGATACTGTTCGAACTCTTGGCCAAAGGTGGAACTGTGAAGGGACTGATTGAAGAAAAGGACCTTGTCCAGGCAAGTTACTGTTTTTCCTTGCTTAACCTGATTAACTTATTGATTTTATTAGAATTTGTTGAGTGTTGCCTAATCAGGATTGCGTATGTAGTAGCTCTTTGTTATTTCACAAAGTTTCTTGCATGGAGTTAGTGGGGGGGGGGGGGGGGGGGGGGAAGCTCTTGGTTCAGTCAGTCCCTGCAAGTATATCTGAGAATTGAGTTGTGGTTTTTGGGGGAGAACAATGTAGATAACGGATCTCGGTGATATTGAGAAGATGGTCGATAAGGTGATTGCAGAGAACCCGAAGCAGTTGGAACAGTACAGATCTGGGAAGACGAAGCTGCAAGGTTATTTTGCCGGCCAGGTAACGAAATGAAGTGTGTTTGTGTGTACTGTTATGATCTGGCACCACCCTCTCTGTTCTTGGCTCAGAAGGTCATTTCATGTCACTTCACTAGGTAATGAAAGCATCAAAAGGCAAGGCAAACCCTGGGGTCTTGAATAAGGTACTCGTCGAGAAACTAAATGCCAAAGTCTGAAGGCAACACTGGCAGATGCTTGCAAGAAAGAAGCCATGTCGAAAGATAATACAGGCTGCACTTCCAACACACTGCAAACGGGATGGAATTAGAGCCTTAATCAACGACTAGGTTATGTCCCCACATGCAGAGGGTTTTTGATGATGATTGATTTATATGTAACAATTGTTTGTACTGATTTTTTTCATGAATAAGTCCTATTTCAGCAAAACTTTTGTACACAATTTGCAACTAGAACCCCTGCAATTTGCAGCTTTTCTTGCAGCAATGGCTAACTTGTTAATACTTGCTCACTGGCCTTCAAAATTCCTCAATCCTCAGCAATACAATAGCAAAGTTCAACACTTGTTAATAGTTTCCCGTTGGAAGACATCTTGGCTGCCATTCTTTCCAAATGTGACAAGAGGCAAGCCATCCACAAAACACAACCAGTCCTAGGCCTAGCCAACTCCGACGCTCCGTTGAGCTTCATCTTGGCCAACCTAACTCGTCCCAGATGAACTACAGAAAATTTGCAGAAACTCACTCACAGTTGGAGAGTCTGAGCACATTACATTTGAGCTTGATTTCGTTTATCTTTGTGTCATGGAAATGGTTCTAGTGACACAAATGGTCGGTTACTACTTACGCTTGAGGTGACTTATGGTTTAACTAACGATTTTCCTTAATTGTTCCAAGTCAGCTGGTCGTATCAGTTAACTGTGTAATTAAAAGGCCACATAGACACCTGGTGTACTGTTCACCAGTCCCGTTTGATCCGGTACTGGTTAGGGAGAAGGGTTTTGCCCCTGACATCCTTAAGCTTCTGTTCTTGGTGATGATGGAAGCTTTTCCTTGTCCTCAGCCACGATTCCCGGAACTTGTGATGGAAGCTTTTCCTTGTCCTCCTCAGCTACGGTTCCCTGATTTTCTGATGAAATCTTTGCCCTGTCATCCTCGACCTGGGTTCCCTGATCTTGTGATGGATGCTTTGCCTCCTCGACCTGGGTTCCCTGATCTTGCGATGGAACCTTTGGTCTGTCCTCCTCAGTATCGACTCCAGCCTGCTCGTTGAGCAGCGCAATTACTTCAGCCTGAAGACTACGTTGGAGTTCATATTGCCTCTGCAACTCTGTCACCAGTGTATTAATCCGTTCATTAGCTTCTTGCATTTGCTGTGAGATCTCTTCAAGTCTTTTTTGGACGTTAGTTCTTGGTTCAGGTGCCATCTCTGGACAAGATTCGGAAAAAAAAAAAATTGAACTTAAAACCAAACCAACAGTATGATGGATGATATACAGTGCTCCTATATCATTTGACAGAAGAGAAATGGTGCCCTATCTGGACAAGATCATATAAAAATTCTACTTAAAACCGAACCAGCAGTATGATGGATGATATACAATGCTCCTGTATCATTTAACAGAAGAGAAATGGTGCCATCTCTGGAAAAAAAAATCCAACTTAAAGCCAAACCAACAGTACGAGGGATGATATACAATGCTCCTATACCATTTGACAGAAGCGAAATGAGCTATGCTACGATCTTAATCTACTGGCCTTTTCACATTCATCTCAACAGTACCCGACTAATAGCAATGAAAATGTCAAGAGAGTAGAGAAGAAGAAGAAACTGGAGAAGCTTACCTGATGGTAGCTCCTCTGCTGGAAACAGGCTGACGAAGAACAATGGCCAAAAACCACAGAAAACACCCCGTCTGGGTGCTCAAAACAGGCTGAGGAAGAGAACAATGGCCAAAAACCACAGAGAAGGTCTGGGTTTATAAAGGGGTCCGATGGAGTGGCAGATTTCTTACTCTTACTTACCCTGCAAGAAGCACTAGAGACAAACTTTCATCGCTGCTGCAAGCTGTGCCGGGGCAACCTGGCAGCCTCTCAGTGGTTCCAATCCTGCATGAGGAGCCTTGGTGAATAAGAGAATAACCGTCTGACAGTGAGATTGTGTAATTTGACAACGCTGTGAGACAGCCATTGTCACCCCCGCGCTTCATTTTCAGCTCTAGAATTAGTTTAAAATATTTCGGATAGTCTAGCCAGCAACAACCAACGAGAGACCACAGGCATGGGACACAATTACAAGATTAGAGTGAATTAGAGTGTTGACAGTGGTCTTACATTTTCAAGGTTATATTTTTCAATTGTAAGATACTGTATGGCTTTTGTAATTGTAAAATTAATTGTATTATTGTGGTCATAACTTAAACATAACATTTATAGTCACTAATTGTAATGGTAAATGAACTGCATTTGCATTGTTGTAAATGTAATGAAACTAGTATGAGTAAGATTGCAAAAATTTTGAGGTTACAATAGGAATAACATGCAATTGATTTGAAATTTTGAGAGTACAATCGGAATAACATATGCAATTGATTTTACAATTGCATTGATATGGATGTTCTTAGCAGAAGAAACGAGATAAACCTTTTCTATTAATGAATCTAACTCTTTGTAGGCGGTTAAGAACAGAACGATCACAGTACAACTACTTTGCATTACACGAGAGTACAATATAATACAGGGCGGGGAGCAGCATCCCTATGCAGAGTCTGCTCCACAGAGGTCCCTTAGCAGCCACTTCTTGCACATTCTATGAGATCAATCTTGCTTTTCTCATCAGCATCGTTGAACAGAGCACAAACATCCAACAGAAGTGCATTATGACCTGGAGTGCATCAACAGGTTCTACGGATTGATCCGAAACCTTTAATGCATCAATCATTTTCTTCTAGCACAGCATCATGCTTAGAACAGGAGCTTTTCGCCCATCTTCTGCTTCTTAACACAAAGCCTCATGCGAGACACTGATCTGTTGTCCTTCCTCCATCGACCAGATTGTTCAACTCTCCTCAACTGGTTGGCATTCATCTGTTGGTTCATCAAACAAACCAACCACAAAGTAAATGAAATTGGACCACAGAAATAAATGGAGAGAACACAGAAACGCTATCTCAGTGCATCTTGACAAGGATAACTTCATTCTGGTTAAACTTAGCTTATACAAGAGTGAAGAGTTTGGAAGATAATAAAAGCCTCAGACAATTAGAAACAAGAAAGACATGCAAGGCTACTTAATACGTCACAGGAGAAATGAGTTAGTAAGTTTAGCTTGGAAGACAGCAAAGTTTGCAAACAGAGCAAAAGTCTCAAGCAACTAGACAGAGAATGAGAGATATATTGTGCTACTTAATATGTTACATGAGGTAGGTAAGTAAGAGAGCACAACCAAGACATCTCCCCTTATTCTGTCGGGGAAAAGGGAAAAGTTCCTTTCCATTTAAACAGTCCGTCCTAAACCTAGCAGAAATGCAATTGCAGAAAAGATAGTAACAAAAAAGGTGGAATCTCCCAAGCATAAGTAATTACCAAATTCCTGAGGAAGTTGTGGCTTCAATGCACCGAACCAAACAGTTGTAGCTCCCATCGTAGCTACCTTCCAATTCTTCGTACCTAGGAATCGGAGTAGGCCAGCAAGAGACCGCAGGTTGGAGCACCATCAAATTAAGTACAGCTTTCCCTTGTTCAGCAAATAACTCTAGCTCTCCCCTTCTCATATTGCAGGACAAGGTACAAAACCCCTGAACACTACGAGTACGATATTCTAAGAAGACAATTTCCGGGTTCTCTGGATGCAGATTAATTGTAACAAGATGCTTAAGATCATAGTTACACCTTGATGTGTTGAACAACACTTCAGATAGTCTCTTCCAGGATTTACGGTCTTCTTCTAGTCTCCAAACACTCAAGACATACCTCGAGCAATCAAGTTCAGTTTCAGCTTGTAGTGTAGTTATGTGCAAAGCACCTTGGGACACTGAAATACTACACCGTTTCTTGAACAATACACTAGCATCAATAGAAGTGGGAGGTATATCAAGGTGGAAAGGATTAAACACGGCAATTAAGGGCCTATGTTGGGAGTGAACATGCGTCCAAAACAACTCCCCATTGCACGAGACTACATTGTGGCATACCACTTTCAAATAACCATCAAGCACAAGAGCCTCCTTGATCCATCCTCCAGACTCCGAACAGAACACATCTAGTTTTATAGACATGATTGGTTCACTCGACTGATAAATACACACGACCCGGAAGCGATACTCAGAATAAACAAATACTTGGCCATCTCCTAGATCAAGATCACACTTAGAATCACTACGTGGTTCACAAACTAACCTTGCATCCGATCCCAGATACCGCATCGACTTCTCAGGCGATAAAGGAAGGGCGATCCATTGCTTCGTAAACGGATTGCATATCAGGTACGATCTTCCAAGTTCGTTACTGTGATCAAAATCCAGAAACCCGCATAAAAGCAAGTCCTTGAAGGAATCCCAGACTATGAAACGCGGTCGACCTGCGTCGGGCACGGGGAGAAAGCTCAGGATGATCGATTCCGGGTCATCCGAACGAAAAAGTAGAGGTGGGTCTCTTCCGTTCTTGTTCTGGTGGTGAGAAATGAAGCGGCGATTGAAGTGCGGACTGGAGATGATGGAGCTCCACCGCTTGCAGACGGGTTTGCAGCGGCAGGTAGATCTTGGGTTCGAAAGTCGGATCAAAATCTCTACGAGGAGATCGTCTCTGAGGTTTGTGATGGGGGGTTCAACTAATTCTGAGAGGATTCCTCGCTTTCTAAGGGTCGCCATGGCGGTAGAGCAAGGGAAGCATGGCGGGAGCACGGGAACGGACAAGCAAACGGCGAAGATACTGAAATTTAATCCCTAAAAAAGTGTCGATTGTCGAATTTGCCAATTTGGGTTCAGGTCAATGACCGACATAGTCACTAAATTTCGGCCTGAAGAACGGATAAATCACTCAACTTTTGATGCTTATCAGAATTGCCACTTAACTTTCATTTAGTAAACGAAATCGGAATTTCGGCCATTTCCTTCTCTCTTTCCCTTTTCATCTCCTCCATATAAATCCTTCCGTCGCCGACGAATTCGATTTCATGCCATTCTTCTGCCGCTATCAATCGACACCACCGATATGCCAACTACCGCATCCGCTTCTTTCACCTCCGGAGCCGACGGTGGTCCCACTTCCCTCGTCGCTCGACTCTCCTCCGGCGACCCCGATGTCAAGCTGAGGGCCCTGCGGGAAGTCAAGAACCAGATAATCGGCAGCAAGACCAAAAAGCTCGGCTACATAAAGCTCGGCGCCGTACCCCGCGTCGCCTCAATTCTTTCCGCCGCAATTGCCGACGGCGACTGCTTCCAGCCAGCTCCCGCCGCTTCACCACGGGGAATGCTCGGCTATTCCAGCAATGTCGTCGTCCAATCGGCGGCAGCTCTCGGCAGCTTCGCCTGCGGATTCGACGAGGGAGTTCAGGCAGTTCTCGCCGCCGGAGCTCTGCCGCTTCTGGTTAGACTGCTCGATCATCCCGACGACAAAGTAACGTGCTTATCTGATTCTTGTTCCTGTTTTTTTTCTTCTTCTTACATAAACACAAATTTGAGAAGGTGAAGAAAAGAGAAGTTGGTACTGCAGACCTAACTTGCTATAACGTGAAATGAACCACAATGACAGGCAAAGCATGGGGAACTGGGAATTCAAAGTTTGGTTCTTCCATCCTTTTATGATGATTGTTGCAATGGTGATAATCCATGGCTTTGTTCATTTGATGTTTCAGGTGGTGGATGTTGGTGCTCGATCCCTGAAAATGATCTACCAGTCCGAATTTGCTCCCAAATATGAAATCCTTGAACGCAAAAGCTTGGAATTCCTGGTTTCCTTACTGAATAGAGAGGGTGAAAACGTTACTGAATTAGGTGCCAGTATCATAGCTCATTCTTGCAGGACAGTTGAAGAGCAGAAAACTATGCTCGAGGCTGGGGTTCTGAAGAGGCTTGTCAGCTTCCTTGATGGGAGTGTAGGTCAGAGAGATGCTAGCTTAGGTTCTCTTGCTGCTGCTTTCAGAAACAACGCTGAAGTAATTACAGAGTTTATGGGACCTCATGGCGGGAAACCGTTTAATGCCATATTTAGGCTGACCGTGGATAGCAACCCCAAGACGAGGTTGCTTGCTTGCCAGTGCTTGATTGTCATTAGGAATGCTACCGATTGCTATGTCCAGGAATTAGGGTTCAAAAGGAAGTTGGTCACTACTCTCCTTGAGCTCCTTGATGATCCAGGTCAGGTTGGAGATGAGTGCCCGTTTGTATTGTCTAGTCTGGTTGAGGGGAAGGAGGACCTACATAAGATAGCTCTTGAAGCGGATGCTATGGTTAAACTCCGTAATTGCATGGATAAGGAAAATGTCAATCCTAGGCGTCTTCGTGGTGTATTGTTGGCCTTGGCTGATCTCTGCTCAAAGTTAGAAAGCTGTAGATCGACATTCTTATCCATGAAGGTATAGTGCATGATTAGGATCTAGTGAGTTTTATAGGATCGACATTCCACTGTTATCGGTGCTAGTTTTGCTGGCCCTAAACCTAGCTGTTGAATTAACATTTCCTAAATGTTCAATGCATCCATCGGCGGTAGCATGCTGCCCATATTGTATTCATTTACATCCTTAAAACGGCTGTTTACAAGGTTAACCAGTCAATCTTGAAACATTATTTTATGTTTCTTAAGTTGCATTAAGGTTCTTGGTAAACCTTGATCTCCAAGCGATTCAACATGTTTTTGCTTCATACTCAACTTGGTAAAATTTCTTTGATGAATATTAGATGGGTTTTTAACATATATATTTAGTTGGTATGTCAGAGAACTGGTCCCAATTTCAATAAGAGTATCTGATGTCTAGGTTCGTCATTATCAAGTGTATCAATGTCAATCCCACTGTCCATAGCTAATATGGGTCTGATGTCTAGGTTCGTCTGATAATTGTCTTTTCAGCCCGCAATCTGTACTAAAATTATGTAACTGGATTTTTAGGTCTTGAAACCACTTACCGGTTTCCTAAACCATAAGGAGGAAGATATACGAATTGCAGCTTGCACCTGCTTAAAAAATGTTACTCGATCAGTCAAGGTTTGCCATCTGACCGCTAATTCTTCTGATATTTTACTTCAAGATCTATCATGCCTGTGTGTCAGCTAATAGAAATGTTTTCAGAATTTGTGTGCTGGTTACTTTATGAAAAATGAAGCCCTCGTCAATGCTTTGATTCTTTTGCTAACGGATGCTTCAGAGGAAGTGCAGGTAATATTATTCTCAATTCCTTTTTGTAACATAAATCACCTTTTAGTAATGTAAGCCATTTGTAGGAACTCCAGGTTGTCACTAAGCACCAGTTTCGGGTTAGGTAACACCTTTGTTGTAGGGGAGAGAGATAGATAGAGTGAGGTTAGGGAGCATAATTTGTATTAATTGCTAAATAAAAATATTTGTGCCCTCAAAGAGATCCAGTATCGTTGATCAAATCCATCAATTCAAGGAAATCAGTGGGGCACGTGGTTTCAGACGCTTCTTGTTTTTATTTTCCATTTGAGGGGTCCGAATGATGTTATGACATGCTACAATTTGGTAAGAGCACCATGTCGCTACTACCATTCCAAGTAATTATATTTTGGTTTTCAGGTTGCAGCTCTTGGTGTTGTGAGCAACATTGTTGTTGATTTCACTACACATAAGTCGATGTTTGTTGCACATGAAGGCATGCAGCAGCTTTTTTGTTTGTCAAAATCAATGGTTCCAGCTGTTAGGTCAAATGCCCTGCGGGCTTTGAGGAACATGACGTTCCTTGCTGATGATAAATGCAAAGAAGCAATTTACTTAGGGATGACTCCATCACTGATTGCAAATCTTATACGTGGTAAAGTTAATGTTTCAATGAGTTTTTTCAGCTGAAGAATGTGATTTTTGCACTTACTCTAAATGATATAACTCTACATTTTATTGCAGACGATGAACTTTCCGTTAAGGAGCAAGCTTTGGCCCTTGTTCGCAATCTTGTTGATGGAAGCGTTGGGTCAATTGAGCAAGTTTTTGCTGATGATAGTATTATTTTAGATGCTGTTGGAAGCCAATTACAGTGTTGTCCAAACGCTGAAGTTTTGTTGCAGGTTTGAAAACTCCAACCAGGATTTTCTCGGTTCGAATAATTATTATGAGCGACCAGAAGATATTGATTACTTTGACGAATATATATAATAATCAGAAAGAGGAAGATATTGTTACCAAAAGAAAGGAAAGGGGAAGATATTAATTACTTCTGATAAGCTGCTGATGCAGTACACCCGTCTGCTTGATTAGCGGTTTGAATGTGTTTTGATTGAACCATCCTTCATATCTGGTGCATAATATATAGATTCGGATTTCACAAACAGCAGTTCATATTTCTTGACCATTGATTTCAGCTTTTCCGAGAAAAAGGTGCCAACTTCCAAGTTATGTATTCATACTCTCATTTGGTTTCTTTTTCTTATTTGAGAGATTCAACCACACACAATAAAAACTTCAAATTTGCTTTCTCCGCCACTTTTTCATTTGTATAATTTTCTTTTTATTTAATGATTTTCAATCCCATGGGTTAAAGCTGGAAGGTTTTGATTGCACTGTGCTTTCAGAGGTAATAGGCTACCGACATTCTAATCTTGTAGGGAATCTATGTGCTGGGAAACATTGCCTGTGGAAATGAGATTCATAAAGAAGCAGTTACGTGCCTGCTTTTCCCATTAGCGGGAAGGGGCCCCGAGCCTTTCTTTGTCAACTTCTTGCTGAGTTCTGACAGTAGATTGCGCCTTGCTACTATCTGGGTCCTTATAAATCTCACCTTGCCATCTCCTGGAGCATTGAAGCGTCAAGAAAGACTACAGAATGAAGGGGTACTGTCCATAGTAAGAAGTATGGTCAATGATCCTTGCTTGGATGTGAAGGTAACCTTAAGTTCATATATAAAGATTACCTTAGATTTGGGTTTTTCTCTAAACGTGTCAAACATCTTGCTAATCGCAGCCACTTTTTTTCTTTCTTTCTTTACTGCAGATTAGAGTAAGAACATTGCTCACCCAGACTGAGCATTTTGGTGACTTTTGACATCAGTTGTGGAGGATTAGCCTCTGAAACAACTAGACCATAGAGAGGAGAGGAGACATACATTTTGCTTCTTTTTTTCTTATCTTCTTTTTCTGATCTTAAACTTAGCCGTAGCAATTTGTCCAGCTTTCTTCCGGCGCGTGCAACATATCATGCTTCAGCCAAGGTTTGTGGTCATTTCAAGCTACTTCTGTAGGATTCAAGTTTCTTGTTCCTCCCTCCCCCTCTCATGGTGTTGAATGAACTACAGAATCATTGATAAGTTTATTAATTTGAACATTTCATGGTCATGGCTAGTTGAAGTTTTCTTTCTTGTGCGTTTTTGTGGACTGCCCACATTTTGGATGAACAAAACACAAGGGTTTATGTGGCCATCATCTTCAACCATCTGGTATGGTGTCCCATAACACCTAAAAAAGGGTTCATCCAAACTTTCCACACTTACCAATGTAAGCAAGCCCAAAGTATATACTCTCTGTTGGAAATTTGTCATGGTTAGTGTCATACTTATACAACTGTAGAGTTGTTCTCTCTAGAAAATTTGTGATGAAGTGGAACGATACCAGATTCATGCCTTGATCTTCTCTTCTCTTTTCGTCGTGACTGTCTATCTGAAGAACTATTTGCATGATCCTGTTTCTTGCTTTTTGTAGGTGCAGACCACACTGCTCTAGAGCATTCTGTTTTGACAATTACAGCAGTGTGAGAGGAGATGCCTTTATAACTTTGTGGGATGGTTCAACTGTCAAGAGTGTTCCCTTGAAACATCAAATTGTGCATACAAATGGCTGTAACATCATTCAGTAGACTATGTCAGAGGATTCCTGTTGTATTTTGTACATTATCTGCCATCAGTTTGCATGGCACTGTAAAATGCTTGCTTAGAGAAAGTTGATGCAAAATTTCAGGATTTCTCTTGCATATTTTCCTACTAGTTGCTGCATATGTTCCCTAGTGTTGTAGTTTATAGTACACAGGGTTGTGTCGGAGCCGTGGATCAAATCAAAAGCATTCATTATCAACAATAATCAGAGATTAACTTTGGTACATGCTATATGTGCGAAGCAGGGCATTGTACTTATTGCGGGTCTCTTCCCCTTTACAGCTCTGCTTCATAAGAGATTGCCACATCTTTGCTTAGAAAGAAAGGTAACCATCTCACCAATGATTGATGCTTGACTTGTATCATTATATACACAGAAGGTTCTTACATTATACAAGCTACATAATATCTTCTTTTTTTTGTGACAGTTTCTTTTCACCTTGGATCATATATAAAGATCAACCAAGGAAAACCAATAAATTCCATTGACGAGTCTGAAGTCCCCTGAGCTACGAAGTGACAAAGAAGAAGCAAAGCAAAATTCATCTGGAATTCCCTTTTATCCTTTTCCGGTGTAGATCTCTTCCAGCAGCAGCTTCTCGATTCAGCCAATCTTCTCCGTGTTGGTATCGTCCGATGGCCATATCACAGTCTCCAGGAGCCGTTCACGCATTAGCGCTAAGTTCTCGTCTGAAATCTCTTGGTACATCTCTGCATGGTTGCATTTCTGCATTCCCATTTACCATATTAATCACACTGTTTACTTTCACTCGCTTGCATAATGTAAGCTAAACACATTTCATGTTTACCTTAATCCATTTTCCATACAGGTGAAGCCTCGTCACCATTACCCTCTCAGCAAGGTCCTGCCTCTCCTGTATTTCACCCAACCATTTACTCCATCAGGTAATTCATTCAAGCTTCTTTCAACAATTTACTCCATTAGGTAATTCATTCAAACTTCTAATGTAAAGAGCTTACTTTGGCTAAGGTACGGATGAAATGCTTCCCAGTTCCAGGCTTGTTCGTGACCACAAAACTATCAACCACCAAAAAGTTAAAAGAAAAAAGTGACCATATTATTCTCTATCTCAGTTGAAAACTTGAAAGATTCTTGGTGCAATTTCGCAGGCTTACTCGTAAAACCATCGGTAATGAGTTGGATTCATCTCATACAGCTGGTTCATAACCGTCCTCACTGCCTTGTACGTGAAGTAGTTCATTATTTGCTGCAACGACAACAAAACAAGAAACGATCCATCAAACAAAAGGTGAAAAAAGATTCAATCTTTCTTCTCCATTTTTACTGCTTTCTTCGAATTATTCCTCATACCGTTTTAACGTCCTCGAAGCTGTCTTCATACTGGCCGCCGAGCTCTGCCACGACTACAAGTTTCCCTTGGTCTTTCCTCTGCTGCTTCCTCGCCATACTTCTGCTTCTGCTACAAATCCCGGAAATGGCGAAAGAGCTCCCTAGTTCCACCGTCCTTCCGGCCAACTGCTGCTTCTTCTTCATGGAAGAACTCCTCGGAATCGCCAAATCAGGGAGGGAATCTAAGCACAGGCAAGGAGTGGTGTGGGAATCCATCACCGACGAACCCACCATCGGCAAAGCTGCTGCTGCTCCCCCAACCATTCTCTTGGATCCAGAAGTTCTCAGAAAACCCAGATCAAAGATTGCTACTTTTCTGCTGGATTCTGACAGACCAAGAAGGCTGAGAAAGGTCGTTGAAGATACTAAAAAAGGGAGGAAGGAATCTAAGTGGAGATTGCAGAATCTGGGAACAGGGAGGGATCAAGGATGGGCGTATATAAAGGCGTGGAATTGAAGGTAGAGAGGGAAACAGAGGGCGAGCAGAGAGAAAGAGTCAAGAAGGGTATGTGCTGGCGAGAGGAGGCGTGAGACGACTCCTCACCAAGCAAAATTTCTGAGGTGGAGAATTCTCCAACCTGGTCCCAGAAGAAACTTGGAAAAATCAAGGGGAAAGGTGAAGCACACGACAGGATCTAATAACGAGGGAAATGGGTTTTTGTTCTTTCATATCTTTCTTTCTGCGACGGTGGTTTGTTAGTTAACCTGGACGGTTTCGTTGTTGGTGGGAAGGCAAAAAGGCTTTGGCTTTCCTGGATTCTTGTCGGCTTGAAATTTCCCACTTGGAAGTTGGGACGTGTTCAATTTGCAGTAAGGCATATCTTTGAAGGACACTAATGAGTTTGTCAACTAAAACAGCAAGTCCTAGATTGTGGGTTGGATGGGAACGAAGAATTTAGTGTATTTGAAATGATTACGTGAGGCAAGTTACGTGCTCAAAGGATCCAATGAAGAGTTGCAAAGAAGTCGAATACGTTCCATTCGACGTTGCACATTCGTTGTGTTAGCGAGAGGGAGTCGAGTAGTATTGTAGTCGATGAGGGTGTTGAGTAGTGGCCTAACTGGGGGGTGTATACTTGGATTTGTATGGTTGAAATTGTTAACGAAAATGCGATCAAGAATTGAGGCCAAATGTTCTAGGTTGGGGCTTGAGGCCAAGATATTCGAGGTTAAGACTGTTGGGATAGAGGAGATGATCGAGATTTGGAGTCGTGGCTTATGGTTGTTCTGGCAAAGCTTCGGGTAACACTAAGGGTACAAGTTGGTGTTCATGGCCTCTCAGTTGTTTGACATAGTTGATTCTCCCAATGATGTATGTGGGTTCACTAAAATTGAACGGAGTCGATAAGAATCAATGAGAAACTCGACTCAAGAGCCTTTGAGCAAATTCCTGAACTTGTACATCACTAGATTATCTTTTATTGGAGTAAAGAAGAACTGGTGTGCTTTGCTCATCAACTAATGTTTTTGACATAAATTACATCTCTATCTTTACAAGTTACAACTAAATATTGTTTGTAGTCTCTAAACTAGAAATTTCATCTTCTTATAAATAAATGCAAGCTCCGAACATGTGAAAAATTTATCAACATGATCGTACAATAATCAATATATAACAGTTGGACAATAAATATCTCATATTAAGATCACTACTTATCATTCATATTTCTACTCATCTATAGTTGACCCAAATTTACACATGACCCAAATTTACACATGACCAATAGTTAAGAGATAATAAATAATGTCTATAGACAAAAATTTAGGATTCACTAATATCAAACGCGCCACGTGGAGGTCCACTCGTAAGCCACACACTTACTAGAAAATCTTATGTTAATCTATGTATTAACCGACGTCGTTAAGATGGTCGCCGACTCGCCGGCCATCGAGTAGTTGTAGTTTCCAACTTCCAAGTCGCATAATATTTTGGACCACAAAATCATATAGCGCGAACGTGCCTTCAAGTTTCAGCGTCAAACCTGGAAACCCAGAAGGAAAGCGAAGCGCGAAATCGGAGCTCCGGCGAAAAAGTTGCTGTCTTTGACGATACCCAATAAACGCTGCCGCCCGACGATGTTTTACAGAGGGTACGCTCGTTTCCCGTTTCAGGAAAACTCAATTCTTCCTAATTTTTCTTCTGGGTTCTTCAATGCTCCACCTTGTACGATCTACACATATCGTCTCTTTGATTAGCTGTTCCCTTAAATTGAATTTGGGCTCTTAGGGTTTTGGAATTAAGATATCGAATTGGTTGGGGGGATATTTAGGTTATCTTGAACTGTTCAATCAAAGTATCGTCGTGTTCATGTTAGATGGATAGAGATCTCACGGATGCCTATCGAGATTCCATTGTCATTGTGACTTACCAACCAGTGGCTGCTTTAGTCTTTGGCGTGAAGTAGGCAATAGGACATACGTGATTGCAACTCCACAAGGAATGAGTAGTTGAACTTTGGCCTGCATTGCATATGCTGGAACCGTATGGTCTGAGAGTGTACATTCTTTTCTTGAGCATGATAGGTATGGCGATGGTTCAGATATGCGTGAAATGGGTGCAAAGCGGCAGCGGGTTGTTGACCAGGGTCCTTCATTCTTTGGGGCTACCCCAGCTGGGACGAGCTTTATGTACAACCAACCTATGTATGCTTATGCTGGCCAACCTCCACCTTTCCCTGTTGTGCGACTCCGTGGTCTGCCGTTTGATTGCACGGACACTGATGTGGCCGAGTTCTTCCGAGGTCTAGACATAGTAGATATCCTCTTCGTCCACAAGGGCGGCAATAAGTTCAGTGGCGAGGCGTTCTGTGTGCTTGGTTACCCTCTTCAGGTCGATTTCGCTCTCCAAAAGAACAGGCAGAACATGGGGAGGAGATACGTCGAGGTGTTTAGAAGCACGAGACAGGACTACTACAAGGCAATAGCAGGTGAGATGTTAACCAACAATTCAATCTAGTCTACAACTATCCTAATTCATAACATTATGTATCTTACGTTAGCTCAATATTATCTCTCTATTAGGTGAAGTATCAGAATATCGAGATGTTAGTTCACCAAGGCGGAGCTATGCACGAGCGAGATCATACGACGAGGGGAAGGAATCAGCGGAGCACACAGGGATGTTGCGGCTGAGGGGTCTGCCGTTCTCAGCAGGGAAGGAAGACATTATGGAGTTCTTCAAAGACTATGGATCATTGTCAGAGGGATCCATCTACATACTAACAAATTCAGAAGGGAGACCCAACGGGGAGGCGTTTGTGGAGTTCGAGAGTGCAGGGGATTCAAAGGCGGCCATGGAGAAGGATAGGATGACGCTGGGGAATCGATACATTGAGCTGTTTCCTTCGTCGGTGGTAGAGTTGAAAGAAGCTATGTCCAGAGGAAGGTGACTCACGGTGCAATTACCATTCCCCCTTTCTTGAGAAGATGCATTTTTCTGTTAAAACTTAGTTTGATAATCGAGTATGAATGAAGTTGAATCAGTTTCTTATGTAGACTTAGACTGATGAGGTTATCCTTTTACCATCTTTTGATTGTATATGTTAAGGAGCTCTCTTTTGCAGTAGTAGTATCAAGTATGGATAAACATTACTTATGGCCTAGTTAACCTCATTTCTGTTTTGAACTGATTCACCAATATTGATGAGAAAGGAACCTGTGATTTTGGGAATTCTTGAGTTCATGTTTTCATCTCTTTCTCTTACTATGGAGTAGATTTCATTCTCACTTGGGTGTTTAGTTTTCTAGCCATGTATGTTAGGATTTGATATTGAACGACTCATATGCTTGTTATACTCTCTTGATTATATATTAGAGATTATTCATGAACTTGATTGGGTATCGATCATACTTTATTTGAGCTATTTATCTAAGGTAGAGAATATCCAATTAGATTGATTAGAGTCTCTTCAATTCTTCATTGTGGGTCAATTGAACGAGTGCGATAGTGAGCTATAATGCCATATTGGATTGAGATCCATTAGTGGGAGCCGAATTTCACTTCTCAGGTGTTCTATTTGTCGGGTGTAGAAATTTTTCTCTAGTTAGTTAATCTTAGCAAGCTTGGATAACTCGAATATGGTGTCTAAGCTAGTTTAGAGCATTCTGCGGTATAAATCTAGAGTGGGCAAGCTAGGGGACGTCAATATTGATCTAACTTATGGCTAGAGAGAACCACATTCTAGTTTAGAGCATCGTTTCAATGAGGCAATTTGTCGGACTGTCTGCAAGATAGACGGTGTCCTAATTCCAGGAATGTGGCTGACAGAACTGTTACTTTCTAGGGCAGCCATGGCCTCGGTTATGTCCACCCACACAACATATCAGGTAAGATGGAGGATTTAAGTTTCTTGGTTTTGCCTCTCAGTGAAACTGTGACTAAATGCTGATGTCTCTTCTGATGCAGGAATCAGGATGCAGAGCGTTCTTTGAGAATGGTATTGGGATTTTTACCTGAATTCTACATTGGCTAGGCTATCACTGGTTAAAGGCGTGGACAATTATTCTACATCTCGACTATTCTGCTCTATCATGTCCTGCTTCTTTCATGCTGATATTCCAAGGCTCGAGTACGAAAGTGCTGGATCTGGCTAGTTGCTGACACTGGACAATTGGAGACCTCAATAACCTACCTCGAACACATTCGTATGACTTTTAGTTTCTGATATGAAATCACTACAACTTCTGTGTCTGCTTGATCAGTTGGGACATCAATGTATTTTCCTTCATGAATCAGAAGAAAATTGGTCAGGTTTCACGAGACTTATCTCTCTTTTTGCCTGAGCTCTATGTTATCTCTTTTACTTGGTGTTCACGCTAGATCAGTTTCCCAACAAATTGTAAAACCCCATCCCCATGTATCTCAAATACTGGTTTACCAAAAGTCATTGCAAGAACAATGTCCATTCCAGAAATGATGGAACCTGTTAGTATCCCTAACAATAATTTCCCTACTCTCAACACTAGACACAGACTTCATAAATGAATGACAATCTCCACAAATCCTGAGATTCTTCATGATCCTGATAGGTATTCCCTCAGGCAAGCTCATGAGCCCGAAACAAACAGCGAGCTTCTCGCTGTGGTGTTTCAACAATTCCAGCTTCTTCCCCTGCTCCACATCATGGAGTTCATACCCAGCATCAGGTTTATAAACACCTCGCTTCTTCGTCTCTTCCATCAACCTATCCAGTTCCAGCAAAATCTCCATGATTCGAGGATGCTTTCTCTCTCCTGCCATAAAAGTATGCACCTTGTCCTTGATCTCAACCCAACTCTTACCTCTCTCCTTCTTCATCACCCCATCATTCTCTTTCAGAAGTTTCCTCGTGCTCGCAACACCTTCCCACTGTCTCCCTGCAGCATATGTGTTTGACAGCATCACGTAGGTTGCTGCATTCCCAGGTTCTATCTCGAACAAGTTTCCTGCTGCAACCTCTGCCAATTCCACGTTACCGTGGACCCTGCAAGATCCCAGAAGCGATCCCCACATCGGAGCAGTGGGGTCGAATGGCATGTCCTTCATCAGCTCGTATGCTTCGCGGACTAAACCTGACCTGCTCAGCACATCCACCATGCAGGAATAGTGGAGCACATTGGGAGACAGATGGTGGAGTTCTGTCATAAGGTGAAAATACGTTCTACCCTCTTTAACTAAACCCATATGACCACACGCTGACAAGACCGAAATGTACGTGACTTCATCCGGTTCGAGACCGGTCTGCTGCATCTTCTCGAACAGAACCATCACTTCCAGGGACCGAGAGTGTTTGGCAAATGCGGAGAACATCACGTTCCAGAGAACCAAGTTCTTGTCTTGATTGTTCTGAAACAATCTGAAGGCTTCCTTAATCGTCCCACATTTCGCGTACATGTCTACTAGAGAGGAGGCGATGAAGTTGTTCGATTCAAACCCGGTTTTGCAAACTACGGAATGCACCTGTCTTCCTTCTATAAAAGCTGCCAAGCCTGCACAGGCGCTGATAATGGAAGATATCGTGAACTTGTTATCAGTTTCCAGTCCTGTTGTCGCTCTGGCTCTGGTGTATAGCACTAAAGCCTCCTCGTAGAGCTTGTTTTGGACCAACCCTGCTGCCATTGAACTCCACGTGACGTCACTTTTCTCGGGCATCCCCTCGAAAACACGACTCGCGTCATGAACGAAGCCACTTTTGGAGTAAACGTCAAGCAATGCGGTGCCAACAAAGACGTTTTCATCCATGGAGTTCTTGATAGAGAAACAATGCAGCTGTTTCGATGTGAGGACGTCGCATTTGGATGCACAGGCACAAAGGACGCTGGAGACCGTGAATTCAGTTAAAGGGTTGTTCCCTTCTCTCCGCATTTGTACGAAGAGGAACAGAGCACTCTCCTCGTCCCCCTTCTGGGCATAAGCGCTAATGATGGTGTTATACGAGACCAGGGTTCTCTCAGTCATTCTGTCGAACACCTTGCGAGCGGAGACCACTGATCCACATTTCGAGTACATGTTTATCAGCATGTTTGACGTTAAAGTATCTGACCCGTAACCCAACTGAAGAATCCGTCCATGGCATGTCTTCCCTCTGATGGGTTCTTTCCTCTTGGCGCACAACTGTACTAAAGCATGCAGCTTTGCGATCTGGGTGGCGCTTCTGAAAAACTCACTCTCAGCCAACGACTCAGGCACACAAGAATAAGCTGCCGTCGATAGCTGCTTACGGAGTGAGCTAATGGATTTCGCCATTGACAACTCTCCTATTGGACTCTCTAGATTTATACCTGCTCTCGAAAGGGTTTTATTTAAGCTTGGAGACATTGCCAATTCAGCGTTGAAAACAAGAACACTATTTCTTTTTGCATTCAACGGATAAGGCACTTCTTAACCATTTACTATTGCTATGAGATGGTACAAACTGTGAAGTCTTGGTAAATATAACAGAAGAGGTGCAGCAGGCAAGCAGACATGCCTGCACAAGTCAACCCTCTGGGAATAAAGAAAAAGGTGGCGTAGCAATGGCGACCCTTTAAAGAAAAACAGCAACTAATTTGATATGGATACTAGACTATGATATTCTGGTCAGCTGTTGGCTCAGTTCTGGATCCTTGTAGTTGCCTCCTCACTAGTGCTGTGTAGACTCCATTCTTGCTGAGTAGCTCTTCATGTCCGCCGCTCTCAACGATCTGGCCATCAGAAACGACAGCAACAGTGTCGGCACTTTGGACTGTTGATAGCCTGTGAGCTATGACTAGGACGGTTCTTCCGGTCATCAGAGAATCCATAGCATCCTATAAGATTCCAATGGGAAACCAAGTTCATCATTTTGCTGTAAAAAAACTAAGAACCTAGGGGATTGTTAGGTAATTGTGCGAGTCTGCATTTGAATCTTGGTACCTGGACTAGGTATTCACTCTCAGCATCCAGAGCACTTGTGGCTTCATCGAGGAGAAGAATTCTGGGGTTCATAAGTAGCGCTCTGGCAATTGCTATTCTTTGTTTCTGGCCTCCAGACAGCCTTATCCCACGCTCTCCTACATGAGTTTTGTACTTGTCGGGGAAGTTCGACACAAACTCATGTGCATTGGCCATTTTCTACAATTTTTGGGATTCGTGTTAATCCTGCTGGCAGAAGATCTCACTTGCGCAGGAACGACATAGAGATAGAGAGACTTACAGCTGCATTCTCAATTTCAGAGCTGCTTATGTTTCCGTCACAGCCATAGGCTATGTTTTCCTCTATTGAGCAATTGAAAAGAACAGGCTCTTGGCTCACTATACTGATCTGTACCAGCAACGAAGAAGTTTGTTTATACTTGAGAACGTTCATAAGTAATCGAACTTCAAGCATAAAGTAGCTGCTTCATTTGAATACTTCATCAAGAGAAAAAAGTCATGATGCCGTACATCAAGCTAGTTAAGTTGAATCTACCTTTTTGTGAAGATGTTCGTGGGCTATTTCAACCAGAGGAACTCCATTTATGAGAATCTTGCCCTTTGTTGGATCATAGAACCTTTCGATCAAGTTTGCTATTGTGGTCTGGAGCAAGGAAAACAACAACTCTTTAGGCTTCAGTTAATTTTACTGCATAAGCAATGTGATGATAATTAGAAACGGCACATTAACTTCAAAGCCAAGAATGAAACTCACTTTTCCTCCGCCACTAGGTCCCACAAGAGCAACTTTGGAGCCAGGCTGAAGCTTCAATGATATTCCCTGAAGTTCAGAGTTTTATGAAGGGTTTATAATCAGGCAAGGAAGATGCACATTGATGAACTGAACTGTAGTTCAAGGAATCCAATTACCTTGAGTACCATATGGCTAGGACGGGATGGATATGCAAACCAGACATCATTTAACTCCACTTCACCAACTTGATCGCTGCAGTAGAAAGCATGCATTTGTCAGTTCTACCACACTACCAACAGGTAAGCAAGGAGTTGGAGCAAAGTTTCATTTTGGAGAATAATCTCATAAAATAAGGATGAACCATTCAGTTGCATGACCCAGGAAGAAGAGAACCATTGCAAACTCTAATGATCGACGAATCCTATCCAAGACCAAGCCATATCTTGCTTATCTAGTCTTTCCTTCACACGGATTATTATTTTTTTGTCTTTCCTTTTCAGGAACAGAGTATTCTAGTTCACGTTGATATTTGCTTGCCAATCAAAATGTCTCATGTTGGTGAATTTTTACAGTTAGTATCAATTACGCTTGGAAATCTAATTGCTGACAGGAACACTCATGACAGTCAGACAGACCCAAAGGGGTAGATATCTGATGACTAACCCCAAAGGACATTTGTCTCCCGATTTTGGCATGGTTGAGATTCGATCCAGAAGCTGGAAAACCCTCCTGCTCGAACCAGCAGCTTTCATTGCCACTGTGTACAAACTTGATAATCCTGATATAGATGATCCAACTGCAAGCGGAAAACAAATTCAATACAAGTCGTACGAACTTCCATTTGCTTAAATGACAATCACTGTTAACCTATACTAATGGGCTCTGGAACTCACCTGTCAAGCTGTATAGAATGAATGAAGTAAGGGCACCAGCAGTCATATAGCCTTTGATTGTTAAATTAGCTCCATATATCACCACAACAATAACTGATAGTGTTGATGCTGCATTCATCCCTCCACTGAAGAGCCCAACAACTTTCTGCAGCATCAAATAACTAAGATAAAAATATGGCAGCAAGACACGCCAACAGAAAGCAGGACTGGTGGAAGGAGGATACAACATTAGAATGATAAGGAACTCACAGCTTGTTTAAGTCCAAGGTTCAATGTCACGTCAACTTTCTCAGAGTAACGTGACACCTCATAAGCTTCTTGTGCAAATGATCTTACAGTCCGTATGGCACCAAAAGATTCCTGACCAAACAAGACATTGCAGATACATTAACTGGTATAGTTTACATATATGATGGCAGGCAACTTCACATTTTCACATGATCGAGCAGTAGTTTGATAAAATATCACTCCTTTAGATATCTTTTCATCTTTCCATGACTCTTTCACTACCGATAGATGAAAAAATTTAGCTAGTACCAATAGCTCTCAGCACTTACCTCAGCAATTGAAGCAGCAGCTGCTGCTGCAGCTTGAGTCTTGTGAGAAAGTTCACGCAGGAAACGGCCGAATTTTCGTACCGCCATAGAAATAACAGGTACAACAACCAAAGCCAACACTAAGCACAGATGAAGACAAGTTATACATCATGAGCAAACATGTAGCTGTAAAGAGTTCAAGTAATATGGTGGCAGTGGTCAGAGATCTCACAGGTTAACTTCCAGGAAGTTGAGAACATAAAGAAAAGACCAATAACTGCAGTCGACACGTTCCTCAATGCCTCACTAAGATTAGAAGTTGCAGCATTCTTTAGGATTTGTGTGTCTTCGGATAAGCGGCTCAGTAGTTCCCCAGTTCTAGTAACATCAAAGAAGGCTATTTCCTGAAAAGTTGCCATTCCAAAATCAGAAGTGACTATGATAAAGAAAGCAAAAAGTTACCTACAAGTACGTTCAATCAACTAAATACAGTTATTGAGGGGCATAAGACATTAGTTCCTACCAACTGCAGAAATGATACCTGGTTAATAAGGTGACTGAATAGGCTCTTCCTCAAACGTGCAACCACCCGTTCACTAGTCGAAGAAAACAACCATGCCCGAAGAGCTGTGCAGACAGAGCTACATGGAACAAAAGTTCATTTAATAACCATAAAGTAACGGAGTGCCTGTTTGCAGATTCATTGTGTGATCTTATATTTTTCTTCTTTTCAGAAGGAGAGGAAGTTATGCTAACTATAAACTTGAGAGACAACTAGATGACTTAACCCTTCAGTTGGCATTAAAATTACAGAAAGCGCACAACATAAGGACATACATACCCTACAACAACAATCACAAAGATTTCTAGTATGGTATTGGTCACAGCATTTAGAGCTTTGTTCTTCTCTTCAGGTGTGTCCAAATCTCCTGAAACTATGTCTATTATCTTGCCACCGTACTTGGGCTGGAGAGTCACAAAAAGAAACTTATTCACAACCAAGAAACATCTCATCCGAAAAGCAGAAAATAGCTATTAACTCAATGATAGCTGCTAAAACCATATTTAATACTCACAATGAGAATGCTTGATGTGGAGGCAATTAAGAGAGCAATTGTAGCAAGAATCAGCTTCCCTGCATCAGGTTTTGCCTGACAGACGACTCAGCATTAGGAAACTTGATATTTCAAGTCCAAGCTTCTTGAGCAGTTTTTACATTGACAACTAGCAAATAGTAGACACTTACAAGTGCAAGAACTCGCGCGAAGCTAACATTTGCAGCCTGAAGATTCACATGGAAGATCAGCAGAGCAGGGCTTTTCATAACATTAATGAAAGGTTTGTAAGAGAAATTTCATCATACCTGTACAGCATCTCCATGCTCCAGGTCTGACAATCCATTGTTCCCCTCAGGATCATTCCTCTTTCGTCCCTCCTTCGGCGAAAAAACATACATCAGATGAGGAGCTAAAACTAGAAGAAGAGAAGTCCCAATATGTGATTGCTTCATTCATCTCTACAATTGACTATCATCAGTGTCAAAAGATCAGAACTTTGCGAAATGCACCAGGGGATACTGTGGAAAACCAAAACCCATTTCATCGAACACGTGATGAGCACAAAAAATTGACCCCCCAAAGCTTCTTTGCAGTACACACTAACAGAAACCATCGGTTGGAATTTGGTAAGCAAGCTCGTTCCCATATTCACTCCAGTTGAATTGCAAAGCTTCAATTCAGTATTTACCCCGGAAACCACATACTATATACAAGGAAACCGCAATTTCGAAACCCCGAGCGCAAGCAAATCTCAGGTAGCTGAATCAATCGTCAAAATGGGAAAGCGAGACTTACTCCGCGAGATAACAGAGGCGTCCTTTCACCACCGCCGAACCCGCCATGGCCGCCAAAGCCTTGCATCCTTTAAAACCCAAACTTGCGGCCGAAGATGGAAGCGAAGAAGCACAACACCAACAACAACGCCAATCCCAACAAATGTGTTCGTGTGGCCTTCTTCCTTTCTCAGTAAGAGTTGGAGGCTCCAATCCTTAATATAGACATGGAGGAAGAAGTTAGATACATGAATGGCTTTCCTTTGCGTAGTTCGCGATAAAATGGGAGTATGGAGTTTGGCGCCATTGCTAATTGCTCTCTCGGTACTTACAATGGTAGAGTGGAAGAAAGTGTGTGGAAAATGAGGGAGTTCTTCGCATTTTTCATTACTTTCTTTTCTTGGTGAGGAAGAAGGCACAAGGCAGAGATATTATAATATGGCTTTGCTATCGTCACTACTGACGTGGCATGGAGAATGAAGTCAATTTCGGGCCGTTGGATTCAACTCTTCCCAAGGCCAAAATCCCCAAATATCATTTTCGCATTTTCTAACCTTTTCTACATATGAATTTTTGTTATAGACTACACAATGATACTCGTTTTGATTTAATAAAATAAGCGACATGCATTCTGATATATTTTTTAGAGCAAGAATTTTATGATCATGTTTTACAAGAATCTCAGTGCACTTTTGTAGAGATCATAAGTGCACTATTGTAAAGGTCTTAGGATTCGTAGATGTACTATCATAGGAGTTATAGGTGCACTATCGTAGGAACTTCCGATGTGGACAATAAGTCGATGTACAAGTATATATGAATTTGTTTTGCTCGAAAATGTATCAAAATGGATATGATCTTATACAACATAATGAATTCGTTTGAACTATGCAAAAGAAGGGGGAGGGAAATAGAGTTACAACAAATGAAGTATGATCCATTAAAAACAATTAGAAAGTAAATTGCTCAACAAAATTCTACAACTCGAAATTGATTTGAAATGGATGGTAGTAGATGAGTTTATGCATAAGATTATGAGAATATTAATATAGGTTCAATAGGTCTATAATAAGGTCTAGATTTAACTCCAAACGTATACAGAGTTAGTGTAAGTAACTACTTCGTCAAGAATTAACAAATCTAATTAAGTAACCAAATTTGATATGAGTGACGAGGTTGTTACATTCACCATAGTTGAGTGAATATTTAAGTAGATATACCATTGCATTTACCAAAAAGAATATCATATTGGCCATCTAAACATGAACATTACCTTTGATGTATATCTAACTTATGAATGATGTCCATTCAAAAAAGAGAATAACCAAGGAAAAAGTAGTACCCCTAACCAAATAAAGAGGACCAGAAAAGTTCAATCTTTCACCACATTACCAGAGAGATCATATTAAGATCTATGGGCGTTTTTCCCCTACCCTAAGCAAATAATTGTAGCAATCATCATACGTAGTATCTCGCAATTTCTCATGCTTCGGAATCGGAGTAGGCCAACAAGAAGAGACCGTAGGTTGGAACGCCGTCCAATTAGGATGGTGCACACCAAAGAACTCCAACTCTCCCGTCCCCGTCATATCATATGACAAGACAACTGCTCTTTTGTCACCCGTTGTCGCAGCAACACCAAGATAACTCAAGAAGACGATTTCAGGCTTCGAATTTAACCATGTGCAGAGCACCTCGCGAGACCGAAATACGACACCTTCCATCCTTCGAAAAGGCTATGGAGTCGTAAATAAAAACAGGACGCACGTCGAGACCGAAAAGGGTTCATCGCGACGACGAGCACCAGCGAGTCGAGCCCACCGTCTCCTGGCCCGAGGTGGCTTCCTCTATACGTCCCGAACAACTCCCCGTTGCACTAAACCACTCTCTGAAACATGGGAGTCTTGATATACCTGTGACGGTCATCCCAGGGTCCACTCTCCCGACTCGGAACAAAACACGTACAGTTCAACATCCCCCCCCCCCCCTCCTTGTCTCCTCGTGCATGAGCACCACGCGGAAACGATACTCGCGAGAATAAAACGAGCGATCCTTCTCCACCTCCAAGTTCAAGACTAGTGGGGCAAACGGGCTCACAAGCAAACCTCGCCGCAACGAACTCCCTAACCCTAACCCTAAATAGCGGCCAGTAGTACTGGGGCACCAGAGGAAGGACGACACCATTGCTTCGTAAACGAATTGCAGACCAAGTAGAATCTCCTCATCAATTCGTATGTCCTGGAAACCTCCTGGCCCGAGAAGCCGCACAAGAGCAAGTCGTTGGAGGCATCCCATACGGTGAAATACGGCCAGAGTTCGTCGGGGACGGGGAGGAAGCTGAGGTATTGCCGGTGGTGGAATGACGTTGTTGATGGTGGTGGCGGCGGCGTGACGAGCAGAGGCGGCGGTGGTTCTGATATTTCTCTGCTCCTGTGGTGAGAGACAAAGCGGCGGTTGAAGGTGGGATCGGAGAGGATTAGGGAGCTCCACCGCTTGCAGACGAGCTTGCGGCGGCAGGCGGATTCAGGGTTTGGGAAGCTGCGGATGAGGATTTCGATGAGGAGGTCGTCTCCCAGTTTGTTGATCGTCGTCATTGTGGGAGAAAAGGGTTTAATTTTTTGCTTCTGAAACTGTGTAAACCCTAATGGTTTAGTTAAATACGCGGCTGCTGTTTAGGTCTGCGCTCGATCGGTCTCCTGGTGGGATTAGGATTTTGATCCAAATTCCCCTGTTTTTTTTTTCCCCTCACTCTGCACCAAGATTAAGGGTTCCTTCCAATATAAGTGAGTTGAAACATATTCATGCCTAATCTATGGTGTGATTATGTGTTGTGAAATTTTGCAATTTGGTTGGTCGTCGTTGTGGTATGGTTTGATGAATTGGCGATCATGGTGGCGATGCGATGCGAGTTTCGTCGGTTTTGATGTTGATGCGGTATCGTAATTTTACTTTTGATCGACAAGTTCCGTGAGCATATTGATGATGATTGATCTTATTGAATTGATAGTAGTACGATATGTATGGTTTAGTAGTTTAATACACGTGATTTTTGTCTTCTACGGTGACTAGCAATTGGGGTTCGACAAGTGCTGGCGGGGGAGAGACGTTTTCTACTCATCTGGGTGGAGTACTGATGGAAGACATCCTATGGTTGTTGTTGTATTTAATTTTCATTACTTGTTCATTTTTACTTTCGTTGCACTAACAGGGTTGCTCACTTCGTAGCATTCAATGTGAGAGAATTATTATTGATGTTCCAACTTTTCGTTAGATTACTATTTGCATGGTGAGATCAAAATGGCCGGGGGGGAAAGGATGGAAGTTGGTGGTCAAATGGCAAAGCCTTTGGCCTTTACTCGAGTATTCACCACAGATGATGATCATAATGAGAGAATCTTATAAATAACCATCATGGCCATGCAAAAATGAAATACTTTGCAGAATCTAATTATGAAGGATGACCATGCATGCAAAGAGAGATGGACCAAGAAAAAAAAGTAGCATATCTTTATGCACGAATGAAGTTTACTATCCACAATTTTTCTTTTTGATGGTTACAAAACAAAAGAGAATACGTATCCGAATTTACCTCTCGAGATAGGTTTCTTTAAAAGACATATGATAAAATTGGAATACTACGTAGAAACATGTTCTTGGTGCCGATCCAATTAAAATTAAAACTTGTTACAACTCTTGAGAATTCCTAGTGTGATTAAGAATGCGACGTAAGTACTTCTAGTCGACGACACCATTTCTAGTACTCGTCGTTGTTATGTCATCGTGGGCTTCGTATGGTAAACGATCGAGGTAAAAATTAATTTGAAGTGTATGGACTATGGTAATGTAAAACCTAATCCTTTAATAATGTAATTAATTAACCTACTTAATTAAGTGCTTCGCTGAATTCATTGGGAAGTGACTCGTGGTAATTATTTAATTAACCTAGATAGCTAGCTAAAAAGAAGAAAAGGAACAATGAATACATATATATATATATATATATATATATATATATATATATATATGAATTATGATCCATAAAAAAAATTCAACATAGTAAATATAAATAAAAAAAACAATACAAGAGAAGATCATCAAGCTCAACGAACAGGCACATTTATATATATATGAATTATGATCCATAAAAAAAAATTCAACATAGTAAATATAAATAAAAAAAACAATACAAGAGAAGATCATCAAGCTCAACGAACAGGCACATTTATATATGGATTATGTATAGGGTGAATTGCGAAACCCAACCAAAGGAGAGCACTCCAATGGTTTTATACTACTGATAATTAGTTAACCTACATAATTAAGAGCTTCACTGAATTTCATGGAAGGTGACTCATGGTACTTGTTTATAGTTACAAGCTTCGGTTACTGAGTTAATCGATTGATTGAGCAACAACTTATAATTATAAAAAAAAAAAAAACCAACAGCTTTGGTCTAGTAGTGATACTATCGAAGATGGCGAGTATTGCTTTCATTAACATTGCCTAAAGCCAAGAAAAGCGAGTCTATTTACACAAGTGGTGTACGTCAAAATACGTCTACAAGGAAAAATTCAGTTAATCACATCGCCGTCATACAAAAATTACAAATAGGGAGATGTACACTGTCTGAGGCAGACATCTACACACCCATTTGCTCTCCCAACTCGCCACACAACCGCCCCAAGCCTCTAATAACGACGCCAGAGAATTTGAAAAAGTCACTTATTCGAATCCCTTAAGTTAGCAACTAATGATTAAAAAACCATATATCCCACCCTTCTTGTATACATGGTGATGAAATCTATGTGTTTTTCTTAATACAGGTGGTGAAATCCATGTCAATTAACAGTAAATAATATTTTTACATGAATGTACTTAGTTTATCCAATAAAATTACATAAACCAAGCTAGCTAGCCAGCTATTTGACTTTTGCCACTGCAACAATATCATCGGTATTCTCCTTCCATCTTTAACTACACTACTGATCATGATTCTTTGCATTGACAACAGTGCATCTAATTATAAGTGCATCTAATTATAATTAAGTTATCCCCATGCAAAAATCCCAACTACATAAATGGCGCCTCCTCTTCACTGATTCATTTCTAAGCTTATAATATAACGTGGAGGGAGCATTAAAGAATTGAGAAACAGAGCATCCCAATATTTTTCACACATAACATGACAACACAAATTACAATTAAAGATTAGATTAAATTTTAGTTTAGTTTAGTGCATGAAAGTTTGAAAATGAATGAAATTGTGGATTAACGAGGCAAGCTTCCCACGTGGGGATTCCCCTTTCTAGGATCCCCTGCTATATTGCTAGACATAATCTGATTCTCTACCCACATATATAATAAGACAAATTGATGGTTGATTAATTAAACTCGAAGTCTTGTCATTAGCAGGCGCTGGAATTAGATTAAACTAATTAAACTAATCCCTGGTAATTAGCTAGTCCGTATTAGACATAATCTATTGTTGGCTGAGATCTAGGACCATTGTTGCCGTGTGTCACACATGCAATGGATGCATATATTAGGTGGCTAGATAGATGACAAATTAGAGGAGGCAAAATCTTGTTGGTTGATCACACTATAGAGTTGTTTGTTTGTTTGTTGTTGTTGTTTGTTGTTTTGCTGCAAATTAAACTAGAGAATTAAGTACTAATTAAACAAGATTAGAGAGTTTGGTTTGGTGAAGTGATAGACAATTCGCGGAACCGCCCTGTTCCGATCTGTTTGGGAATGAGTATTACCCTATCTACAGTAGTGTGAAACCGGGCATAGGTATTGCTTCCGACCTGTCTCACACGTTCCATTCTGTTCTATAATGATTTGCATCGATATTTACATGTATTTCTCCACTTTTGATCTTTCTAATTAAAGTCGTATTTTCATCCCAAAGAGATTTTAAGAGTCCATCTTTCAACTATTTGGACTCAAGTATTTCTTCTACTATATCTCTCATTCATTTATGAAGTGGTTTCTCTATGTTCTCTTGTAAAAGAGTTAATTATCCGTGTTCTTTTTTCAAATATTTAATATAAGAATGGGTCTCTCTGCCCCGTACATGCATGATTATTTCTTGAGCTGACCTACACCTAATACTTGACGAATATTAATAATGAGATACCCGCTCCACCTCGATCCATTGTCATCACTACTTTGTGGGTAACTAAGCATCCAATATAATCTATCTTTGATCATTGTGGTTAATAAGGATTTGGTTAATTGTGTAAGTGGAGGAGAGTTTCCTTTTGTATAACCTAGCTAGACTAGTATTTAAACCAATACAAAGCTCAAAATTGCGTGTCAAATCTTAGGTATTTTATACACAAAATAAAATTTCAAAATGAACATAACTTGTAATTTTTGTTTTGTTGATGTCGGGTTTCTAATCTGATCTGGAACTTCTAGTGAATCTTCGAACAATGGATGTCGTTCTTTATGAATTCTCAAAGCATAACTTATAGAATAGATACGTCATCGGTCTATTTTTTCGATTTGAAAAACTCTACAACATTGAATCCAACATCAAACGACTCATATATAGAACGAGATACTACATTAACTTATATCTCAAATTTCAGCCTCTCGCTTGAGAAATCATACATATTCATATTTATCTAAAAATACTATGCATATATGTTATTATTTGACTTCAAATTTCTATTTTGCTTAATCATCATTACCCTAACCAATAACTTCTTTCTTGGTCGACAAACAACTCCCCTTTTTCTTGCTTCTTCTTTGCCCTCTCTCTTTTGGCCATTAAATAGGAAAGGTTAGGGTTCATGAACCCAGCCCCTATAATCAAAGACATCAGAGGGAACGTGTGGTCTCAAACTATATATTTGAATATGAATCTCTCAATCTATATATATCATCAATTGAATCGAATTTGGGTATCCTAGGATTCGATTTACTGCTGCATGGTGTGATGAAAACAGAGGACACGAGCAAAGTAAAAGCAAAACCACACAACTGTGTCTGCATACGTTGTCGTTTCACTTGGACTTTTCTGTTATTCCCAGCCGACAAGTCTCACATTGATTTGCAGCCGTTAATTAGGTAAAAGCTCTCATTAGTCGTACCCTTTTTTAATTAATCTCATAGAATCCGAGGGAGGAAAAGGAATCCCTTCGAGTTTTGACTGAAAATTGAATCATTAAAGCAATGAGGGAAAAGAAGCAATAATCCATATCTACTTTATAGGCCCCGGGCAGTGTTGCGGCTGCCCCCTAAACTTCTTCTTACCGTCGCGATGAGTATCTCAATATCCGTAGTATCTGTTTCGTAATATGATGGAAGTTGACAGCTGGCTATTTGATTCAGCAGAGCAAATTTATAAGTACAACACGAGTAAGAAACATGCATTATCAAAACCTAAAAATGATGAGAAGATGTGGCTTGGTTCATGAACACGAGTTAGTTGTAGTTTGTGATTTGATTGGCTCATCTTATTGTTGTTGTCTGATTCACTTAGTTCTTATGTTTTTCAATGTTTTATCCTCCTTGTTTTTGAAGAACGTACCATGTTTTTTTTTTCAATAAAAGAATGTACCAATAATTTTAGGTGTCAACACATGTTCTACTAAGCAGATTGTATATTCAATAACAATCAATACGATCATTTTTTGTTATCGGAAAACTTATATTTTTATGATTTATCGCTTTGATTACATGAATCAATAATATTTATTGTTATATCTTATACATAATATCAATCACTTGTAAGATTATCGCTTAATATTTAAGTAAAATGATGTTATCGAATTGACGGGTTTTCTGTTTAATACTTTTAACTCTTTGTAGTTTTTTTAATATTTCCCCTCCTAATTTAATAACGCTCAATACTACCACTGCGATTTCTCACTCCGACTAAATCACCATAATAATGATCTCTTGTTATCTCTAATCAATAATACCATCTATGGAAATTAGGGAGGGAAATTACTATCTCATAACAAGTCTTATCTCTAACACCTAACCCTAATTGTACTTTGATTCTTTTGAACTATTATCAAAGCCTTAATCCGGGCTGCCCTATGACTCCCCAGCCTTCCTTTTTATAATCCCCTCACTAGCCACGAACAGTCCTAATCTCCCTCTTCTTCTTCCTTTCCCACCATTAATCTCTCACTCCCCCACATTTGAAAATCTCCCTCTCTTCTTCTTCTCCATTAGGGTTTCCAATCACTTCCCTTTAGGCCTTTACCTCCTTTCTCTGTGTTTTCCCCCCTTCTCATCCAAAGTTTCCATCTTTACCATTTCTTCGATCGAGATTCATTAGGGTTTAAAGGAAGCAGAACCCACTTCCTTCCAATCAGAGTTTCTCGTACTTACCTTACATAGATAGACAAAACCCTTTTTTTGTTTCCCCCCAAAGATTCCTTCTTCCTTAAACCCACAAAGAGAAACTCCCGACCTCCCCTGTTTTCTCTCCTTTTTCCCCTGCCTCGTCAAAAAAATGGCTCCGGCTTGTAACACCAGGAAGAGAAGAAGAGTCAAATCCATCAGCACCATCCCCAAACCGAACCCAAGAACAACAACGGCAGCAGCAAAGAGAAGATCAAATTCCACTCGCAACAAAATAAAGATGGAGAAAGAAGCAGCTCGTTCAGCAACCGCCACTTCTTCTAGCTCCTCCTCTGCCTCTGAACATATCATTGATGGAGGGTTCGAGGACTCCAGCGTTATCGTCAATGGAGGGTTCGATTCCAGCAAAGTTGTTGTTGTTGGGAACGAAAGCAGCAGCATTTGCTCGACTCCAAAGGGGCAGAGGTTTAGGATACCGAAGATCGATTCCTGCCCGCCGGCGCCAAGAAAGAAACAGAGAGACGAAGACGACGACGATGCTCTGTTTTCATCTTCACAACGGTCCAATTGTTCTTCGTTGCAGAGAAGGCCCGTAGCGTTCTTCGCCCCGCCTGATCTCGAGCTCTTCTTCTTGTTCGCCCGCCGACACATCTCAGTTTGATTGGTTTAATGTTAGTGTTGAAACTTTTGTTTTTTTGTGTTTTTATGTAAATAGAGAAGTGGATTGATCTTTCTCTGTTTTCCAATTGAACACTAAGCTATAGTGTGATGATGGGAAAAGCAACAGAGTGGCCTTAGGAAATGGTCACTACTCTCTTTAGATTTTACCCTCATCTGGGTATTATTAGTTTAACTTGTTTTGTTAGTTAATTTAGTGGTGCTTAGTAGTTTGGCTGACTCAGAGAGACAGGGGAAGAGATAGTTTTGAATAGAGATGCGTTTGAAGCTTGTGAGGTTCATTAATGGTGTTGGTGTGAATTTTTATTTTACTGTTGTTTGATCAGATTCTGTGTCTCTCTGATCTCTATGCATATGTAAACCCGCTGTGTTTATTTATGAGTTCTTTCTTCATCTTCATCTTCATTTCATCTACTTGGTTTCTGTGTTCATCACATGGTAATCCCTCAAACTAACCCCTCCAAGTAATAAAGCATTCACCATTGAAGGTAATCACTCTTAGTAGATGCCAATATTGTGTTGTAGAAGGGTATTTATCTCCTAAATATTTTGGTTTATTTCTATAGAACTTGATCAACATGAAGGTTTTACTCGTCTGTTAACATTCACTATCGGAGGAAGTAAGTTTTACTCGTTTATTATCAAGGTGTCACAATTGAAGAAAGTCAACTTTACTAGTCTATTATCAAGGTATACACAATCGGAGGAAGTCGGCTTTTACGCTCAGAACGAATGAACGATACCTATCATCTAACACATCAGATTCATTTATCTGGGGTAAAAACCTATAACAGCGAAAAAAATTTCTACTAAGAAGTAATCTAGCTAGCTAGCCAAACTATTTTTCTCGCAAAACCATGTCATACCGATTAGCGATATCGAAGATATTCATGTACGCGAAGCTATAAGATCAATTTTCTATCAATCCATATTGAAGTTGTTTCATAAACTTACACCATACTTTTAAACTCTTGTTCTTGTCCTTATCAATTAATCTCTCGATCATATGATTTCACAAATATTGAGTTTCTATACAATCATGATCATCCAACCCTGTTCTAGCCCTTGACATTAGAAGAATGTCGAATCTCTCTATCCACCAAAACCGCGTTGATACTCTTCTCTTTTCCTTCCACTTTCCAGTTAGCCAGCCATGAGTACTATAGATTTGCTTTTCATGGCAGAAAGTGATAAAAAGTAGAAAGAGAGAAAGCAAGGCTGAGAAATTCCTGATGAGTGATAGTGCCAGAGGGCCACCTGAAATGGTGGAATGGAAGGATCATCATCATCATCCAAAGTGCTAAGGAAACAATATGGCCAGAGAGAGCAGAACAAATGTCTGTAATGGGCTCAAAATGGAGCTATAACTAAGATGGAAAAGAAACTGAATTCCATCAGCTTTCTTTCTTAAACTTTTCTTCTTCCTTTTATCCATCAGCATGTAAACAAAACAGCTTTTGCTAATCTATGTCATGATAGAGAATAGAGATGCGGATTACATCAATCACCCTAATACGCCGATCAAGTAAGGTATCGCGCGGATTAATAGTTGACATATTCGAATTACATTGATCGGTAATTGCACTTGTTAGATGTACGAGGCGGCTCAAACTTGTTGAACAGTATCAACCTGTTGTGACGCTTATTATATTCCTAGCAAAAACAAAGTTTAAGTATTGGTTTACTTTATTAACCTCATAATTGTTTGTGTCTCTCGTGATGGAAGGAGAAGCTGAAGAAGTGGTGGGAGGGACTGTCAGCTTGTCTCTACTCTCTACTTACCCCTAGCATGGATAAGGGAATCCAAGGAAGAAGAAGAAGTGGAAAAAATTCACTCGTGCGGATTGTGATAATCACTTGCCGCTTGCTATAATTATTTTTCACAGAATCTCAGCGGTCAAATTATTGATGAAACCATTTATCATATCTTGTGTGAAACCTCCCTTAGTTATCATTTGTATTGTGAAATGTTTCGATCGATCATATGATCAAGTGGTATATACTTCGGTGCACACACTTTTTTGGGTGTATTCAGTGCACCCACCTCTAAAAGTGGTCATAATAAATTAAATTTTGAAATTTAATGGGTAGCATTAATCTCATATGATGATATAACACAGAATCACAACTAATCAACTCATTACCCTAACCTATTAACATTCAATTTTGAATCTAAACCCAAAATCCCAAATTGTAAACCCTAACTCTAATTTCCTAAACCCTGAATCATTCAAATTAAAGAGAATCTTGAATGATTTTTGTACAAATTCACGTGGTTCTTGTTCATCATACCACAAGGGATGATTGCCATCGTTTTCACATGAATCGCCTGCTCAGAATGACGATTATGAGGCAGGTGCATTCAATGCACCCAAAATAGTGAGTGCACCGAAGACATAACCATATATATATATATATATAGATAGATAACAAAAAAGAAAACTCCCCCTACCATCTTGTTTTACTTCTAATATTTTGTTGCCTCCTTTTTATAGAAAAGTTGCATATAAATATATAATGAAGTGCAATTTGTGAACTGAATGATGAGATGGAATGAAAGGGTAGTGGCTGGCCTAAGCCTTTGCCTTTATTCAAGTACGAGAGAATATAAATGATGACCATGCAAAAATAACAACTTTCTTATAGCTCATCATATACATGCATGGCATGGGTTCGATTGATTGGGGGTATTTGGAGTTCCTTTTCCTCATTCTCTGTGTGCAATATGATTTATTATGTCAATTTGTTCAATTTTTTTCCTGTTTGCTGCGCTTCGCGTCAAGCGAGCAATGTGAAAGGTTACATGTGATTGTAAGAGAGAATAAACTAATATGTAAGGAACACAAACTAAAAAAATTGCAGGCCTAACTTCCATCTAATGAAAAAAGTAGTCGGTAATAAAATCAATAATGGTAAGAAATTCCACGAATGCGAACATCTAAGCAGCTGAACAAGAATTGAGGAAACGCATTCGCAGTAAATTGAAGTAAACAATAAAAAATGGAATTGCTGGCCAATGAATAGATACAAATTGGGTAACAACAAACATAAAAGCAAACTTGGAAATCTTTTTTATTGAATTTGATTTGAATTGTTGAGACTTATTTTTTTATATATAATTGTTGAGAGTTATTACTGTGGTTCTCTTGTTAATCCAAACAAAAAAGATAATTGATTATGCGTCTATTAAATTCAATAAACAAAAGGATAAAGTTAGAATTTACTCTGAATTTTCAACTAAGACGGTAAATAGAAGAGAAATAGAGGATATGAAGAAAGAAAAAAACAAATGCGAAAGAAAAGAAAGAAGAACCTAGTATTTGGTTTCATTGATTCCAATGCCACTTATGTTTTTTTATGGGCAGTGCGAGATTTCAATGTTAACTTTCTATTCGACCCCGATCAAGAAGGGATGAGTATAAATGTATAACCAAATACAAAATTCGGTTTCAATCTCGAGCGAGAGAGATGAGTACAAATGTATAACCAAATACGAAATTCGGCCTCGAGCGATTTCATTGATTCCAATGCCACTTCACACTTTTCGATTGTGTGATATTTCATCGTAACCTTCTATTCGACCCCGAACGAGAGAGATGAGTAAAAAATGCATAACAAAATATGAAAGTGGGTCTCGAGCTATTTCATTGGTTCTAATGCCTCTTTCGACCTTTCGATGGAGAGTGAGATTTCATCGTTAACATTCTAATCAACATCGGGTGAGAGATGAGATAAAATGCACACCCAAATACGAATGTTGGTCTTGAGCTATTTCATTGGTTCTAATTCCTCTTTTGACTTTTCGATTGAGAGTGAGAGAGGTGAGTAAAATGTATAACCAAGTACAAAAGTTAGTATCAAGCGATTTTATCGGTTTCGTCGTTTCGAGAGGTTAAGAATACAAAAATAAATAGGAAAGTTAATTGATTTTAGCACAAAAAACAATATATAAGGAATTTATGGAGGGATTAAAGAGGGAGAGAATCAATTAAAAATGATAAAAACAAAATAAAAGAAAAAGAGACCAATAAAAAGGTGTCATATGTCTCTCTTAGAAGAATGCAGTTTCGATCTTGAGCGAGAGAGATTAGTACAAATGTATAACCAAATATGAAATTCGGCCTCGAGCGATTTCATTAATTCCAATGCCACTTCGTGCTTTTTGATTGTGTGATATTTCATCGTTAACCTTCTATTCGGCCTCGAGCAAGAGAGATGAGTAAAAAATGCATAACAAAATACGAAAGTTTGTCTCGAGCTATTTCATTGGTTTCGTTGCCTCTTTCAACTTTTCGATTGAGAGTGAGATTTCTTCGTTAACTTTCTAATCAACATCGAGTGACAAATGAGTAAAAATGCATACCCAAATACGAATGTTGGTCTTGAGCTATTTCATTGGTTCCGATGCCTCTTTTGACTTTTCGATTGAGAGTGAGAGATGAGTAAGAATGTATAACCAAGTACGAAAGTCAGTCTCGAGCGATTTCATCGGTTTCTAGAGGTTAAGAATACAAAAATAAATACGAAAGTTAATCAATTTTAGCAAAAAAAAAAACAATAATATAAAAGGAATGGAGGGAGAGAATCAATTAAAAATTGTAAAAAAAGAAAAGAAAAAGAGACCAATAAAAATGTGTCATATGTCTCTCTTAGAAGAATGTCATTAGATTTAAGGTGAAGTTTAGGCAGAGATTTTGTTGGGGGTTGATGGTGATTTTCAGAGAGGGGGATGAAGAACATATCGATTAGGGGGAGAAGGAGAAGACATACAACTTTAGTTGTCACCTCATGTTTTTTTTTTTTTTTATCTACAGGGGAGAGATGAATGAGAGATTGAGCAAAGATGCAGATAAGAAAAATTTGATTTGTTCTTTGGGAGGCACGAACAAGGAGAAAGAGAAAGAAAAAAAAAAGGAGAGAGGAGAGAGATGGCCGAATAGAAAGAAGGTGAGTGGGTTTTCTCTCGCTTTTGGAGGGTTAGATTATATAGTAAATTTTCTTTTCTTTTAATTTCCCCTCTTCTCTCGGAAACTGCGTAAAATGTATTGAGAATCTAATTTCCCTCCTTAATCTTTCCTTCACCCTCTTTTCCTCCCTAAAAAACAGGGATTAGTGAATAGTAACCCCAAACCCATCTTTTTATAATAGAATATTTCAAATTTTTGGGTATCGATCATGTTATCTCACAAAGACAAGTTGTTTATATTTTTTTGGATTATTATTATTATCAGGGTATTCATAGTGGATGACAATGATTAACCCCTCGTATATCTTTCTTTCTGGTTTTATTTGTCTTTTACCTACTTTCCTTTCTTTTTTCATCCATCACTTGTTTATTGGAAGATTCATCAAGTCATTCTGACCAATTAGAGACGCCGATAAAGAGTTTTTGATAATTGTTTTGTCTCTTACTATGCTTCTTTAATTGTCACTCACTCACTTTACTTTCTTTTCTATGTGTCTCAATTTTTTTCTCGGAAGATTCAATCAGTCAAATTCGGACTGCGATAGAGAATTACGATTGTTGTTTTCACTCTTTCTATGCTTCTTTAATTATCACTCACTCACTTTATTATCTTATTTATGTCTATCATTTTTTTAAGATTAATCAAGTCATTTCAATTATATGTCACTCCTTAATTATCAATGTCTTTGTTTATGCAGACGGTAGTGGCCCTTGATCTTGAGATTGAGAACAACCTGCCTCACAATGCTTATATGAAATACTTTGGCCGTAATAATCTACTTCACCTAGAGGAGGATCCCAAACTAAAAACTAAAAATACAGCAGGACCCTCTGGTGACCGGCGGTAACCTCATCTTTCTTCCCTTTCTTTGTTTCTTTTCCCTGTCAGTCCATCGTCCCCCTTTTTCCTTCGTTTCGTCATGTCTTTTTCTCTTTTTTCCCTCTCTCCTTTTCGCTGCATGTTTCTAGCCATGGAGTGGCTTTCATCTTCTCCCTGTGTGGGTCTCTTTCCTCCTCCTGTTGGTGATGTGCTTTTGCCCTCTGATCTGATCTATCAGATCTAGAGATGTTTCGATCTTAGATACAAAGGAGGCCGAATCTTCTTTGATTTCGGCTTGTCTTCTCCTCTTCTCTCCCTTCGTCTACCTCCTTGTTTCACCTTGCATATCCTGGTGTTTCGGAGATGTGGCGCTCAGCTTGGACTCTGGGAGAAGATCCTGAAGACTGAAGTTCACCTCGATGATTTCGTCACCGGCCGTCCTCTCCATCGGAAGTTTCTCGCTCGTTTTGACATCGGGGAGCTTTGGTGTTTGGCCCGGCGAGGATTTGGTTGGAGGAGGGTTTGATTCTCCCGTCGACCTTTTTCCGGGGTGGTTTGCTACGGCCGACCTTCTTGTGGTGGGAGGAAGGTTTTCCAGCGGCTGCCAGCGGCGCGTGATGACCAATGGCAAACAATAGGCTGCTAGGTTTGTGATCTGGGCTCGGGTTGGGCTTTTGGCTGGGCCCTATTGGGTTTCCAGTTTGTGTTTGGGTCTTTGGGCTTTTGGTCCCTCTAGTGCTTAATGTTTGTTTGTGTACTTTTCCTCTGGGCTTGGCCCATTTGCATTCTAAATGAAAACCTTTCAAAAAGAAGTATTTATAGACGATGTATGGTAAACATCACGTATCATCAACCACTGACCTAAGCATTGATCAAATAAAGGCTGACAATTTACGTTTAATAGTTGAATGTATTTGAATGTCTAATCCGAGTTATTGGGTTAAAAATTATAAATCTTTAATAATGATGAGTTCAACAAGGCAATTGTAAGAAGTCATTTGGTAGTACGGTTGTGAGCCTGTGACTGAATACCAAATTTTGGCAATAACAAAAATGTTATGATATCAAAGTGTCAAAACATAAATATTTTACTTTGTAACATGAAGCAATTTGTATTTAGATAGAGTTATCCTAGCCACAATTATTTTTTTCTTTCATATTCCACTCATCGAGCAAAGTCGAAGGTATTAACTATGATTAAAAAGTAAATTAAACTCTTTACATATGCTTAGATATTAACAATAGATGTGTTTACAATACATCCATGAATCCATATGTATGCGAAATGTCATAATGGTTGTATAAATTTGTAAAAAAGTAATAAAAATCAACTTCTTAAAAAATTATAAATTAATTGTTCAAACGATACACCGTTTTAAATGCACCTAAAATTTGTGTGCGTTGTAGACACACTTTATCAGTTATTAAGATGAGTAATAAAAAAAATTTGTTTCATAAATGGTTAATGAAACCGTACCGTACCGACGGAATTGCTGTTTTCGAGAAGGTTATTCCCATGCATCGGTTTTTGGTAAACCGGTACACTGTATTTTACGGTACTAACTGTTGAATTGTGGTTAAGCCACAATTTTGCCATAAAAGACCCTACGACTGACTTTTCCAGTACGATGTTTAGTACGGTTTCATGAACCAAACACCAAAGATAATTTTTTTTTACAAATGCACATTAAAAAAGTTAGAAATTTATTCACTAAATGACCATGTTAAGACAAGAACCCTTGATAGTGTGGTGAGTGTCTTGGGTTGAGATTCTGAACCAACATATAGACAACAACTACATCAAGAATTAGTGATTGATACATATTGTATAATATACTAAATTTGAGTGTCTTGATAGACAAATTTGACATAAAATCCTCAACTAAGACTTCATGAACATTGGCATGAAAATGAGTCATGATTAGATAATATGATCATCGTAAGGGGTACAATATGTGTTAAGTTTCACTTGGAATAACAAAAATTATCCATTAATTAAGCATCTTTATCTAATAAATTGAACTCTCAATAATTGGTTTAGAGTTTGTCCTGACTCGAGAATCACGAATTGTTATATGTAGTTTAATATAATAAAGTTGAGTGTCTTGGTTTGACAAACCTTGATATGCTATCCTAAATGGGATGTGATAAATCTTTAAGATATAATTTTTTGTTAGAAAAAAATAGAATCATAGGTGAGTATGCTAAGTATTGAGAATTTTTAATATATGCATATCACATACTCGCTTATAAAGTGAGAGTATAAAAATGTAGGTGATTCAAAAGATTTTTAATATATAAATAAATCAATTGGTATAAATGATAATGAAACTCTCCGGCCAACAGACTGGGTAAGAAACTAGTGCACATAAAATGTGCTTTGTGCACTATAGTAAGATTGGACTTGGAGCGGACAAATTAAGTTAATATGGCTGTCATTATTTAATTATGTTTGTTTGGGGAATGAGAGGAAAGTGAGTTTACAGTAGGTGTAAACCTTATTTAGACAATGATAATTAACTTAACTATTTAACTTTTAGACAATGATAATTAACTTAATTATTTAACTGACTACCTAATTAGTGTAAAAAGTGCTAGTGAGTGGTATAAGATCTATTATTAAACCTCTCCCAACAACTCGAGTTATTGAGATCAAATGATTCTTAACATGGTATCAGAGCCTTATGTGACAGATAGGTCTTGTGTTCGAATTTCAGAGACCCCATTTGTGAAGTACATGTATTCTCGTATTCAGGACATGTGCAAACGAAAGCTCTAATGAGTTGACTAGTTTTCATATATATTTTTTTTAGGGGGTGTTAGTAAGATGTATAAGATTCATTATTAAACCTTTCCTAATACATAATTAGTTTGAAATATGCTTAAGTTCTCCCCAAAAGAATTGTACACGGAATTAAATGCTTAAATAGAAGTTTGCCGTAATGGGAGTGAGTCCGTTGCAACTAAGCGGAAACTAAATTTCTAGGTACGAGTTATTCCTTTCTTGCACTGAAAATTAATTTCCTATTATTGGATTACACTTCTATGCGTCTATTCCGATAATTAATTATTTGTTGGGATTTTGTGCTTTCCCTACCTAAAATTAAATAGTTTGTTTGCTTAATTTTCATGTTTACAGGAAAAATTCATGCTCAACAATAATCAACATAAGCTAAATTCTCAATTCACATATTATTTAACTTGAATTTGCGGTCAAATTAGCTCTCACCGGAAGTTTTGGTGTGAAATTTAATGTCAACTGATAGCTTTATTTTTCATCTTCTTTTGTTTTCTTTCTTAAACTTTTTTATCTGTTTGGCAATTAAAGGGTTCAAAATTCGAAAGAGGTGCAACTGAAGGTGTAAATTGAGGGGGGGATTGTACTGGGGAGTAAGTTGATGTGTAACTTGGTGTTTGAAACAAAAACTAGGAATATGAAAGGATGCAAAATATGTATAAAGTATAGAATTTAAATAATAAATATAAAAAATTAAACAAAAATTAAACTCTACCCCACACTTTTCTCACACTTCCTTTGTCTCTTTCCCCCGGGCTCCACCACACCCTCTCTCTCATTCTCCACCAGCGGTCCACCACTCTCTTCCTCTCTTCCATGGCCCACCACCCCCATCTCCTTCTTCCGCCACAACGTTTACGCCCCAAACTAGGGGGAAACCAGAATAGTGCTTTTGCACTTAGTTTGCACCCGCAGCTACGGTTGAAAACTATTCAAAGAAGGGTATTTGTCTTGGATTCCACACTTATCCCTCTATATTTCAACCCCTGGCCAAATACAGGTTAATAATTCTTTATTACGTTTGGTACATCTAGTGTTTAGTACTTTTATTCTACGTGAATTTCATATATTTATAATTCTTGTTATATTCTAGTGCCTGAAATCATCTAGTACAAATGATTCGTAATCCATACAAAATGCAAAAATATCATGTATGAGACTCATTTATATGTTAAGAAATGGAATCTTGAACCATTACATATCGTGGTATTTCCATGGAGAAGTTGAAAGTAATATTATGATGGCACCCACTATTGAAAAAAATTAATGAAAATCCTACCTCTAGTGATATACTTAACAATATGGATGGATTGATATATGTGTGTTAACTTGTCAATGGATGATAGGATTGCCATACTAGTGCAAACAAGGTGGATCTACCTATTGAAATTTTTGTTAATCTTAATTCGTATGTTTGTATTAAAGTTCGTACAAAGGCTTCTACTGCATAAGCATATAGAATTGATGAGTGGTTGACTTTTTGTTCAGTATATATTGATGTTGTTAATACCAAGTTTAATAAGTCCCCAAAAGATAATGATTACAATGAAAGTATAGAAATGGGGAAATAGGTACATTCGATGAAGTTGGTCGTCGATTTGGGAAAGATGCTCCACAGTATTCTATGGTGATTGGAGAAAGAAGACTCACATATGTGCCCAAAACAACTGCAAATAAGTATTGAACTAAAAGTTGTTTTCTTATATGGTATGTTTGTCACTATATACTTAGTAACCCAAGATGATATTACAGGGAATTCACAAATGGTTTACCTTCGATGCGAGACTCTGATATGATCAAGAGTTATGTTTTCGACTTCTTTAAAGGGATCCAACATCGTGTAAGGGTATACGCTGATTTTATCTAAAAGCCAAGTCTCTTGGCTACAGGTATCATCATTTAGCATTGCAGTTGACATTGTTGTCTCTGTTTTTATTTTATTTTTTACGCTTTTTGGAAAACAGAGTTTCAACGCCTCTATATTTAGCAGTATTGTAATTGGTATCCCACAGGTTATTTTTTCTTTCTTTTGGCTCGGTCATTTTCTAGGTTCAGGGAAAACGTATAATTGGAATTAACCAGTAGTTTAGTACCCACTTAACATTTGTTCCTTTCTTTTTTGTTAACAATGTGTGATTGACCGTAAATGAAATCACCATTACCTTCTTGGCTATATGATTTTGCTTTTGTTCACTAGTATGTTAAGCTTGGTAGCTTAATTTTTTTTTATTTGAACTTATAGAGTATCACCAATTATTTTGTTTACTATATCTTCAATAAGAAGATTAATTATTGATTTCATTTTATTTTCAGGAAGATGGGACAAGAAGCATTATTATGGATCAAATTTGGGATATGACGGTTGAAGATAACAAAATTTTATTCTTCATATTATTGGCGATATTGTCCCAATGAATTTCAAGCATACTTATTATTTATGATTTTGGTAATGACGATATATTAAGTACTGACTATTTTAGCTATTTGAACTTTTGGATGCCATTTATGTCATTATTATTGGGCTAGTAGATATATTCTTTGTTTGATGGGAATGTGGATGATATGTTGTGTCGACATAACGGGAATGATTTGTTGTCTCTGAAAATAGTGCTTAGGTGACCTAGAATTCCTATTTCTCTGGCTAGGAAGTCTGAGATCGTCCATAGAATATGCAAGCAAGATCCTCGACATTTTGCACTCCCACCCTGTTCACTACTTCTTCCTGGAATAAAGCACAATAGCACTTGGACTTTTTACTATTGATACAGACTAAAGTACACGAAACTACAACTCGAACCAGAACTTCGCCCTGTTTCGGTATATTCCGCTCGTCCTTCCTTCTTCCTGGAATAAAGGACTAGAACAAAACTATACTACATCATTAATCTGTATTTCTATGACTTACTAATGAACTATACTAGCAATTGTATCTGACAATGGCACATGATTAGTAACAGTGTCGTTGCAGTTGTTAGGAGGACTGGCTTTCTTGCTGCAGAAACTGAAATTGTTGCCTTTAATGGGTAATCGCAGCTTGTTGGCAAACACTTGCTCCCTTTGGGGCCGGTTTGCATAGAGTATCCAGAGAACCAAGCAGAGCAAAACTCCAACAGAGATTAACCCCAATCCCGCGTTTATGAGCTGGAGGTAATGCTCCAGAGGATGGCAGTACGTCGAGGTGATTTCTTGGACTGTGTCTCTCACAAATTTGCAGTCCTGAAGGCTGAGCAGGAGCGGAGTATAGTATTCCAGAGCGTAGGTTTCATTAACAGCTGCTACCAGCTGCCCATACACATCAGGTGTCACCCTTCCAACACTTGTGCAGTACCCCAATGACGAGACTTGGCATATGTAGCTCTGCCATACCAAGGAGGCGTTAGCCATCGAGACCTCTTGGGCAGCACACTGGCGATCGTTGAACTGTGAGTCAAATGGGTAACACATGGGAGGCATCAGAGGTCCAGACTGGTTGTAGTAATTGAATTCGGACCGAGATGGATTTGCATTTGCAAAGGTGTATATGTACGTGTTGACCACATTCACAATGTCATTAACGACTTCTTTGCTTTGGAAGAGGGTCTTGTTTGTAGTACTCTGATCAACGCAGGGGAGGATATCACTGAGTGTTGTAGCTGCCTGAGGGTTTTGAACCCATTCGTTCATGGCTGTACAAGTGTCTGTCATTGCGCTGATACATAAACCAAAGAGCAAAACCATATCAGCGACAGGTAGGCATGCAATCCTGAATATGAGATAACTTGATAACTCGAATCTTACTTGTGGAAAATTATGAAGACTCCACAAAGAATGAATGTTATAGCTACTAACAACCACCCACTCAGCACGAATCTGCAAACAAAGAATTTGTTGCTTAAAATAAGTAGAACGGCAAAGAGAGAGGGAGATGAAAAGTTTAACACTTTGCCTACAATAGGGTAACAATGTATAAAAAAGCAACTCACATATAGATCGCATGCTGGTGACCAAGGACGGAAAGAACTGCAGTAATGGAGAAGGTCAATCTCAAAGCATTATCATCTGTCAAAAATGGAGAAAACCAACCAAGAGAACCAAAAGCAGCAACAGATATGGGAAGAGTTTATGATACGCACCAAAACCAACCACAGCCAGTACAAGCATCACTGCAGCAACAGCAATTAGTGTAGAACGCCTGCAGATCAATTTCAAATTCATCATCAATTACCAAACATCACAAGCAAAGGCAATGAGTGTGAGGGATGCTCGCATTTAGATACATACACCGCAGTGAACACTGTTGTGATCTTTTGAGAATTTTCACTGGTCTTCTCTTCCAGTGTGTTTGCTGCAGCATTCAGATCCACATTCAGTTTGTCTATGTTGTCCATTACATTGGAAGGAAGAAGTACTTGGGCTACTTTGATGGTTTTGGCAAGGGACAAATACTCCGTGACGTTTCTCAGGGTTTGAACTGTGTAATCGGATTGGTTTACAACATATTTCAAAGTATCCAAAGCTTCTCCATGAAATTCACCCTGACCAACAGAAAGAAGAATGCAGCCAATCCTGAAAATAAAAGTGGAACATTCATATTAAAAGAGGGGGGTAAAAAGAGGTTATGGTAGATGACATCTGTGAACTGATGCTATGTGACAATAACCATTCAACCGAAAAAGGCTTTGCAAGAAGCAGGATAGTATAACTTCTATGCAACATACAAAATGATGAAGATTATAACTTTAAACAAACACAGAACAGTGAATTGCAAGGGTAGAGAAGTATATAAGTGCTATTAATTTCAGTAACCCATCAGGGTCCGGATAAAAACGAAGTTCATTGCAACTTGTTTGAGAATTAAGATTATGACAGCAAAGGGAAATCAGGGCTGGAAGATCAAGCCACAGATTGCTGTAGTCAAGAACAACAAGATTCAAGGTTGAGATGATTATTACGCTGCTGCACATGTGAACACTATCAGCAGTATGAGACATATCGTTTGACCACGCAACCCTCCGTCTGCAATTTTCACCTTCCATCCACAACAATGGTGTACTGCAACAGCCAGTCCAAATGAGATGAACCACACGATGGCCAAAATGAAGCCAGAAGCACCGGTGAATCCAACAGACTGCAATTGAGTAGAGGGATCACACTTTATCATTCTAGCGTGATCCAACAAAGATATAAAGAAAAACAGACGAAAGCATAAGAGCTAGACCAAGAGCTAATCAGCAACCCAGATGTCAGAAAGACAGAAGCCTTCAGCAGTTGCGGTAGTTTTAATAAAGATCAATTACAGAAAATAACTATCAGCTCAATCGCCCAGACTCCATCCCAGAGGTACAAAAGTATCCATTTCTTAAATTCCCAGATGGATTCGTTGTACAACTGCATTATAAAGCTTCAAAAAAAGGAAGAAGAAGAAACTTACAGCCCAGTAATGTCGATTGGTGATATCCCAACCTCCTTTATAGTGCTTAAACCCATTAAGTATATCGGGCCGATTAGTCCTCTCGGCGGCCAACAGAAGAGTGCTCTTAAGACCTTGAGTGGATGGTCCAGGCGCTTGTGCAATAGCCTCAGAGATCCCACTTTTCCATGATCCCAAATTCACTTGTCCTGCAAAATCAAACGCATCATCATCAGCAAAACCCAGAAGCCAAACCGCAATTCACAACTCATCTTCCGATTTTGGTGTCCTAAAACATTGCCAGCATTCCCGCTAATAGTTTAACGGCGGCGAAACGTTATCCACCGTCCTGCCGATTGGCTCCCTTGTTTCCGGAGGCAATGTAGCGAATTTTCACAGAATCTCAGCACCTCCATAAATTTCATCCGAACTATAACTAAATTACGCCACCAAACTCGCGAACACACGGGAGCCAGAACAAAAAAAAAATGAAGTTTATCGACGGGGAAAGGAAAAGCAAAATAAACCCAGACAAGAAAGAAGCAAAGAGCAGACGAAGCAGACCTAAGAAAAGCTTGGAGGAGCTCTGGATGGGTTGATTCAGAAGGTGAGCTGAAATGGAGCAGGCGGAAGTAACAGCAACCCAGAGCACCCAAACCAATCGGAATCTCACAACGGTGGACATTTTCAGTGACCAAAAAGACCCAAGAGACATCAATGGCTTCTCGGCAGTGCCGCCGCCTCCCACCGCGGAAACTGAAACAGACCCATCACGCGGAAGGAAGAAGGCAGCTGCTCTAGCTTGAGATTTGCAGAGAAAACGTGGAAACACAGGGGAGGCCTCTTTATTAATTGGGCAGGTGGCGCCGTGGCGGTGCTGAAAAGGGAGGAAAAGGGAAAGGGAGGAATGAGTGCGGAGAAAAAAATGGGCCGTTCACATGGAAAAATAGGGACCGGCGGAGGGAAGGGAAGGAGGCAAACTGACTGAAAAGGCGGGTAGGATTTGATGGTGCTGCCTGCCACAAAAGAAACGGAGGAGGAGGAGAGTGTGGAAACGGGAAGGAAAGAGACCAAGAGAAGGAATTTTCGGTGGGAGGCAAGGTTGTCAACCCGGATTGACCCGTCGGCCCGCTCGAGCAAGCGAGCAATGGGTGACTGGTTCAATTATGGTCAACCCTGATTAACCCGTTTTTATAGTTTATACCAATTTGGAGCAAGGGAGACTATAATAGGCAGAATCGTACACAATCTGGAACAACGGTCGGCTGGCAGAAATATGGGATTTTGGCTCTTGCCTCTTCGTCAGTGGAAGGAAGAGGGGGGAAGCTTGCCGACTGCGATACGAAGGAGAAAGGAAGAGACGATTTTCGAACTGGGAGTTTTGGGATGGATCGGTCGGTACATCGGCCAGTAGATTTACAGCCGGGTGTCAGAAGGAGAAATGCACCAGAGGAACAGCGGTTGCGGCCGTGGCTAGCGGCTAGGAATTCTGAAAAGGGAGGTCGAAAAGAGAGAACTCAGAGAAGTGTTACTTTTGGCGTTTTTGTTTGGCCAGCACCCCGCTCACGGGTCCACCCGTCTGGTTTTGTCGGGCTTTGATCGGGTTGGAGTCCCATTTTTTCAACCGGATCCTGTTCAACCCGGGTCGACCCGCAAATTAACAACTTTGATGGGAGGTTTAGTTGTTGGGTTTAGTGGATAAAGCATGCAACTCCAGAACGTTTCTTTCGCTTTTGTTAAAAGTTGACACATTTGCTTTGTCCACTTTTCTGGCCCTTGCCCATAACAAATTGCTGTTACTCGCTACATGACGAATACATAAATAAATGGAGGGAAGGAAGGAAGGGGATTGCGATTCATTAATTTATTCACAAGATTTAGTTTTTGTCATTATAGAAGAGCTCCGGTGGTAAGAAAAGATTTGTTGTATTGGAGGAGGTGAAGTGACATGGCCGGCCATCACTCTTGCCTCTTTTTTTGACCCTTAATTGCCTGGATTTTCTTTGTTCAACAATTTTTAGGTTGTTCACCTAATTCGTTCATCCTCCCTCACATTTTTCTTCTCGTTATCTTTAGCAAAAACTTTTTTCTTTTAATGCATGGTTGGTATTCTTGACTTTCCTAAGAGATAGAGTGCTAACACTTATTATAATGGTACTAGTTTTTTGTTATCTTAGTCGCATGAATTTTTTTACAATTTTTGTTTTAATACAATTATCCGATCGCGAGTGATTGGCAATATTATCCGGATATTGATTTGAATCATGTAGAGAGCGTGTGCTTTTCCAGTCTTGTCCGCCTATTGGACATGATTGGTTCATGGTAGTTCTAAAAATTAATATTAACTTAAGAATTACGCATGTTCAATACTGGAATTCCAAATGCAATCTTCGAAACATTGATATTTGAGTTGTGATTATAAAGTTACCAATATTTGTAAGATAGGTAGACATTTACTTTTGAGAACACCAACGGGGCCTGGATTCGAGTATGGGATATGCACCTCCCAATCCTTCACTGTCGTTGCAGCTTACCGTTAGGATATCCTTCGTAAGAAAGTGGATAATCCATTCTAATTACTCACCAAAATGTATTTTATGGCACGGTTGGATAGACCAATTACAAAAAGGGAAATTTTGGCCAATTATAATTACCCCAAACAGTTATAAATGTCTCAAACAGTTATAGATGTTTTTCATTTATTTCAAAACAAAACAATTATTTTAAATTAATCCACTAAAATTCCTTCTTTCAAATTTACAAGCCAAACTATAATCTGAACTCTCTCAAATTGATGAGGACATAAGAGGAAATGAGACAAAAACAGAGGAGAGAAAGAGGACAAGATGAAATAGAGAAAAGCCCAAGGAATGTGTAGCTCGAAGCTTTAGCTAGGGTGGTGGAGGAGGAAGGTGAATCCAGGTGTCTCCCTGCGATACCTACGTGGAGGCACATTGTGATCACCAAAGTCTCCTCCTTTCTTCCTCCCCTGCTCTCTCTCTCCTCGTCTCCCTTCTTTCAGACAATCCTCCAAGAATCTCCATTGATTCTCGCTCTACCTCTGTCTACATTCCTTTTCTTCCCGCTCGCTGACTCTCCCTCTCTACACCCTCCAACCCAACTCAGTTACCCAATTCAACTTCCCCGCCAACCCAAATTTAGGGTTCTCTCCTGCCCACTTGTAAGTGTCCTTTCCCAATTGGTTACTAGTACTTTTTTCCCTAATTGGCTTTCTCGTTTCGATGATCTTCCAATCGATTGATGTCGCTCCCTGATTTGCATGTCTCCCCTTTTCGCCGTGATTCCCACGGTTCTTTCTTTTTCTCCCCCGGCGGACGGCCGCCACAGTCCTCTGTTTTTTCCCCTCTCTTTCTTTTGTCCGATTGCTTGTGTACTGCGATCAGGGTCGCGATGGAATTTGTCGGGTTTCCTTCGATTGCTGCCGCCTTTTTTATTGTTGAACTGAAAAACCCCAATTTCGATTGTTCGTCAAAGTTTGACTTTTAGTGGTTGGTTTTCCAGACTCGCACGTTTGCTTCCCCAACTGCAGACATGTCTGAACGCGGGGGTAAAAGAATTGGGAGTTCTTGGGGTTGGGGATGAGTGAAAGCCTTTGCATGGCGTGATTAGATAGCTTAAAGTTGATAGCTTTGCATCTAAAATGGGAAATTCTCACTAGGGTTGTGAAATTCCAGGTGTCTTGATGTACAATTCTTGTGTAATCTTAGCAGTTTCGATTATCGGATATGTCAATTGTGAGTTTAGTAGCCAATTTAGAGCTCAACTTTGTACAGAGATTAGAGAATGGAAACTTTTATCTTACACCTTCATTGTCTTTTGCATATGTTGGTGCTTTGTAGTTGTATATACATCTCGGTTAGCTAAGAAATCGGTAGCCGCCTGAACTACCAGCAGGAGGCAATGCAGTCTAAACCTGCTGCTGCACATAGCCTGCCACCAGATTCACACGCTGTCCTTCCGTCGTATGGAGTTCCTTCTGAACCGTGGTGGCGCGGTGTTGGATATCACTCTGTAGCTGCAAGCATGCCCATAGGAAATGCCGCGATTTCAACTGGACGATCTGAATCAAATGATGATCAGTCTGTCTCGGATGACAGAACGGACGAGGAAGAGGGCAATGATGCTGCAAAAGAATCACAAGCTACTGCATCTTCTCGATCAGGTGACTCAGAGATGTCACAGTTTGCATTCTGATTGATAATCCAAGTTATTAGGAACTTAAATTCCATACGAAGTACCTTCTGGTCAGACGCATTTTATTGTTTGCTTTCTTCTTGGTACTTTCATCCTGTAATGTCATTGTATGATCGCTGTAGTGGTTTAACCACAATTCGACTCAATGTTTCATCAGAGAATTTTAATTTGGCAGCTTCTGTTCTCGAACAATTTCAGTTCTTATCTGGCTACTGAAGCTATAATGACCATTTTAACCGTGGTTGTAGATTTCACAGCTTATGAAAATTTAGATTCCTCCAGTTCCTTCTTGGAGTATCGGTATGTCACAAGCAGAAAGTGTACAGGACCTGACCACTGTGCTTTCTTTTTGCTTGTTCTTCAATGTCCCTTTACCAGTTGGGAATCATGGACAAGAGCATCTCAATCCGCAGAATGTTCCTCCAGGCATGACTACTAAGGCGCTGGATGGGACGCTCGCACAGCCTCCGCAATTTGAACTCGTCGGTCACTCTATTGTATGCACTCCTGCATAACAATCCTCCATTGTTTCGCTACAGAGAAGCAAAAGAAAAACAGAAGTGTAGGAGTGTTAAAAGGATGAAAGGGGAATTGGGTGCTTTTAGGGATTGAGTGCTTGCTAGAGCTGAAACAATTTGTTCTCACTTCCTAAGATAAATGATTCCTCCTTGTTTGGCTTTTCCTTTTTGCAGACATGCGTACCAAATCCCTATCAGGATCCATACTACGGAGGAATGATGGCAGCTTATGCACAGCAGCCATTGGTATGTGAGTTATTTTTTCCAGGATGTTTGGGGATATTACTGTCTAATGCTCTATTAAGGGGGTTGTTTGGCTGCTAGATTGTTGAAATGGGTAGATTGTTAGAATAGATGGTTTTGAAATAGATGCGGGTGTTGGATTATGAATACGTAGTAGATTGTGGGGGATGATGGAATTAGAAACGTATGACGTGTTACCATGATCACAGGGCTACCCTCACCTTGCTGGAGTTCCTCAGACGAGAATGCCGTTGCCCCTTGAGATGGCCCAGGAACCTGTTTACGTTAATGCTAAGCAGTACCAAGGTATTTTGAGGCGAAGACAGGCCCGAGCGAAAGCAGAAGTCGAGAAAAAGCTCATTAAAGTACGAAAGGTAGATGTCTATGCTCCTTTTCTGGTTGTCGAATTTATGACTAATGTTATCGCAATGCTGAACCTTTTGTAAATTTCGTCTCCTCGAGTTAAAGATGTCCAGCGGGACTTTGAGTTTACGAAACTTTTTCAGTTTCTATTTTGTATAGCAACGTGGATGGTAGCACTTCTGAACTTTTTGCATATTCGATATTTCCCTCAGCCGTATCTCCACGAATCCCGACATAAACATGCAATGAGGAGGGCACGGGGTGCTGGAGGACGTTTCGCCAAGAAAACTGGGATGAATGATGCTTTAAACAGCTCAGCTGCTGAGATCAGGAGAAGCGGCTCCGGTCCAACCCCCTCATCTCAGTCTGGTGGATCGTCTGGTTCCGAGCCGCTGCTATCTGACGAAACTTGGAACTCCTCGAAAGGTCATCAAAACGAGGGCAGAGTCCACCACCACCGAGGGCGCTTTGAGGGTCACAAATACAGAAACAAAGACGGGGGCGGGCATGGTGGAGAGGATGGAGACTGTTCGATCCAGCACCGTGGGAGCATCTCGAGTCAGGCTTCTCAGAGGTCTGTTGCGATCCAGTGACCACCTCAGGCAGACCAGATGTGGCGGCAAATCATTCTTGGCTTTTGTGCGTGTGTGCTTATGTGTGGGCTCTCATGGGTTTTGCTTTGGATGAAGCAGAGAAGGGAAAGAAAGCTTTCTTTTAGGCTGGCTTTCCTTTACCAGTAGTTCATTCTGCTGTTGAGCTCAGAGTCTTTACTTTTTTGGGGTTCTCCTCTTACTGTGTGTACATACCAACTGAGCAATAAACCTCTAGGGGGGAATGGATATATGATTGAACAGATAGCTTTTAGATTTTGATGTGGAAACTGTCAGTTATGCTTTACTACAACATTTCTGGCTTCATTTGGGAGTTTGATTGCATATATGGTCAGGTTTGTTCGATCAAGAAGGCGGGGCCAAATAGTATATGCATGGTTTGGTCCAACTCAAGCAAATTAAATCAACCAAAATCAACATAGATCTGAATTAAAACTCGAAGAAGAGTTACTGAATCATATAAAATTGAACGGATTCCTTGAGTCTGCCAGCCTAAGCATTAAGGTCCAACCTGCAAGCATTTCTGAACTAAATCTCGAAGAGTTACTGAATCATATAATATTGAACTGATTCCACAAGTCTACCAGCCTAAGAATTCTGGTCCAGCCTGTAAACATTTCTGGAATTGGGAATGTGATTGTGAATCAAAATCTTCTAAATTAGGAACCAAAAGTTGAGTTCAACTCCATCATGTTCACAACTTTGGCTACTATCATCCTCGGAGTTCTATATGTATAGCTATTACACATCCTAGTGAACAACCAAACTGCTTTATTTTTTGCTGTTGAAATTACAAGGTTTTAACACTCAAAATCAAGGATCCTGAAAACAGACAAAAGCAAAGCAAACTACTACTGTATTATGACCTGCTTGCTATGAACCTTCATTTTCTTTTTATAATTTTATATATGATTGTCATCCTGTTCACCATGCCTGCTGGTGTCTTCTTCATAACTTCCTACACCTTCCTCATCACTCTCCACCACAACTTCATCCCCCTCACCGGAATCCTCAACCGGAGGCGTATTCTCCGGTTGTGCTTCACCACCACCATCTGCATAATTGCTTCCAGAATCAGTCACATTAGCTACATCTTGTGGCTTGTCCATGAACCCGGATAACGCTAGCCTTGGAGACCACTCAAGCACGTCATCGATAATGTTGGACATCCTCCTCTGATACCTGCAAACAACATGGATCCCGAATATCAGCTCTCTGTATGAAAAACTCGCTACACGTGGTCTGGGACCGAATATGTACAGCAGAATTGAAGATGGTAGGAAGAGGACGGACCTAAGTCTTGCTGCCTCATCAGGTGCATGATGTCTTAGCAGCAATATAACTGACACAGCAACACCAGCATACAAAAGCCTCGTTGTCCACTTAGGACGTTCCTCCTCATCCTTTTGGGGCCAGAACCGGAACAACTCACCCAATGTAGCTTCCTCAGCAAGGATGTTAGGGAAGAACCAAACTCGTTTTCCTAGAACAATATACAGAGTACCAAATATTGTGGCTCTCACTGCAAAAATTAGCAGAGGAAATGTCAAATGGCCCATAACCATAATGGTACATGCAATAATTTGGTTCACTGAATTAAATGGGACCATATCAACTAATAATTTGATTTGTGGTTTGATTCTCAAATTCAAGAGTTTTTATTCCATGGATTGTCTTAAAACAAAAGGAAAAAGAAAACCAAATCAAGACCAAACCGGATCAAATTTTCTTTTAATTGATTTAGGTCCTCCTTTTCTCTTTACTTTCAAGCCAACATATGGACCACACCGGATCATGCACACACCTATCAGCAGAGATGACCACAGAATATTTCAACCTCAATCAACAAGTTAAAGAAAGCAGTACTTACACAAAAGGAGGGAGAGAATGAGCAAAAGGACACCCGCACATGAGTAGAGAATCAAAAGCTTGCATCGGTGTGGATATACAGGAAACAAGCATATTGCTAAAGTCAAGACGGGCCAGAAAAACGAGAGAAGTGTTTGCCAAAGTGGCCTTCGTTTCACAAACGCCCATGCGAAGAATGCGTCATTATCTGAGAACACTTGATCCTGCCAAAGACAACATATAGTTAACACAAGTTTAATGAAGACAGCATGAAATGAGAATTTACCGAGAAAAATGAGAGATTTACAGGGAATATCTCTAAATGTGCTGGCCATGTTGACAACTTTTTCTTCCCAGGACGAATAGTTTTAACCACCCGATCACAACGCACCAAAAGGTTCTTACTCAACAGAATGTCAGCGATTTCTTCGACCTCCAAGTTACTATTTTCTGATTCCAGTATCTCCTTCACCTCTGGATGATTTTTCAGAAAGCTTACAAAGTCCTTCCCCCTGAAATATTCCACACGAGTTTCCTGAAGGACAGCCCAACGGGAAACTAATTCTTTGTGGTCTCTCACCTTCTCAGCAAACAACTGGAAAACATCTTTCTTTGCAGCCTGTTTCTGAAGCAAATAACAAAAGTCCCACTTCAATAATGGTCAAACAAGGGGAAACATAACAAGAATACAAACACTGAAGTGAACAGCCGAAGAGAGTGGAAGAAGAAGTACAGCCGAAAGGCTCTCATGAATACGAGTGATCATAGAAACCAGACATTAGATCTAGAGACACTAAAACCACACACAAGTGAATTCAATAAATAGCAGTGTGCCAATTCCAAGGCACATTGTAAGGCTCACATGAATTCATTGGTTGTAATCAAAGGGGAGCAGATTGTAGAAATTATACACCAAAAGTACCGATACAACTTGGCTAGTACAAGTCTGTGATTCTGGCCAGCCAAATACATCTAGTGCAGCCCGAAGAATTAGCAACTAACAAGAGGGATTTCACTACATAAGACACTAGAAAAAGAATGGGAGAATAAACATACAGGGGGAACCCATAATAGCATCAAAGAATCCCATCCTCAAGCACCAAATCAACCTAGGCGTATGTGTGAAGAGATTGATTAACAAGCATATATTGACAAGAGCAATAAGCCCTAATCCCAGTAGGCAGTGAGTGAACAAACACACAGAAACAGCTCAATTGTGGGACTAAAGACAAATGTCACAAGAACTTGGTCCAATTCGTAAACTCTCCCTTTTCAACTAACGAATTGACTAGTACGCACAAGCTCTAACTAACCCTTCTCTCTGCTAGCCTGCTACACCAAATTGAGGGCCTTTCCATAACCAAAAGACGAAATTTTCACAACTAACAATCGTACCCTTCAATCAAAATCCCCTTCCATCGACTTTTCTCGGCAACCAAACACGAGGGAGGCGACATACTGCAAAACGGAGACAACCCAACTTCACCAAATCCCACATCAACACAGACAATAAAAAAGATGGCACATTTTACATCCACAAAGGCGGGTTAAGGACGACGATTAGCAGAGTAGATCAAACGAACCCTAGGCGGAGTATCGGAGCTGGGATCTCGGCCGCCGTTCTGCACCGCTGCCGACGATCTTCGAACCCTTTTCTTGTCTGCTCCGCCAGGTTTCTTCATCTCTCGCATTACTTCCCACTCTCTCTCTCTCTCTCTCTCTCAATTTGGAGGGCAGAAATTTTCCTTCTTTTCTCTCTGATTTCTAATCGTTTTCTCTGTTACTTCTGTTGTTCTGTGTGCCATTTCGATTTTTCATGTGTACATTTTATTTAAATTTTTGGTAAGAATTGTCCGTTTTTTATCATTTATTTTTGTTCCTTTTTAAGCAGTTGAAATTACAAGCAAAGTGAGTGCTGGAGAAAGAAAGCATTGGGCTCTCTCTCTCTCCTACCTGTTTATGGCTAATGACATGGGTAGATCCACATGGACCACTAAGATCCTGCCAAATCATTGCATTTGGATCTTGAAGGGACCTACCTTGTAATGTAATCAATTTTCTTTGAGAAGGATCCCTGAAATAAATAAAGTGAACACATAATACAATTATAAAATCTGAAATTTCTCTAATCAAAATAAATATCTTAAAACACCAAACATGGATGCCAGTTAATTTAGATGGTTATGTTGTTCTATCGAATTCCATAGACGATACTTGTGGACGCGGTTAGTAATTGTATGTTTGGGAGTTTACACCATCAATTGGAAAGTTGCTCCATCACTCATGTGGAAATTTGACAAGTCTTTCTATATATATCGTTGGTGTGGCGGTTATTATACCGGAAGGTAGTACTCTAGTTTGACTCCACATCGGTGATTACTTACTCTCGTTTTGGTCTACGATGAGCATCAACATGTTAGGCTTGTATTACAATTTCAAAGTCTCGTTCGTCGATACTTAGATAGGAAAGACCTCTAATATCTATTAAAAGTGTAACTTAGTCGACTTCTTAATTGTAAGAGTCTCTCCTATACCTACAAGTTTATATTTGGTTTATGTCTAATCCGAATGTTGTTTATTGGCTAATGTATTTAAAATAAATAAAAAGGTTTCCATCTTCTATTATTGATAGAGGCAATGCCAATGGAGATTTACCTCGTTTTTAATCAACAAATAAAGAAGAGAAGAAATCCAAGATTAGGATAGACACACATGAGCTACCAAACATTTTCCCTAGTAAAACAGAAAGCTGCAAACTTTGCCTCATGTCTTCCCTTCCTTTCCTTCCTTTTCTTATCCAAACACTCTTCTCAGCCAGTTTCCAACTTACCCTTTTCTTTTCCCTCTCAAAAGAATCAACAAATTATGCAATCTTCTTCCTGTTCTTCTTCTTCTTCTTCACTCCAACCACTACTCTCCTTCCCACCCAATCACAAGCCTCTAACCTTCATTGAAGTCTCCCCAGCTCAGGGCATCTTCTTCAACAGAGCCATCAGAAGAAAGTCTTGCTCTTCAAAGTCTTGGGTTTCTGTTCATGCAGTAGAGAAGAAGAACTCTCAACAACAAGAAGAAGAAGAGCAATATGAGATAGACCCAGATCAGGCTAAGCAAGCCTTGCAGCAACTTGACCAGCAGCTCCAACAACTCTCCACAAAGCAAGTCTCCCCTCCAAAAGTTAAAGGTGAAAACACAGTAGCTTGGAGTAAAAAAAAGACCACAGCTTTGTGTACATTTTGGAGTAAAGTTACAAACTTTAATCGAAATTTCACCTCAAAAGTTAATGGGGATTTTGAGTTTTACTAGGGAGAGATGGGTTTGGAGCAGAATTGTGTCTTCTGTTGTTGAGACTGTAAATCTTGTTTTGGTTGGGTGCAGCTTCAGAAGTGAAGATTACAAGGGAGCAAATGAAGGAAGAGTTCAGGGAGATTCCAGTATCTGTGGTTCCATATGTTGTAGTAGTTCTGTTTGCCTTCAGCATCTTCTACAATATTCTGTTCCTCACTGTGATAAAGCCAGCCATAGATGGACCAGAGCTAACCCCTGGAGCTACAATTAGGGTGGAAATGGAACCATCTAGGTACAGAATTATGCAGTTGATGCAGCCATTAAACCCTGAAGGGTTCCTGTAATTATGCTTACATTACATATATAGAGATGATTATGATCAATGGTATATACCAAGATTCATTGTTATCTGATGCATTTGAGATAATTGGTATCAAGGCAATGAAAGGTGATGGGGCCATCTGGAGAGCCCTTCTTAGTTAGTGCTTGTGGAATACATGGGAATGTGGAGGTGGTGGATAATGTTGGCAGGAATTTGTTAAGTTAGAGCCCTCAAATCATATCAACTATGTGTTGCTTTCAAATGTTAATGGATTGGTTAATAGATGGGAAGTTGTTGGGAAGCCAAGGAAGGAGATTGAACTGAAAGGGTTGAGGCAAACTCTTTGAATGGTGTAGTTCATGAGTTGCTCAGTTGATGGAGATGTTGGTTGGTTGGTTGGTTGGACACATCGTAAGGTAATGTGTTCGATTAACGTCATCAATCAGTTTATGTATAAAATCATTTAGCAACACTCGAGTTGGTCGTGTCTTGTGTTCGGGTTGCTCGGTATGTTCAGGTTACTGGATATCACAAAGGCCCGATGTTTAGCCTGCCTGCGACGTCACCAATGTAGTGACTAAAAAGGCGCACCAACCTTTGTCTATTAATAATGCGAGGGATTTGAACTACAAAATCTAATTAAAGTACAAGTAATAGACCAAAAAGAAATAAGGGGCAGTAAAAGTAAAAATATACTCTCCTATTCACATATCATTTGACCTACAGTAGCTAAATGTTTTGAAACAATTACCATCCCGAAAAAACATACTCAATAAGAAATTGTGTCATAATGAAGTATCTGTCAATCTAAAGGTAATAGGTGTTGAATTTAGCGGTCTCTATCAAATGAACGACCATTACGTGAATCAGACCGCAGAACGACATTCTTAACCCTCAAATTCCTATGGATGATAGGTATTAGAGAGAACAAATAGAGTGATGTTAACACAATGTTTCTTGTGTTTGTTCGTCCTTCTTATGAGTTTGTTCGTAATTCGAATAGATAACGATGGTTAGTTGTTAGCCAATAATTTCTTAGTATTTTGATTTTGGTTTGTTGTATTTTGTTTAATGATTAACCGATAAATACTAACCGACCAATCGATTAATGATTAATCGATAACGATCTACTAGCATAACCACATATTCCTAAGAAAAAACCACCCGAAGTGAAGAACACCAAATTTTCTTCCAATCTTTGACCCGGCGGCCAACAAAAGTTTTCACTGCGGCGACTCGGTTTGACCCTTCTCTAATTGGGCTTGCGGCCCATTTAAAGACGGTACGGAATAGCGTCCATGTTCAATGTTCCACAGAATCCAATTTGGGTTTCGCATGTCTGCCACACTGCCCACTTTGTATCACGCGCCGCCGTCTCTGTTCGTGCTTTTTTTTGCCACTTGTTGCGGCCGAGCCCATGGCGGCGCGTGTAAATAACCAGGTGCTCGTGTCATGCTCCACTTAGGCCAGAATCGCCAGATATATATTTAACCACTTCTCCACTTCGACAGCCACACTCCTCTCAATTCGTCGGCTTTCGCTTTCCCTTCCTCCCTTCTCCCATTTCCCGTCTTTCGCTAATCCATTCCTCCTCCACTCGCTCCTATGGCGGCGACGTTCGGAGCTGCCAATACGGCGGCGGCGTTGAAGGAACCCGCGATTCAGCTCCGAAGCTTCGACGGGTTGAGGAGCTCTTCTTCTTCCTCCTCCTCTAATTCCCTCGCTCTCACCAGACATTTCAGTGTCTTCTCGCTTCCATCTCCCCGGCGCCCTTCCACCATCAAAGCGGTCTCCACCGTAAGATTTCCCTCGCGCTTCCCTTTTTCCCTTTTCGTTTCTGCTTTCTGGGTTTTTCAATTTGATCGAAGATGGCTTTACTTTTGCGCTTGAATATGTTTCTCTGTTGATAATACTGCTTTGGATGCAATGAAGATGGAATTTTTCCGTTCTTTTCATGTTCGTTTTGCTGTTTGGGAACTGGGAAATGAACGAATTTGGTTCGTGATTTGCAGCCGGTGAAGCCTGCGACCGAGACTAAGCGGAGCAAGGTCGAGATCATCAAAGAACATAGCAATTTCATAAGGTATCCACTCAACGAAGAGCTGTTGACAGAGGCTCCCAACGTGAACGAGAGCGCGGTTCAGCTCATCAAGTTCCATGGGAGCTACCAGCAGTACAACCGTGAAGAAAGAGGCGGGAGATCCTATTCCTTCATGCTTCGTACTAAGAACCCTTGTGGCAAGGTTCCCAACAAGCTGTACTTAACCATGGACAATCTCGCGGATCAATTTGGGATCGGGACTCTTCGCCTGACCACCAGACAGACGTTCCAGCTCCATGGAGTTGTGAAGAAAGACCTCAAGACTGTGATGAGCAGCATCATTCACAGCATGGGATCGACACTTGGAGCTTGTGGAGATCTGAATAGAAATGTTCTTGCTCCGCCTGCTCCGTTGGCGAAAAAGGACTATCTTTTTGCTCAGCAGACTGCTGAGGATATTGCTGCCCTGCTGACTCCGCAGTCTGGTTTCTACTATGATATGTGGGTTGATGGGGAGAAGTTTATGACGGCTGAGGCTCCTGAGGTGGTGAAGGCTAGGGATGATAATTCTCATGGGACAAATTTTCCTGATTCGCCTGAGCCGATCTATGGGACTCAGTTCTTGCCTAGGAAGTTCAAGATTGCGGTTACTGTGCCAGGGGACAACTCCGTGGATATCCTGACGAATGACATTGGTGTGGTTGTGGTTAGTGATGACAATGGCGAGCCTAAGGGTTTCAATATCTATGTAAGTTTGAATCAACTTAGTGGTCTAATTGCTTTGTTAAGAATGTTACGAGCTCTGTATTTGATAAGGTGCGGGTTTGTTTCAGGTTGGAGGTGGCATGGGAAGAACACATAGGATGGAGACTACATTTCCCCGATTAGCTGAGCCATTAGGGTATGTGCCAAAAGAGGACATATTGTATGCAATCAAAGCTATTGTTGTTACTCAGAGAGAGAACGGTAGGAGAGATGACCGGAGGTACAGTCGAATGAAGTATTTGATTGACTCGTGGGGGATTGAAAAGTTCAGGGATGTTGTTGAGCAATACTATGGGAAGAAATTCGAGCAATTCCGTGAATTGCCCGAGTGGGAGTTTAAGAGTCACTTGGGATGGCATGAGCAGGTTTATTCCTATTGCAATCCAATTTTTGTCACACAAATTTTATCCTTTTTTCCACATAATGTGTGTATTCTGATGGGTTGTGAAAACTCAGGGAGATGGTGCATTGTTCTATGGGCTGCATGTTGACAATGGCCGAGTTGGAGGGAAAATGAAGAAGACGTTGAGGGAGGTGATAGAGAAGTACAACTTGGATGTTCGTATCACGGCAAACCAGAACATAATCTTGTGTGGGATAAAGAAAGCATGGAAGCGCCCTATTACTACAACTCTAGCTCAAGCTGGCTTGCTGGTAAGTTATCCAGGCCATTCATATGTGATGTTTTGGTTTTCAATTCGTATTTCTATTGTTCGGGTTTCTAACGATTCTCATTAACATTGACAGCAACCAAAATATGTTGACCCTCTCAACTTGACAGCCATGGCATGTCCAGCTTTCCCACTTTGCCCACTGGCCATAACTGAAGCTGAACGTGGGATACCGGATATCCTGAAACGCGTTAGAGCTGTGTTTGAAAAGGTACTTTACCTTGACTTGCTGAACTAGTTCATCAGACATCTAGACTTGGACCACTTATTGAAGTTCTGCTGTAGTAAGATCCCAATCTTAGCTATTGCCGCCGAAATTGTAATTGTGTCTTTGGTTCAGTGTCATTAATGTTATTTGTCTTAATTTTTTTTATGGCAAATATTACTTTGCCAATATATCCAGCTAAATGATCTGTTAAATTGTTTGCCAGGTCAGTCTGAAGTACAACGAGTCTGTGGTTATAAGAGTGACTGGCTGTCCTAATGGCTGTGCCAGACCATACATGGCTGAACTTGGACTTGTTGGAGATGGTCCCAACAGCTACCAGGTATTATATCTTTGTTCAAGTTTGATCCGTTCGTCTTTCTTCCTGTCATTCAAAGAACCGAACTTGAACATTCTTGTTCTGTTGAAACAGATCTGGCTGGGGGGAGCTCCAAACCAAACCGTGTTAGCTAGAACATTCATGAACAAGGTCAAGGTTCAAGACCTTGAAAATGTCTTTGAACCTCTGTTCTATCACTGGAAACGGAGAAGACAGTCCAAGGAATCATTTGGCGACTTCACAAACCGAGTGGTAAGCTACTACTTGAATCCCTATTTCTGAACCTTGCTATCTGCATTGGTAGACACTCGTTTTTGACTTCAACCACCTGTTTCCAGGGATTCGAAAAACTCCAAGAGTTGGTGGACAAATGGGAAGGCGTGGAAGCTGCACCAACGAGGTACAACTTGAGGCTGTTCTCGGACAAGGATACGTACGAGAAGATGGACGGACTAGCTAAGCTGCAGAACAAGACTGCTCATCAGTTGGCTATGGAAATCGTTCGCAGTTACGTTGCTTCCCAGGAGAACGGTAAAGCAGAATAACTCCGGCAGCAGAAGGGTTGGTTCCAAGGGCGAACGCGAGATCCTTCCTGGTTTTGATAACGCAGTTTGTGCAAGAGGATCAACAAACCTGGTTCTGTGTTTTTGGTTAGCCATTTGTACTCCAATTTTTTTTCCGCTTATCTGTACAGGCTTTTCCCTTGGACCTGTCTTTCCTAGAGTGGCTACGAATAATAGCGGGAGCTTTAGCCATGTACTCACAACTGATTTGGCGGGAGATTATGTGGTTCTTAATCTCTCTAGCTTTGACGCAAGAGTGTGTTTGATCTGTTGTTCATCTGAAATGCCACTTTTCTGGGCATTGATTTTCAAGTTGTGGCTCTCCAGTTTGCTCAGGAAGAACTTCATGAACAGAAATCAGGCATGATTAGAACCCGAGCCCCATGATGAAGTCTATATGTATCGACGGCTCTAGCTAGAATCAACTTGATTTCTTGAAGGTCAGAGGATTCTGAATTGGGCAACAATTCAGTTTACCCCGTAACAACTGAATCAAACTGGCTCAAATATATTATTCAATTTCTGAAACTTAAAATGAGTTCCTGCTGTTGTTTCCATGGGTCCTCTGACACAGAGTATTCGATCAAATTCACTTCATATGATTTTGGTCCGAAATGTTTCCATCAATTTCAATGGCGTCCGAGCAGATCCAATTCTGTAGTGCACCTGACCGCAAACATGAAACTAATGCTTGGTGCCATTGTTGCGTCCTTGATTTATCTCTGATCAACTGTATCAATACAACTCACGGCAGCACAAAGAAACCAACTTTGAGGAAGATCAACGCCAGAGGATACTGAAACTGAGAGAGGCAAAGAGAGCCAACTCTTGGTTATTTGAAAACAGAGCAGTCGAGGAAAAGGAAATGATGGAGAATTTGAAGAGGGGTTTGTCTCTCAAGAGAAAGAGAATACAGAATGGATTAAGTACATTACAACCCCGAACGAACTCCGACATTAAAACTCTGAACACTGCATTAGTACATCAAATCAAGCACCAAATTCACAAGAAGGAGAGAGGGAGATAAAAAGATGCAAAAGCTGTCATCTTTTTCCCCCATCAGTTGCGACAGATGCGAGCAGTGGGCATGGTGACACAAATAGGAGCATACTTCTTCTTGGCTTGTGGGGAACCTCTCTTGGGCTCAGCTTCATCGGCCATGGCGACTCTGGCAATGGAGTATGCTGCTGCTGCAGCAGCTCCGAACATCAAATCCCTCCTCCCATTGTTGCTCTCTTCCTTCTTGTTGTTCTTCATCTCCACATCATTGGTTGATGATGCCTTGGCAGCCACGATCAGGCCTCTGCGTGGAGCTGTGATGGGCTTGGAGATGGTAGATCCAGCTAGGAAAGATGCTGCAATGGTCATTGACGCCATTTTTCTTTGCTTAGCAGAGTTTTGGATGAGAATCTCAAATTCTGTGAGTAAAATGAACAAAAGGGAAAATGATAGTTGGCTATTGGGATCTGCATTTCGTTATCCTATATGGACGGCCAGGACGATTCGATTCTTGCCACCTGGCATTTAGGTTTATCTTTAGATGGAACTTTGTGGTCTTGAAAGGTATCAGTAGAGTAGGCTGTGGAAGTCAGTAGGGATGGCAAAAATATCCATAATCGTTGATATCCGCCCGAATCCGGCCTAGTCGGGTTGGGTAAAACTCGAACTCGAAGAATATTTGGTGGGTACGGGTAAAACTCGAACCCGAATATTGCGGGTAATGGGTGGGCATGGATTTCTCACTATCCGACCCGAACCCGCCCGATTATACACATGCATATGTATTTTGTCTAGAAATAATCATTATTTTTCTCTAACATATTTTATATTTAGCATATAAATATAACATTTTCATGAAATTGTGTTGTTTTAGTTAATTTTCTTCATTCTAGTGAATTCTTGTCGTACTTTTTCTCTTACTTAATATAAGAATACGTGTGAATGTTAACATATTGGTTGGAGTTATGAAGAGAAATTAATATCCATGGATAACCGTGGATACCCGAAACCCGAACGGGTATGGGCATGGTTTTGATTTTCTACCCGTTTCACATGTGGGTATGGGTATGGATAAAACCCGAAGTACTTTGGGTAGGGTAACAGATATGCACTATCCGCCCCCGACCCGACCCATTGCCATCCCTAGACGTCAGAAAAATGTAAGTTTCTGGGATTGGATTTGGGTCAAAGATGAAAAGGGTTGGCTCAGGTTAGATTTGGATTTGAGCCCAGCAAAGAGTTTGAATTTGCCAGTCAGCAATTGATTTAGTCCTATTTCGAATTGATTTATGACGTCAGTGGTTGATTTTAGAGATGGACAATGGGTGGGTGGATTTTGTCCTATGATGATTGATGGGAATGAAAAAATGAGTCACACCCACTCATTTGTAAGAGTGTGGGTGGGTTACAGCGGATGGTCGGTTTGGCGGTTTTGGTGAGTCAAATTAATTTTAAATAATTACATAATTATGAAGACATAAATATTTGCATAAAACTAATTGAATATTAATACTACAAATGAAGAAAATTTATAGCTGTTAAATGTAGTTTATTGCATAACCTAACTCCAATTATCTAATTTGCGAATACAACATATTTTGTTGATAGTTATCATATAATAAAATGATCGATTTTATGTTGTAGATCAAGTAAAATTTATAAAAGATAATTTGAATGTAATTGAATAAATTACGATTGAAGTTTTGGTATAAGAAAAAATAGTGCTTTATTATAGAATATGCATTAACGACTTTAAATGTCATGTGATTTTGCAGGTAATGACCCTCCCACTACCACCTGTCATCCATCCAAATTTAGCGAGTGACAAAAACGATGACCCACACCCACCACCACTTCCACTCAACACATGTAATAGGTGGGTCTAGCGGTTGACCAACCCATTGCACATCCCTAGTTGATTTGATCCTATCATTTCTTTAATCACGGGAAGAGAAATTTGCTTATTATTACTTGAAATGAAGTTTGTTTTAATAATTAGTTATTTATCGCTCCCTTAAACCATCAATAATGTGAAGAACTAGTCACAGATGTTATAGATTAGCAAACGAAGTTGCTAGTCCTTAGACATTTATTTGGAATACATAAAGGATCGAGGGATTAGCTTCCTACATCATTCGTTTCTTTCTATCAACATTGGACATCTTTTCCACTTGTGTACACAAAGCTTTCCCATTTTGGTATCAATAACATTTTTAAATTCCAATGAATACCATAATAATAAAGATAGAAAAAAAAAATCCTAGCTCTTGAGAGTTTTTACAACTAACATGATCTGAAAGCTTGCACGATCAGGTAAGAAGTTACACCATGTGATGTATGATGATGGTGATAAAGAAGCTATACAATCGGGAGATTTCTGCCCCCATGAGAATTTAAACATCGTTCGATGCAAATTCAATTAAAAAAAGATAGTCAAAGCTCCAAAAGAAAGTGGCTATGAAAGAAATTTAAATAACAAGAATGGGTAAATGCCACGTTTGGTCACTGAATTTACTAAAATATGTCATGTTTAGTCACTAGAAAAATTAATATCAATTTTGGTCACTCGAATTACTGAAACGGGTCACATTTAGTCATTCTCCGTTAGTCTCCGTCCAACTCCGTTAAAACCGTCAGTCAATTGCTGATGTGGCTAACAGAATTGTCGACTCACCCTATTTTGACCCGCCACATCACCAAAATCAACCCGCCACATCACTTAAATGGCCACGTCACTTTCCCTAACCCAACCCATAAACCATATATTTCCAACCCATAATCACGTCACTGCGTCATCTACCCCTTCTACATCTTCTCCCCAAATCCCTTTCCCTCTCGCCTCCGTCGCGATTTGGGTTTCTGGGAAGCTTCAAAATTGGCATAGACGAGAAGCAATAGGAGGAGAGTGGAGATCTGCCGCCCCCAAGCATTGTGGAGTAATTAGTAATTACAAAACCGGGAGGGAGCAAAGGAATAGAGAAACGAGAAGAGAACAGTATAGAAACGCGTAACCCTCAAACCAGAGCTCTGACCAAAAGCAGAATTAGGGTTGCCGGAGGGTTCCGATAATAGAACGGGAAGTATGGAAGAATCGAATTAGACGGAGATGGACACTCTGCACCCCGAAATTACCGTTCCCATAGCCACCATCACCGCCGGCGGCTGGGTTCGGAGGCGGCGGAGAAGGGTAGACATATATGGGCACAGTTTCCGGAAAAGAAGACGACGGAGGCGGGGGCAGTCGTTGGATGGCATTGCAGGTGGTGGTAGAGACGACGGCGGTGGAGGAGGGCATGGCGGTGGAGGCGACGGTTGGGGTTGACATGGGTTCTCGCATTCGGAGCACATTGAGCACGAAATTACGAGCAAATCAATGCTAATAGTCCATTGCTCGATTACCGAGAAGTAGTTCACCCTACCAAAAGTAAAAACAGACAAACGATGAAGAGGAAAGTGAGGCAAATCTGGTAGATAAGGATGGAATTTAAGGAGGACCAGCAGCAGAAAGCAACGCCGACCGCCGGTGAGCCCCTTCGGCGTCTACTTCAACAGCTCTTCCATATCACTGGCTGTCCTCGCTGTTTTGGAAATTGAAGAGTTTGGAGACGACGAATCTGCAATGCTGGGGGCAACAGATCTTCACTCTCCTATTACTTCTCACCTTCGCCAATGTTGAAGCTTCCCTAAAACCCAGATCGCGATGGAGGCAAGAGGGAGGGGGATTTGGGGATAAGATGGGGAAGGGGTAGATGACGTCTGGTCATGGGTTAGGAAGGTTTGGTTTATGGGTTGGGTTGGGGAAAGTGACGTGGTGGGTCAGTTTTGGTGATGTGGCGGATTAAAATAGGTGAGTCGGCAATTCTGTTAGCCACATCAGCAATTGACTGACGGTTTTAACGGAGTTGGATGGAGACTAACGGAGAGTGACTAAATATGACTCGTTTCAGTAATTCGAGTGACCTAAATTGATATTAATTTTTTCTAGTGACGAAACATGACACGTTTTAATAAACACAGTGACCAAACGTGGCATTAACCCTAACAAGAATGCATCGTTGGATGGTGATGAAGAAAATGTTTCGTACTTATCTCCCAAAACATCTAAATAATGATATTTAGTTTTCCTCCAATATCTTAAAATAGACTTTAGAGAGTAAGCTTTTGATAATAGCATATTTGATTAGCTCTCCTCAATTGATTACCCATGCTAATAAATAACCAAGTTCAACACTTACCAAAGATCTCTCATATCATACAAATTATACATGGCCAACATGCAGATAATGTTTAGCTACTTCCATTCACGAGAGTAGCAAGTTGAGTCGAGTTCAAGATCACATATATCTCTAGGTTCTTCCATGGCTTAACCAGGCTTGGTCCAAGGTCTATGGGAATTTTATTAATCCCTCAATAAGTCATAATAATGTCACAATTTGACTATGATTAATAATACCGAAAATAAAAAGATAGATTATTTTTCGACTCAAGTCTTCCGAAAATCGCATAGGGTGGTATGGACCAAAAGATGAACAACTTGGTTCCAATTTTCTTGCAAAGGCTCAGATAACCTGGCCCATGTGTTGGGCTTCAGCCCGAATCTCCTTACAGAGTCGGCCCACTTCCAGGAGAAGTGGAGAGAGAGCCCGTTCAGTTTCGATACAACTTGCAACCTCCAAGCAATCAGTCTCGATGATGATGATGACACGGAAATAGCCTTTCATTTCCACCAACCCCAAAGCAAATCTGATCGCCTGGAGCTCTGCGATCTCCGGGCTCCATCTCATTGCCGGCGATCTCGTCTCACCGCCGCCAGCACACACTTTCCAGCCGAGTCCAGTACCACAACCCACCCCAGCACCCGATCCCTCCCCATTTTCGTCATTCTTTCCACGTTTTGTTCTCTGCTGCGTCGATTGGTTCTTGACCCACCAGCCAGTGGAGACGGAAGGAGAACATCGTGAGAGACCACGTTTCCAGGTGGCTGACCGGAGGCGACTAAGAAGTAGGTCGACGCCGAGGTGCGCGGGACGCGAGCTTCGTAGATCCATCGGCGGGAGAGAGCCAGCATCGATACAGCTTTCAGGTTCGTTGACGATTCGTCTTCTACGTTCTGGGTTCTTAAGGGTTCGTGTTTGTGGGTTTTGGTTATAGTGACTATCGGCTTCATCTGCTTCAACTGATTGGTGTATGTATTGTGCTTTATTACCATTCTTCTCATTCGGAGGGTTCATGGGTTCTCGCTCACAATCTACAGCTCTCGATTTGGGATTTCTGGGTTTTTGTGTTTTGGGCTTTCTTCCTGCTGGTGTCTGCTCCTGTTGTCTTAGTTTGTTGTTTCCAATTTGAACTTGTATACACGCTGCAAATTAGAAGAGCATCATGAACCAACAAAGCATGGCATCTCTGGGGTTTTGCTGCCTGATGTGGATTTAGTTATTGGATATTGTGTATGGTTGTTTCAATTTGATGTCAAATCTCAGCTTTTTTAGGGTATCCCTCCGAGAATCAAAGATCTGGCTGTGGAGATTCCAGATTCTTGGTAGCTCTGTTTGTTCTTCTTGCTTGGGTTTCATGGGCAATCTTTGGATTCTATTTTATGCAGATTAGTTTCAGAAAGATTCGAGCTTTTGCTTTTTGGTGCTGAGATTTTGGGATAGACATGGGGAACTGCTGCGCAAGCCCTGCTAGTAACAGTTCTCCCCATGGATCCCCTGGGAGAAAGAACAAACAAGATAAAGCCAAGAACAAGAATAAAGGCAGCAACCCATTCTTCGGTACTGACTACGTCGTCAATGGATCCAGTGAGAAGCTCTACGTGTTGAAAGAACCCACAGGGCGCGACATCTCAGCTCACTACGAGCTAGGGCGGGAGCTTGGCCGAGGAGAGTTTGGGATCACATATTTGGCCACCGAAACGAGCACTAACGATAAGTACGCCTGCAAATCGATCTCAAAGAAGAAGCTGAGAACTGCGATTGATATTGAGGATGTGAGGAGGGAGGTCGAGATCATGAAGCATTTGCCTCATCATCCTAACATTGTGTCAATTAAAGATACATATGAGGACGATAGTGCCGTCCACATTGTGATGGAGCTTTGCGAGGGTGGAGAGCTTTTTGATAGGATTGTTGCCAGGGGGCATTACACTGAGAGGGCTGCTGCTGCTGTTATGCGCACGATTGTTGAAGTTGTTCTGGTTTGTTTAGTCTTGACCAGCTACTCATTTATCTTTTAGCTTGGTCAAAGGTAACTGATTATGAATTCTTGTATCTGTGCCGATAGATGTGTCATAAGCATGGAGTGATGCACCGTGATCTGAAGCCTGAGAACTTCCTTTTTGCGAATAAGAAGGAGACGTCCGCATTAAAGGCGATTGATTTTGGGCTGTCCGTCTTCTTTAAACCTGGTATTGTACTGTATGTATGATACTATATGCTATGGATTCCTAATCTTTGTTGTGATATATATGCAAGTTGTCATTTCGACGAATCTAATGGTTCGAATGTGTGCTTTTGTTATTTACCCAGGAGAGAGGTTTAATGAGATAGTGGGAAGTCCTTATTATATGGCTCCTGAGGTCCTGAAACGGAATTATGGCCCAGAAGTTGATGTGTGGAGTGCTGGAGTTATCCTCTACATTCTGCTTTGTGGAGTGCCACCCTTCTGGGCAGGTTTGTTCTTGGAACTGAAATGTAACCGATCTTTATCTATGGTGCATGTTAGATCACTAAAAGTGCCTCATCATGTTATCATTGCTATTCTCCATTTGCTTTGCAAACCATTTTAGTTGTTGATTTTTATGCTAAGAAACTGCTTTGTTTGTTCATGCAGAAACGGAGCAGGGCGTGGCACAGGCCATTATACGGTCCGTCATAGATTTCAAGAGGGATCCATGGCCTAAAGTTTCGGATAATGCAAAGGATCTAGTGAAGAAAATGCTTAATCCAGATCCTAAACAGCGCCTTACAGCTCAACAAGTGCTTGGTATGGTTGTGCTTGCTGATCAGCTCCATTCCACAACTTGCTTTTTATCTTAGCCACATTGGCTCACTTGTTTCCCTGTTGCTGTTTCCAGAACACACTTGGCTACAGAATGCAAAGAAGGCTCCGAATGTCCCGTTGGGCGAGACTGTGAGAACAAGGCTCAAACAATTTTCAATGATGAACAAACTCAAGAAGAGAGCTTTGAGGGTAATTATTCTCTACTAATTTGGCTGTGTAGTCTTGCTTCAACTAGTTACTTCAAAGCTATGTTATCTGCACTGCTGCCACTTATAGGGTTGAGCTGTTCATTTGTAGGTGATAGCCGAGCACTTATCATCAGAGGAAGTGGCTGGCATAAGGGAGGCATTTGACATGATGGACACTACCAAAAAGGGCAAGATTAATATCGATGAGCTAAGAGTTGGATTGCACAAGCTCGGCCAACAGATTACTGATCCGGATCTTCAAATCCTGATGGAAGCTGTAAGTATATTTTCTTCACATTCAACTCCCCCAAAATGAACAAGTAACTCTCGAATAGGTTTGACTGGTGGGCTGACTTGACCTCTTTATTTTAGGCTGATATTGATGGTGATGGAACTCTAAACTATGGAGAGTTTGTCGCTGTTACCATTCACATAAAAAAGATGGGAAACGACGAGCATCTGCATAAAGCCTTCGGATTCTTCGATCAAAATAAGAGTGGTTACATCGAGACCGAGGAGTTGAGAGAAGCCTTGAATGATGATATTGACACCTGTAGTGAGGACGTTCTTGTTGCCATCATGCAAGATGTTGACACAGACAAGGTTTGATCTTTTTGCAAAACCCACAAACCTTAAAAAAGGTATACCAGATCGTTAGCTACTGTGATGATGAAATTAACATATGGTGGGGATTTCTTGCAGGATGGGCGAATAAGTTACGAGGAGTTTGCAACGATGATGAAAGCAGGAACAGACTGGAGAAAAGCGTCAAGGCAATACTCGAGGGAAAGATTCAACAGCCTAAGCTTGAAGTTGATGAGAGATGGTTCAATGCAGGTAGTTAGTTAGGCGCGAATCAGGAGGAAAAACCAAGTGTGTCCCAAAGGCAAGGGGGGAATCTTCTGTTGTTTGGCTTCTCTAAACTTGATGTTACTACTTCACCATTTTTTTACTTCCATTTCTCTTGCTTCCTGGGTTGTCATTGGGGATGTTAGGTAGTAGAGAGAATAAATAGTGTGATATTAAGAAAACTGTTCTTGTGTTTGTTTGTTTGTCCTTTTTGTGAGTTTGTTCAGAATTCTTTTGTTGAAAAGAGTTGTAGAAAAGCAGGAAAATCAAGATGTTTTTCTTTTTTTGGAGGAGGGGGGTGGTGGGAATCTGTCGAGTGAGTGAGGAGGATTGTTTGGGGAGCAACAGAATGAACAAGTTGGTGGTGTAAATATATTATTTGATAGTTTCAGATGGTTAACCTTACTGTTGTTTCTATTCTCTTCAGCCAATGTTTTTGGAGAGTTTATTATTTCGATTCTCTTCAGCCAATTAGGTATCAGTTATCTTGCTACTTAGAACTAAGATCCAAGATGTTTACTTCCTTGGTTTCTAGTTTTATGATTTCCAGCAGTAGAGATCAGTTTACTGAATAGCTCAAGTTTCTCTTTATTTTCATGTAATTTTTCTACATTTTCCAGCTGCTGGGGAGAAACATGGCAGTAGGTGAGAGTGGAGGGATGAAAGGTTGAATTCATCATGATCATAATGTATTTAGTAACCAATTCCCAAGACAAAACTGACATGATTTGCTGAAAACAGCATATAATCGCCCAAAACATTGTTGAAACAGAACAAATATACTACAACAAATAAATTAAGTACACTGTTATTCTAACACCTTTTCTTGCTTCTTGACATCTATGACTCTGCCCCGGCAAAAATTGCACGTACAAAGGAACTCTACCAAAACTGGATGAAACAGAATAGCCTAATGTCTTTTCCATTTCTCACGATTTCACCATCACAGGTTTCAGTCTGTGCCGCTTACCCTCGGTTTTCGACGACTTGGGCGGTTGTTTTCGCTTTTGCTGCTTCTTTTCACCACCTTGCTTATGCTGCACCACCTTCTCATGTGGGTCAACATCCTCATAGTTGATCGGCTTGATGATCACTCCAGGTTTCTTTAACACCTGCAATGGAAAAAAAGAAACATAACGACGTGGTTAGCAGATTCTCGCCGAGTAGTATTTGTAGCCAAGCCTCAATAGGGCACGAGGGAAATTATGTTCAAGCGTTACATAGTCACTCACCTCAGGTCGGTTAAGAGCTCCAACGGCTGTTGCAGGATTGAACTCAGGCCCAATTGGCATTCGGATGCTTTGTTCGAACACTTCCTTGGATGTGAAAGGGAAAGGCAATGACTTCGTGTGTAGTTTTTCAGCCTGTGGTATTCAAAAGTCAGTCTAATTGCCGAAATGTTTACACAGTAGCAGCCTGAACGCAACCTGGACGAAGGATATTATTGACACAGGAGACAAAAAGGAAAACAATGGAGATGTGCTCACCTTTTTATCCAATTTCTCGGATATAATAACATGCTTGAGATGTGCATCCTTCCTTTTCTTAACAGCCTCATCTCTCTTTCGCTGAGCTAGTTTATGCTCCTCCTCCATCCATGAAGGCAAGCCTTTCCTTTTCTGTACATTAGTCCATTGGCCCCACCCAGGAAGTAGAACAGGCTTTTCGGGCTCAGGATTTTCTTTACTCAATGCTTCGTCCTTATATTTGGCAAACTCCTCTTCCACATCATCTCCAGCAAAAGCCTCATGGATAAGCTCTGCTTGAGAAGGCAGCTCATATGCTGTTCTATGGCCTGATGACAAGTTCCCATCGATCATCTGTCCTTCATCATCACTATCACTTTCCTCGGCGGTTTCCTTCAAAATCCACTGGGAGTGAGAAAATGTACTACTTGAAAAAATAACACCAGTAAAATCAAGCAATAGAATAGGGAGGTTATTACCTCTGGATGTTCATTATCCGCAGCAGACTGAACATTGGTTGGAGCTCTTTTGGTACTGGATTCCACTTCACTCTTCTCACTCATCTACAAAGTAACAGCAGGTCAAAAAAGAACATAATTGAAGACGGAAACACTGAGTTTGATAATAACATAAAATAAGAACACACAAAAAGGGAACCGAGAGATACTTTTCTCCATTTGTTTGATGCAAAAATCGCAACTTCATATGTCGTCTTTGGGCCTGCATCCACAGCCATGTTCCCAGCATCCTGCAACAGACATGGAATCAGACTACAGAAGCTGTCTAATGACAAAACTGCACGTAAAATCCAAACAAGAAAAGCAGCATGCATACACAGAAAACACTACGAAAGCTGAAAGCAACCCAAACATAAACAAACCGCGGAGAGAGGTTCTTGATTAGACTCAGAGTCTTCATTAAGCAAGGAATAGCTGACACGAACATCCTTTTGCCTCCCATCACTTCTGTCATCAACAATATTTTCTTCAGCTTCAAACTCAGCCCCACTGTCACTTTCGCTGTTGGTAGAGTTCTCATTCAAATTCCTCTTCTTGGTTGGTAAAGCAACCTTCTTTGTTGGTCCTCCAAATACCCTTCTACCATTTCCTGCAGCTGTTATTGTATCAGCTGAGTCCTGTTTCTGACCCAGTGTGGATTCATACTCTTGAAGCGCAAGCTTAGCTTCTTCATTAGCCTCATCCTTACGTTTTTTCAGTCCCCGTGCCTATTTCAAACCAGGGGAAAAGATATTAGATCCAGGTTCTACCAAAGAATAAAATGGAAAATTACGGGGTCGTTTGGATGTGGAAATGTAATGCAGTAATTGGACCCAATTACCACAATATGCAGTAATTGGGTTAAAAACCCACGTTTGGGAGAGCAAAAAGGGTATGGGAATTGGACCATGGAAATTGGCTTCAATTACCACATTCATGGTAATTGAGAATACTACACCTCCCCCTAGTAATTTGACATTACCACGTTTTCTTACTTCTTTTTCCAAATTCCACACCATCAATTCCCACAAAACTAAACTCTATCCAAACGTGAATTGTTTTCAATTTCCACAAGTCAATTCCTTGGTTTTATAAAACATGGAAATTCAGACAAATTCCAACGTTTTTAAATTTCCACATCCAAACGACCCCTACATCATATTTACTAAATTGTCGTTTAACGTGATTCAGCAGGAAAATGTCAGAACAGGGTGCAATAAGGATACTCTCTCACTCCTCTGTTTCTCTAAAAACTTTTTCTGTTTCGTGAATATAATTCCTACCATAAAAGGCAGAGAAAGAACTCCTGATGTAGGCACTTCATCTTCTTCCTCTAATATACTTTGTGTCTTTTCTTTTGCTTTCATCAACACCTTAGAAGCTCTATCTCGTTCTGAAACATCGGAATCTTCATCATATTCCTCGTCACTGCTGTTATCACTGTCGCTACTGTCATTCATAGAATTCATTTTTCTAGTCAAACGAGCATGCTGACTGAGTTGTTCTGTAATGGCTGCCCGGGTACCCTCATCTTGAGCATTCAGACCACGCTCCAATACACGTTTTGCCCATTTTGACTTGTTTTTGTGCCTTAAGGTCAAGCGTTCCTGCATACATGTAGAGTAGCACAATTTTTTTTTTAAAAAATCTACTCAAAAGCTGCTGTTAGGGTCTGTGGCCAATCAAGTGGAAGAATATCACAAATTCATGACACTAAGAGTAAGCCCTTGATGACCTCAGCTCGCTTGAATTCTTGCTTTATTGCCAATTCTTTAGCCGCTTCAGAATCCATCTGCATTTCACCAGATGCTACCTTCATTCTGTCTTTCTTCAACATCCGGCGATGTGTCTTTGACTTTATCTTTTTTAAGCGTTTCATCTTCACTTCATGTCGGAAGAGAAGAGTTCGCATTTTAGCAATGTGATCCCGGCTGTTTTTATAATCCTCTGAAGATATCTGCAACCAATCGGCAAGACAATAAATAATAAACAATTGAGAAAGAACAATACTGTCAATGGGACACATATGAAGAACGTAAAAAAGGTTGAAAATATAAGGAGTTGGCCAGTCACCAGAAAAAGTGTTAAACACAGGAGCACATAAGAACGCAAAGACACAAACAAACCAAAGCCCATCGAAGTTGCTGCAATTTGCAAATACAGAAGTTTCCCATGCAAAAATCATCCAGAGAGGCTTCAAAATCAGGCCCAATGATCATCACATTTCATAAGAATCTAGCTAAGATTCTATTCTTGATCGGGAAACACTTCAAGGAACAGGAACGTTTCAATTCTGCAATCTAGGGAAAAGGCTGGGATGATAAGATATAATTGAACTCTGGAAAAGACTAACACGTGTCAAAAACCACCCAAAACGTTTGCACCAACACCAAAACAGCCAGTACTAGCTAATTTGCTTGCTTCAAACTTCATGGACCAAGACAAGAGTCTGAACACAGGTATCCACAGAAGAAAGATAAAGTGACTCATCCATGAGGTAGGATCATCACCTTTTCCTTTATTTTGAAGGACCAACTTACATAACTAGCGTTTGCTTTAGCCAACAGTTTGGCTTCGAAACCTTACTGTGACAGTCAGATATCAACATTAAACCTCTAACAATCAATGTTGTACGATCAGCACAAACATCCAGGATTGAATAATACATAATATGAGAGCCACAATTGGAAGTTGAACCAACAGATCCCAAATCCATTACCTTATTCAGTTCGAGAAGCTTGGCACCATCTTCTTTGTGAGCTTCCATAACCTTCTCATCATAAACTAATGAAGCCATTTTCTTCTCAAAATCAGTTCTAGGTTCAAATTCTGAAGCTATGGCTCCAACCGTTGAAAACCCCACATCAATATCTTTGTCGAAAATAACAGAAGGGGCTTCCCTGTTCCTCTTAATCAAAGGTTCCCATTTAGTGATATCTTTCTTAGATATTTCATATGCTTTTTGCCTCTCCACCTTGTCTATAGCTTCCTTGGAAAGTGGAGCTGCAAGGGGCATACTCTTTGCCTCCACATGACGCATTTCTTTCCTGAGTTTGCTGTAAGCAGGATTTTGCTGAAGACTTCCCAGAAGATCACCAATAGTAACACGCCCAACACCGTCTAGAACATCACTGCTGGGATTGTACTCCGATTCTGGATAGGGCTCTGATACAACAATTTCACTCTTTTTCCGCCTGCCTAGAAATCAAGACATGAAACAAATTACCCAGACATTAGCATAAATGAAGTTTTGGGAGGAGACGAGCAGAAGGAGGAGAGAAAAAAATCCTTCAACAGTTTAAGGAAATGTCGTCCATGAGTAGTTCCATATCCACTATGAACATTTAACTTCCTTATCGCTTACACCCCATTAAACAGAAAGTCTGAAACTTAAAAACCCCATGATTATTCATTTCTCATTCTACATCTCTTCTCCAGGGAGTTATAGCAGGCAATGCAAAGATATACCTTCAAAAACTTCACTTGGCATCTGAGTGATGTCTTGCAGCATCCTCAAATGCTTCTCATCATCGTCAGTTCCTGATCTTTGCTTTCCAGCATTATGGTCTTCATCCTCGCTGCTGGCACTGTGATCATCATCATCGTCTGATTGTACATTCTCATCCTGCACAACCATTAGCAAATCAAGTCATTATTCACCGCATCAATTTGCCAACTGCCAGAACCCTTCATGGAAAGTAGGAAAAATCTTAAGGCTTTGGAGCTCAAATTGAAACTAGGACACAGAAAAATTAAGAGAAGGTGGAACGAAAGCAAATACCACGAAATCCTCCGGCAACTCGTAGTCATAGTTTTTAATGGCATCGAAACGGCGGTTCTTCCCCGCTTCCTCTTCAGCCACCTCCTCCTCATACTCATACAGGTCTTTCCCTCCATCGGAGCTGACGTCGCCGTCGTCATCAAACCGGCTACTAGGGTTTATTCGATCCAACTGTTTCAAGAGCGCGTTGGGCAACCGAGGACCAGTCCTCTTACCTTTCTCCTTGCCGCCCTTCTTGTTGCTCGACATTTTTCTCGACTTATTGTTGCCTTTCTCCCTACCCTGCCTCATCTCCTCTCTGGATTTTCTCTTTCTCTCAACCATCGCCGCTAATTAGAAACAGCGTCGACGGCGAGTGCTGTAGTAGTAGAGGCGGCTTGCTGGAGTTGAGGCACTGAGAAGTGAGAACGAAAGAGAAGAGTATATTAGGGATTGTTTCGAATTTAATAAATTTGAAAAACTCTTCTCGATCCCCCATAATTATGAATCATCATTCATGATACCCAAACTTCAGAAGCTCTACATTTTAGTGCATTGTAGAAAAAAGACGTACTGGGTCGATTGCTCCCGCCAAAATGAGTGAACATTTCCTCTTGTTCCCGCCAAACGATTGAGGGAATCAAAATCTGATATCAATGTCCAGAATTTCTCAAAATCACAAGCCACCCTGAAGAGTGAAGAGTAAAGACTAGCAAACCATTTAAGGATTCGAAGTTCCGCACTCCCAGTTTCTCATATCCCGCCAAAGCCCTGATCGCCGCCATGAAAATCCGAACACTGAAGCTACGAGAAGCGCACAAACCAAGCCCTGGGTATGGCGCAGCCAATGGATCCTCCTTCTGCTCCATCCTATGGGATCAGCAAGCTCGCCACCTGGTCACTGCTTCCTCCTCGGATTCGGGAATCTCCATCCACGACGCTCTTCTGCCTTCGACCACTCCCAAGATTCTCCGGCACCACCGTGACGGCGTCACCGCGCTGGCGCTCAGCCCTAATTCCACCTGCCTCGCCTCGGGTTCTATCGACAACTCCGTCAAGCTCTACAAGTTTCCGGGTAACGTCTAATTGCTTCTGATTTCACTAATTAGATAGAAAGAAATTGGCTTTCGGTCAAGCAAACATTTGTGAATCCTTTGCCCTAAATTGCCCAAGTGATTGGTTAATTTTGTTAGTGTGACAACTGACAGCATTAATGGTTCATTCTTCGTTTGACTTGTAAAGGTGGGGAATTTGAGACAAACATCACCAGGTTCACACTTCCAATCCGTGCCCTTGCATTCAATCAATCAGGGAGCATGCTGGCGGCTGCAGGGGATGATGATGGTATCAAGCTGATAAACACTGTTGATGGCTCAATAGCAAGGGTTCTGAAAGGGCACAAAGGATCTGTCACTGGATTAGCTTTTGATCCTATGGGTGAGTACTTGGCATCAATTGATTCCATGGGAACGGTCTTATTTTGGGAGTTGCAGTCCGGGACAATATTACATACCCTAAAAGGTGTAGCTCCTAGTACTGGGTTAGACACTTCCCTGGTCAATATACTAAGCTGGAGTCCTGATGGGGAGATGCTGGCTGTCCCTGGTCTGAAGAATGATGTGGTGATGTATGATAGAGACACAGCTGAAAAGGTGTTTACATTGAGGGGCGACCATTTGCTCCCTTTATGTTTCCTGTCATGGTCGCCTAATGGGAAATATATGGCTACATCAGGTTTGGATAGGCAGGTTCTGATATGGGATGTCCTTAAGAAGCAAGATATTGACCGTCAGAAATTCGAAGACAGAATCTGTTGCATGGCGTGGAAACCAGTTGGTAATACATTGGCTGTTGTTGATGTTTCTGGCAAGTATGGCCTGTGGGAATCAGTTATCCCATCATCCATGAAATCTCCCACTGATGATATTCCACAGAGTTTAAAAAAGAGCAATGGACTAATGTTATTTGAAGAAGAGGGTCAGGAGCCTTGTTCATCTGGTAGTCTAGGCGATCTCGGTGAAGATAGTGTAGGTGAATCAGGCCCACCAAGCAGGAAAAGAATAAGGAAGCGGTCTGAATTTGATGAAGATGATCCCGCTGAGAATACGCTCGATGGGTTCGGCCTGCTTCCTCGACGCATGGCTCCCAAAAGAGCACATTACTCTGCGAGAGAACACTTGGACAAGGGATCTAACGAAGAACTGAGAAGCACAGCCATGTCTGTGAGGTCCAAAATGCAGGAAGCTTTCCAGCCTGGTGTTACTCCTGTGCAGCCAGGGAAGAGGCGCTTCTTGTGCTACAATATGCTTGGAACTATCACTACAATGGAATATGATGGGTACTCTCATATAGAGGTAGTTGGCAGGATTTGACCGTTTTAATTATGCTCCTATTTATTTTTCTTCTAAGTTACTGATCAGTGCTGTCTGCATGCAAATTGTTCATGTTTCACCTGGTGCAGATAGACTTTCATGATACTAGTAGAGGACCGCGAGTTCCTGCAATGACAGATCATTTTGGTTTCACGATGGCTTGTTTGAATGAGAATGGGAGTGTTTTTGCCAATCCTTGCAAGGGAGACAAGAACATGAGTACTCTCATGTATCGCCCGTTCAGCAGTTGGGCAAACAACAGTGAGGTCAGATGCTTTATCCATTGAAAATAAACTTTTCCATCTGGGGATGCGCTGCACCCTGCTTAATTCTATTACTTGTGAAGCCTGTGAGTGAATATCGCTTTAGTTGACATTTGTTACATGTTCAAATGCAGTGGTCTATGCGGTTTGAGGGAGAAGAAGTCAAAGTTGTTGCACTTGGTGTTCATTGGGTTGCAGCGATCACTAGTCTTAATTATCTTCGCATCTTTACTGAAGGTGGTTTGCAGGTTTGTCCTATAAACTGGTTGATTGCCATGATTGCAGTCTTCTGATTTTATGTAATGGAGCATGTTTGGTTGGGGTGTAGTGTTGTGGCGAGCAGAATTAGGAGAGTCTAGATCATATTTGTCCATCTGATATCTTCTGTTCATGTATTTTGCTTAAATTTAGAAGGAATAGAAGAAAAGGATGGAAACTTTAATTTGTATTATTTTGTGTACAACGGATCCATAGTTGATCTATTTTTTATACTTTGTACCTCCAAATTGATTTCTATCCTTGCCATCACGCAGTGTCAGCTGAGTAGCTTAGGTTTGGTCCGGAATTTCGATAACTTGTTCTTTTCATCTAACATCAAGAGTTTCACTCCATGATTTGCTGCGCAGAAGCATATTCTTTCCCTTGATGGTCCAGCAGTGACTGCATCAGGCTCCAAAAATCAGCTTGCAGTTGTCACTCATGCTTCTAGCTGTCTTCCTTCAAGTGATCAGGTCTATCCTTTTCTTTGTCACTACCTCTTTTCATTTGTTTCTAACTGACAGATACAAGCTTCATCCAGACTGCAAACATAACTTGCTTTCACGTAGACCTTATTGGCTGAAACAAATGATATATACCAGTATCTATGAACTTTGGAACTATTCCTAAACTACATTTCTTGGTTTGAACCATGCAGGTGCTTGAATTCCAGGTGTTTGATATACGTAATGGTACAAGGCCCTCGAGGGGGCGACTTCCATTATCTCCTGGTTCACATCTTATTTGGTTCGGGTTTAGCGAAGAAGGACTATTGAGTTCATATGATTCAAAGGTATCTACTACTTTCATTGTCCGTGAATAAGACTGAGTAAGTATATCTATCACTTCATTGCATCCAACAACTATGAGCTAATTTTGTAGGGTGTCTTGAGGGTCTTCACAAGCCAGTATGGCGGCAGTTGGCTCCCTCTTTTCAGGTTCAAAAACTCTTCTGTGAATGCAAAAACATGATCCTACCCTTGTTTTTTTATCTTGAAGTAGAAGATAATGTGTTGGTTTGTTTCCTGCAGTGCCAACAAAACAAAGAAGTCGGACGAAAACTACTGGGTTGTGGGCCTGAACGCAAGCAAGTTATTCTGCATAGTTTGCAAGAGTCCTGAAGTATTTCCTCAGGTAGACAGAATATTGCTTGTCGCCTTGACTCCTGACTTCTGGTTATATAAGTACGTCATAATCTCGATACTGAATCGTTTCCCTTTGTTCAGGTGATGCCCAAACCGATTCTCACGTTGCTGGATCTGTCGTTCCCCCTAGCATCTTCCGATCTGGGAGCAGATGTCCTTGAGAATGAATTTATCTTGAACAACCTGCATCTCTTTCAGGTTTCTTCTTTTGTACCTTCCTTCTTAGAATAGGCCATGTTTTTATCTATGCTTTGTTACACTTGGGGTGATCTATTCATTGTTCTAGCAAGTTGCCAAACTTGTATTTACATGTGCTGTCTAAATCTTCTCTTCCCAATTTGGTTTCTGGCAGATCCAGAAAAGAATAGAAGAAAGTTCATCTGACGACAGTAGGGACACCACCGAACTCGATGATGAAGCTTTCAGCACGGAGGCAGCTCAAGATAGATGTATCCTGAGACTCATTGCTTCCTGCTGCAACAGTAAGTTGACGAGAAATCTGATTTCAGGGATAGGATTTAGTGGATGAAGAAAATAGTGATTGCATATGCATGCAACCAAGGATTACATTTCTACCTGCTGCAACCATTACGTCCGAGCTCTAAACTTGATGGTGGTTTGCTTGAACTTTCAGGCGACAAACTCGTACGAGCCACTGAACTGGTGAAACTCCTGACGCTGGAGAAATCGATGAAAGGAGCAATCAAGCTCGTCACTGCTCTCAAGCTTCCTAATCTTGCAGACCGCTTCAACAACATACTTGAGGTACATACCTCGAACTCCTCATCGTCTTCTTAGTGAACCAACTTTCAGGAGTTTGGTTATCTCCACCTGGCAACCATTATTAATCATTAGGAGGTTTCCATGGATGTTGCAGGAACGAATGCTGAATGAAACCAAAGGAATGCCAGAGACAGCTGGTGTTGCGGTTAGCCAGGGTTCGGGTTCGGCACGAAATGGGACAGCAAGTGAGGTACAATCAGAGCCCAGCTGCATCAAATCTTCATCCACCACATTGTCAGCACCTCGTTTCTTCAAGAAAGTGGTGAACAGAGGTGATCAGAAAGGGAGGAATGATCATAACCTCCAAACTGCGAGAGAAGTTCAGCCAGAAGTTGCATCGAGTGGGGGATCGACGGAGCTCAGAACAGCAACAGCAGCAGGAACCCAGGAATTGAACGGTACATCCAATCCATTCTTGAAATCATCAAGCAATGGTCCAACCAAAGAAACAACGTCCCAGCGTCCTCCTTCCAACCCGTTTAAAAAGTCAGCAAAGTGAAGATGGTTGCTCAGCCACCTGTGGGCAAATTTGGTGTAGAGCCCCGCGAACGAAAGAGGGGGAGCTAAGAGATTGAATTCTTGAACAAGTTTTGGTCTTTTACTCAGCCCTTAGTTGATAGTGATTTCCTCAGTTGAAGTTTGCAGGTCCATTGAAATGTCTGGATTCCATCTGTGTACTAAGGGGTCGTTTGCTTCAAGGATTTGGTACATGGATTTGATACAAAAAAACCAACTATCAAGGATTTAGGTACAATCCGTTGTTTGCTTGCACCTTTTTTGGAGACCAAATCCGTGGGGCCCACGGATTTTAAGGGTCAAAATCCATGGACCCCACGGACTTATACATCCCACATGTTGATGTGGGATTTGAAATATGGCATAAATCCTTGACGAGATTTTACCCATATACCCTCATGCACTTTTAATATTCCAAGGTTGCCCTCAAATTTAACTATTATACATTATAATTAACAATAAATGAATAATATAAACGTTCAATTAATGTGCAAACATGAGTTAGATTTTTTATATCATTTCTTGTGTTCTAGTTTTCTTTGACCCATTCATGGAACGTGTAATTCTTTGTTCTACTGATTCTAATATATGTTGTTATATGTCACTTTTGAAAAGGAGGACAAAGAATTGGTAATTGATTATGTTACGTTAAAAGTTAAAACGGAATTTTCTCGTTTATTATTATTGATGTATTGTCCTTGTTTTGTGTACATATCATAAACATGTCAAACATATAGAAAACGATTGTAAGGTAATTTTGAAGTTTTGTCCTTGTTTTGTGTACATATCATAAACATGTCAAACATATAGAAAAGGGCAGTAATGTAATTTTTGACTTCAAGTACTAAATCCCACACCTTTAAGTCCATGATAAAAAGATCTCAACAAACAAAGGATTGTTACAAATCCATGATGCCTCAAATCCTTGATAAATCTTTGGATTTTTAAATTACAAAACCCTCATTTTTAAATCCATGAAGCAAACGACCCTAAGTTCTTTTTTAGAAGTTCAATGAATCCATCCAAGTTTCATACTAGAATCATGCATTCTGCTTTCTGCACTATTCATGTCACAACCGCCAATCCGAAAGGATCTAATCAGAAGTCAAGACTTTATGCACACGTTAACTACTTGACCTACTGTGACAGTTATGAATCACAGAAGAGCAACAAACCTACACAGATGCCTAGATGGAAAGCCATAGCCATTCTGCTCCAAATTGGTTTGGAAACCATGGAATCATATGCTCAAGGCAAAGAGCATGCAGAATAAAGCCGTACATTTACTGAAACAAAGTAGCAGCTTAGCATAAGAGTAGCACCAAAGAAGCACAAAAACATATTCCAAAACTCATGTCATTGCCAAGACAGGAACATAAACCAAAATGATAACACGATTGTAGCTCTCAAAACAAAATCTAAATAGCTACTACTGTCTTGGCTCTCTATTTAATTGATCTTTAACAGCTCAAAGCTTCGGAAGAAGAATCAAGCTTCTGGTACAAAATCCTCAAGGATGAGGGCTTTGGTTGGCTTTCCCAATAGATCAGTGAACTCCTGGAAAGGTGACTTGGTGAAACGAGTATCCTTCCAGAAATCAGGTGTCAGGAAACCATAGGTCTTCAACAGGCAGTCAAATGTGGCCTGCAAAGTCATCATTTACAAAAAAAAAGGGTTAAATTCAGCAAATGGATTCATTACATCATAATAGAAACAACAAGCAAGCGAACAGTGAAAACACGAGTATAAGAGATTAATCCTTAACTACTAGGAGTACATAATAGCATAGAACTAATAGGGAACTAAACATTTTGGTGCCAATTCATAAACAATAGTACATTGTTCATCTTCTGCATTATAGCATCAAATCCATTCAGGTTCCCCTCAAATACAGCCATCAATGAAATCCCATCAAGCCACAGGAACTCAACTATATTTTGAACCTCAGCATCATACCATCAAAACTTAAAAATTCCCAACATGATATAAACACCGACTTATGATGGCCAATCATGGGGCCATTCAAAGAGCAGTGATTGATTAACATGAAATGGCTTGCTGGGATTTCAAAACAGAGTGATTCATTACTATCAAATGCTACACCAAGCCTCTAGCATTCCCCATACTATAACACCCAACAATTTAATTAATCCAACACTCATCCAAATTCAATCATTTCGACAAAAGCTGAGAAAAAATCCTGACCTTGACGAAGTTGCCAAGAGTCTTGGTAGACCCACGGGAAGAGGTGAACACATCTTCAATCCCAGCAAACTGAAGAACCTTCTTGGGCACCCTAGCAGCCACAATCCCAGCGCCACGAGGAGCCGGAACCATCCTCACGGTGACGGAACCACACTTTCCGGTCACCTTGCACGGCACAGTATGAGGCAGCCCGATCTTGTTCCCCCAGTAACCCCTCCTCACGGGGATCACAGACAGCTTAGCCAGAATGATGGCGCCTCGAATGGCGGTAGCAACCTCCTTCGAGCACTTAACACCCAGCCCGACATGGCCGTTCCCGTCGCCGACGACGACGAAAGCCTTGAACCTGGTCCTCTGACCGGCCCGAGTCTGCTTCTGGACAGGGGAGATCTTCATGACCTCATCCTTCAGCACGCCGGGGCCGACGAGGGTGTCGATGATCTGGTACTCCTTGATCGGGAGCGAGTGGAGGTAGATTTGCTCCAGCGATTTGATTTTGCCCTCCCTCACCAGCCGGCCGAGCTTGGTGACTGGAACCCACTTCTCTTCCTCGTCGCGACGCCCGCGACGGCGGCCCCTGCCTCGGTCGCCACGTCCGCGGTCGCCGAAGCCTCTGCGTGGTGGTCTGTCTCCGGGAGCTCTGTCCGCCATGGTTGCTTTTTGCGTTGGAGAGTTAGGGTTTGAGGCAGAGAGTGGTGTAGGAAGCGGCGTTAAGGCCGGGATTGGGGTTTTTATACGTAGGAGATGAGTTGGGTAGAAATTCTCCCCTAGGGTTTTGCGAATTTTGGGCCGCGGAGAGTTTGGGCAAAGGAGCGATGGCCTGTGGATTTAGAGGTCTTCAGTTTGGGCTTGGATCGTCGGGCCCGTTTCATCATGGACTGAATGGGAATGAAGGCTCGCGTAGTATGTGACTGTTCTGTGTGTTGTTAAGCCCACATGTACTCATACCTCCGAAATGTAAACAAGGCTACGATCATAACGTGTTACCCAACATACTGCACCGCCCAACGGGCGGGTAAAAAACTAGTAACGTTTATTGGCATTGGAATGTGTTAATATGCCAATGCTTGTTGGATTTGCGTATTAAGTCGTTAGATGTATGTCGTGGCAAATTAAAGCATGTATCCAACTCTTGTGGAACATGAAACGTGCAATTCGATAATCATGGATCACACGAAGACGTTGTAAACTCTGATACATGCTAGCACCCATGTAGAACTCCCAAACCATCTGTTTTGAGCATGAGCTTGTGGAGGTTTACAGATTGAGGTAGTGGGGATATATATGTGATTTTGTAATTGTTTGATAGGTAGACTTTTGCTAATCTTATTCAATTGAAGTTGAATAATTAAGTGGTTGAATAAGATTGCGAGAACTAATTAATGCCAACTTACCTAAGAGTTATGTTTGAATGTTGTTGATACCAACATGTTTGACGACAAAATCATAATTATCATCGTCAATGTCGTCGATTTGATTTGGACATTTTACATAGTGATAGCATGACAGTCTCTTGATCAAATTCGATACAGACGAAGCAAATAGTAACACGACAAACAAGCTCGGTTGATATGTACTCGCTTACGCACCATATACGTTCTTTTTATCATACTCTGCCCACTCCTCTTTCACTCGTATCATAAAGGAAAACCACCTTACACAAAAACAATATCGACTCATCAAAATCACCTTACCTCAAACTACCCTCTAAGTTTAAAACTAGAAATTCATTGATCAAACTAGCTATGAATTCAAGTTGTGTTCTTCACGGGGAAGCTCTTGCCTCCAGTAAGTAGCTAGCTAGGAGTAGGAAGTACCTTCATCTTTGGGGAAACTTACGTGCATGAATGTGAACGGCAAGAGGAAGAAGCAACAGCACAGTGTGCTCGTGAACTCCATCATACACAAGGAAAACGCTCCCATAAAACGCTATCCCTCCTGTTCCATGGAGGAAAATATGAATGCAATGCTGACCATATTAAAAATGCACGACAATTTTAATCATTCTTAGCTCCACATCGAGGACAACGACACGATATATGGTAATTCAAACACTAGTAAAAAGATACACGAAGTGATAACACTCTCTATAGAGTTGTATTTTGATGAGATGTAATCTGCACGTTCTCATCTCGTCATTTGAGCCATTTGTAATCAATTTTACCACCAAAAAATTACATACCACTCGAGAGCCACCTCGTATAAGCTCCCCCCAACTTTTGAATATGGTTATAAATCTGTGAAAACTTTATAATAAATTTGGAAATTAGAATAATTAGTAATCCTTTTTGAGCCTTCTCTAGTTACCATGGGTGCTTAAACTTATTCCCATCAAGAACCAGATCCTACTTCCTACTTCCTAGTAGTCACCATCGAGTACTTGCTTTCTGACTAAGAAGGATAAAAGGGACAAACTTTTAATGGGAAGATAGGGCTGGGCCGAAGGGGAATGAGAATTTTTTTTTAAGAGGGCCGGGAGTGGTCCAACTCGAATGAGGACGATGGGGGCCCACGTTATCTAAACCTGCCACATTAAATAGGCAGAGCCCGTAGTAAAATGTGTTGCGATTGGGAAAAATATTCTTTCCAAAACATTGCTTTTGCTTGGACGTATGGATGAACAAAGACAAAGAAAGAAGCATGGCCAAAATGTGTTTGAGATTGAAATATATTCTTCCACATTTGTACTCAATAGAGAGTTGCGCTTTGAAAGATCATTATCTCTATGTGTGTGGCTAAGTAGTTTAACTATGGAGTGAATCAAGCTATCCACACCAATTGGTAATCCCGCAAGTACGGGGGCTAAGTTGTTTGTTCGCTAAGGTCGAGCATGCAGTCGTTATTTGAGTTTGAGTGGGGCTCATCCAAACTCTCGTTTGTGAGCTCGTGCTTGTCACAAAGTGAAAAACGAGTTTTTTATATGATAACTGTCTAGTTCATGTTGAGTGTGTTTTAACTTTTACTTTGGTTGGTGTTGTGGGTGCACATTGTTGAGACAACATGGGTAATCCCACATGAACTAATTGCATGCTTGCAACATTATCGATCTGCCCTTGAGTTTGTATTTCATTCAAGCAATCCCTCATAATTAGTTGCGAAGTTCTTATATCTTTCAATCACGTCTGTTTTTTTTTTTTTTTCCTTTCTTGTATCACTACATGTATGTTCGTACCGTCTATCAGGTACGGGACTTCCAGACTAAGTACAAGTTGGCCAAAATCTCAAATCTCTAGGGATCATATGCTCTAGGTTGGATGCATATGGACCATACTTTGCCTTTTAGAGGTCACTCAATTGCCACAACAATTACCTAGCTAGTGTTTCAAACTAGTTTGAATATTTATGCTTTTAGTTTTGGGTTTTAGGGTTTGAATTTCCCCATTGTTGCTTTCCCCACGGGGTATGGCAAGTAGTCATCCCCATGATAACCATTATATTGGATTTATGCGCTCCCCCATCAATCTTATTTGTTCCTACAAATATATAAATATTTTAATTATTGTTTCCTCTCTTTTTTTTTTTTTTGAATTATGCCAATATACTATTGAATCATAATTAAGTACACATCCGATTCCAATGCAAAGGAGGGTATGGAGACAAGACAATCATGGTTTGTATTTTGTGTTATAGTTTCCTACAATGCATATGTGTCAAATGATTTAATCGATTTTAAATTCTATGAAAATTGCATTGCAACATTATATATGCAAGGACAACATTGAGTTGAGTGATGGTTGGAGATTTGATGCAATTGTGGTTACATTTGGGTTGTGCTGAACATGGGTTTCTTGTCAATAAATACAAATGAATAGAGACAAAATCCTCCATCTCAAACTTTGTAAACTATATATGGATGTGTAATGTGTTATTTGAAAACCAAAATCGAGATTGTTTCATAATTACTGGTTGGCTTGATTTAAATTGGATGTGTTATTTTGAGAACTAAGGTCACTAGTTAGCCTGATTTAAATTGTGGGTCTAGCGTTGTAGCTAAAGTCATTTATCGTGACAGTTTGATATCGATATTATAATTACATCAGTAATAAGTCTTAGTATGGGTAGAGAGTATATGTTGAGACAAACAGAAAGATCGTACTACTATGTACCAAATTAGCCACCCAACAAATATACAATTGGGTATGTTATTATAATTTTTAGGACTTTGCAACGGTGACATGCATGTCACTATAACTTGCACTTTTAGGTCGACCTCATATAGGATTAGGTCGACCTAATCTGCTGTTTCAGTCTTGTGCTAAAAGGCAGCTTACTTCGTAGAAACTCCGAGCCTTTTGTTTGAAGCCTTCTAGATATTCAATATTTCATCCAATGCCTTGACTTTGTAGACAAACATACCTACTTTCATGTGGTGGAGGCCCCTGGACTCAAATCTCATCCATGCTTCTCGAATTGAGCTCCAAAGTAGGCTTCACAAACACTTCCTAGACTTAGCCATTTTTAGGCAGTTTTCCAGATTTGGCATAACCTTTTGATCAGGTTCAAAAATGGTCTTCTGAACTTCCTATCGAGCTCCCAAGCACTCCAATATGTAGAGGGACACTCCAGTTTCAAAACAAGTCATTAATCTCCAATTTCCATCGAGCCAATAGTAAGATATCAATCTCCAAAGTATGCACCATGAAGCTGTTTTTACCCTGAAACAACATATTAGGTCGACCTAACCCTAATTGAGGTCGACCGAAAGTTCAAGTTACGATGACATGCATGTCACCATATACGCACCCTAATTTTTAATCAAAGCAAATTGGAAGTGGTCTATTATAATATATGGTAGGTGGGTGTTCAAAGTTCAAATAATTACCAACATTGGATCAATTTTGGTGCAACACACATACATAGGGGTGGCAGTCGGTCGGTTTCGGTTTAACCGAAAACCCGGTTATCGGTTAGCCGAAGCACTCCACGGGCCATCCGACAACCGACCGAGAAGAGGCTCACGGTTAGCCGACAACCGACCGCCTGGTTTTCGGTTTTAGGCTCGGTTAGCCGCTTACCCGAAAAATACCCCTTCTCTCCAAAACACTGTCGCTTAAGGGAGGTTCATTAAAAAAAGAAAAAAATCTCTACCGTCCAATCCTTATCCCCACTCCAAAGTTCTCGATCCTTCGTTCCAAACCTCCCTTTCAGTCTTCAGATCTATCTCCCTTTCACCGCTGGCCTTCTCCTGCAAATCCCAATTTTGAAGGACGACCGGCGAGGTGAGTGTGAAGGGCGAGCTGCGGCAACGGCGAGGTGAGTGTGAAGGGCGACCGCTGGCCTTCTTCTTCTGCTGTATTGCTGTCGCTTGTCTCTCTGTCTCTGCTCGACAACGGCGAGCTGCGGCAAGGCGGGTGTGAGGGCAAAGGAGCGGAGGTTTGGCTGGTGGCGTGGAGCTCGACGGCGGAGGCAGACAGAGACGAGCGAAGGCCAAGGCGGGACGAGCACGGCGGCAAAGACTGACGCGCGCGAAGGAGGATGCGGGATGGACCGACGACGATCTGGTGGTGAGGAAGGGGATGACGGCGAGGACTGGGAACAGGGGGAGAGAGGAAAAGTAGGGTTGGCTGGTTGGTGAATGGATTGGTGAGAGGTGATGAAGGAGAGGGTTCATTTTGGTGGAGGCGGGTAGGTTTTTTAGGGGAACGGCGTCGTGGGGAGGGGGAACGGTGTCGTCTAGACTATGGTGGGAACCCTCGGTCGGTTACTTCGCTTAGCCGGTTAACCGGCTTCGATTACTCGGCTAACCGAAGATCCTACCAGACACGCCG